TCTCTAAGGAACGGTATCGATCATAGCTTCTATTCCTGTTCATTCATTCGCCGAATAATCCACTTTATTAATTCCCTAGCAAACGTCTCGCTACCGACGTTAATATAATAACTCTTTGCTCAATTCATGAAATGAATTAGCTGTTGTTTTGCTGCCTGGCACAAGCTTGGGAAATTGGTGCAATAACGCAATTTGAACTGATGTACTTTCTTTTCGGTTTTTTCGGTAAAGTCACGCAAGTAAAAATAAATATTAAAAATAATAGAAATAATAATCGAAATAAAATATAATAATTTCTATTATTTATTTTTACCTACGTGACTTGACCGAAAAAAACCTAAGAGTATGAATCCTTGCAGTCACGAAAGCTTCAAATCTAGAAGTACTTTATTTTATGTATTTTTAGTGATTTGATGACATATCCTATCCTTTTGCACTCCTATCGGGGTTTTTTGTTGTATAGTTTGTTATTGTAGTAACTTTCTTACCCGCCCCTACCGGACACATGTGCACAAAGCAGCTTCATAGCTCAATCATATTTCTCAAGTTTACATCAATATTAAGATTCTGAATTCACGCTCATTTAAACAACACCAAAACAGGTAACAACTTTAAAAAGCATTTTCACCATTGGAACCTCATTTGCCAGTAGCAAAATATGATAATTGTTTTTTTACAATTCTATCTGGCAATAAAACTGACACCTTTTTTACAAGGAGTCATGTTTGCATTGACCACAATACCTGCAGTCGGAATGCAAACAAAACACACAACTCTGATGTATACAATGCCCTTGAAATTGATTGATCCACACACGAGACTTTTAAAAGTGCTGTTTGTCGCCGTCCGCTCGGCGCTTTGGGGCCTCGCTATTGCTCAGAGCGGGCATCGAAACCTAAGAACCGCGGACACCTGTTGGGGGTTGCGAGCGTCCAATGTTTTTAATGAAGATTTGTTAAGCGACACTTACACTGTTAGTATTAAAGCGCTTAGTGTAGCGACTGTTACGAAGATAAAATCGGCGCCCAATACACAAACTACGACTCGTACGCACGAGCACGTTTGACCGCCAGGCATTTTTGAACCGACACTTAAAGTCGTTAAACTTTACACCGAATACAAGTTATACATTTGGCCGTTGTGTTCGGAGTAATCACATTCTTAAACGGTTCACTTATTTTTATATTTTAAAACAAAAGTGGCAATATTTTTGTTTTTACCTCAGGGGTCTCGTGGCGGCGGCAGCTACGGCTCAGAGCACTAGGGACGTGTGAGGGGGGGGGGCACCCCCGAGAGAAAAGCGCGGGAAACCGAGGCACGTGACACGCCGATGCCAGCGAGCGGTGAGACACCGGGGAGTGAGCGCGCGCCGCCTTTTAAGAGCGCGCTCAGCCAATCGGCGCGCGCTCAGCCTCCGGCACGCGCTCAGCCTCCGGCACGCGCTGAGCCAATCGGCGCGCGCCGCCGCAGCAGCAGCCACGGCTCTCAGCCAATCAGAGAGAGGGAGGGGCAGAGAGGGATGCGAGGCAGGGAAGGAGAGGAGAGAAGCAGGGAGTGAGGAGTGGGGGAGAGGCAGTGGGGAGTGGGGGGGGCAGTGGGGAGTGGGGGGGGGAGGAAGTCGAGAGTGGGGGGGGGGAGGCAGTGGGGGTTGGGGGGGGAGTGTGGGGGAGGCAGTGGGGAGTGGGGGGGGCAGTGGGGAGTGGGAGGGGGGAGGCAGTCGAGAGTGGGGGGGGGAGGCAATGGGGAGTGGGGGGGGGAGGCATTGGGGAGTGGGGGGGAGGCAGTGGGGAGTGGGGGGGGAGGCAGGTGTAGAGTGGGGGGGGGAGTGTGGGGGAGGCAGTGGGGAGTGGGGACAGGCAGTGGGGAGTGGGGGGGGGGAGGCAGTGGGGGTTGGGGGGGGAGTGTGGGGGAGGCAGTGGGGAGTGGGGGGGGGGCAGTGGGGAGTGGGGGGGGGGAGGCAGTCGAGAGTGGGGGGGGGGGAGGCAATGGGGAGTGGGGGGAGGCAGTGGGGAGTGGAGGGGGAGGCAGTGGGGAGTGGGGGGGGAGTGTGGGGGAGGCAGTGGGGAGTGGGGACAGGCAGTGGGGAGTGGGGGGGGGGAGCATTGGGGAGTGGGGGGGGGAGTGTGGGGGAGGCAGTGGGGAGTGGGGGGGGGGAGGCAGTGGGGAGTGGGGGGGGGAGGCAGTGGGGAGTGGGGGGGGGGGGGAGGCAGTGGGGAGTGGGGGGGGGAGTGTGGGGGAGGCAGTGGGGAGTTGGGACAGGCAGTGGGGAGTGGGGGGGGGAGGCAGTGGGGAGTGGGGGGGGGAGGCAGTGGGGAGTGGGGGGGGAGGCAGTGGGGAGTGGGGGGGAGGCAGAGGGGAGTGGGGGGGGAGGCAGTGGGGAGTGGGGGGGGTGTGGGGGAGGCAGTGGGGAGTGGGGGGGGAGTGTGGGGGAGGCAGTGGGGAGTGGGGACAGGCAGTGGGGAGTGGGGGGGGGAGGCAGTGGGGAGTGGGGGGGGAGGCAGTGGGGAGTGGGGGGGGGGGCAGTGGGGAGTGGGGGGGGAGGCAGTGGGGAGTGGGGGGGGAGGCAGTGGGGAGTGGGGGGGGAGTGTGGGGGAGGCAGTGGGGAGTGGGGGGGGGCAGTGGGGAGTGGGGGGGAGGCAGTGGGGAGTTGGGGGAGGCAGGGAGGGGGGGGGGGCAGGGAGGGGGGGACTCGGCCCTCTTTGTCCGGAGAGGAATACGGACCCCCGGAACTTGGTGTGCCCCAGGGTGTGTTAAAAACATCGCAATCCGCTCGGTGGCGGTGATGTCACCATGGCCTCTCGTGCCAAGCTAGGTGCACTTCGAGTGATGAAGGCTCGCTGTTGACAGGGACAAACCCTGGTGCTGTGGTGTTGGCTGGCAGATGCACACAGATGCACACACACCTACCGGATTTAAAAGACGCATCTCCAACTATTGCTTTCAAATGCAAGGGCGGGGGGTCTTGGCCACAAACGATAGCTCAACTATGTGGCTAATCACGTGCAAATTTATAGCAGGCAAATGCTCTTAACGCGTGTTGATTCTAACTGTGGAGGGGAAATCCCGGAGAAAATCCACGGGGAGAACGTGAAAAAACTCCAAATATGCAGGTGTCAGGGTCGGGATTAAACCCACGAACTCCTGTATACTAGGCGAGGTAGTTAACATTTCGCCACCGTGTCGGGAATAATGCAAGGGTTTAGGAAGGTATCGTGGTCCAGCGGTCTGCGCGTTCTTGCCGGAGGTTCCCGGTTCGATTTCAGTGGCCACCCCAGTTATTACTTGCGGGTGAATTGACCGTAAAATAATTAATGCCACGTGCCTGCTGCGTCACAGTGGGACGTTCAAGATCACGTGATCTCATTCGCAAGAGTATTGTGCTGTATAAACCAATGTTGTGCCGTCTTCAGGGTTCGCGTTTGCCAAATTACACCGCAACTTGGATTATTGTGTCCGTCCGTCGTGCATCCAAAAATGGGAGGAGTCGGGCTGGGTGGAGAGGGGAGGGTGGGGAGGGTGGGGAGGGGCTGGGTGGGGAGGGGGGGAGGGGCTGGGTGGGGGGTGGGAGGGGTGGGAGGGAGGGGTGGGGAGGGGCTCGTCACCCCGTGGTGCCCTTATAAAACTCAACGTTTAACCTACTCACGCCGGCTTGTGCCCGCCCTCACAGTCGGGCCTATGTGCGGAATACACCACGCCGCCATTGACCCTGGCCATTGACCGAGCAACCCAACGTTCCTACCAGCTCCCTCCACAGGACAATGTGTAAAACATCATCACGATGCACTGGCGGACAGCCCGTAGATGTGTCCACTGTACATTTCGTCATTTGTTGTTTCCACTTTCCTCTCTGTCTTGCAGTGCCAATATTCTCAAGTAGTGCCCACATCTTCTGACACCACATTTTCATGCCTGTCAACTCCTAACCGGTGCCCTACCTTATTACAGACCAACTCAGACCTTATTGGTCACCCCGTGTCCCTGTATAAATATCAACGTTTATCCTACAAAGTCCCATCATCACAAGGTAGAAACACAAAAATGAACACATTTTTTGTGTGCCCGTATTGAAACGTCTGTACGCCGTATGGACCTGCAAACTCAATTTCGCTGTACAAGAATACGGAGTTAAACCGTACGGGTTGACAGCCGTGCATTTTTTGTTTGGCACCAATCTCTTAATGAAGTCATCGCGAAGCCGTTCTCTAGTTACTTCCATCTTTCCGAACAACAACAACTTTTAATTCTCCTGTTGATGTTGTTGTCGTCGTCCATCCCTAGACACGTGTCCAAATAGTGCCAGTCTCGATTTAAAGCTTTCGTGACTGCAGGGGTTCATCTTCTTGGTTCTTTCGATAAAGTCACGTAGAAGGGAAATAATAAAATAATAACAATAAAACAAAAAATAAAACATAATATTTTTATTATTTTATTATTTCCCTTCTACGTGACTTTACCGAAAGAACCAAGAAGATGAGTGCCAGTCTCCTTCTCATCGCTGCCTGCACACCACCACCATCGTCATCATCATCACGACCTTGTCGTCTAAATCTTCTGCCACGTGCCAATCTCCCACTTCTCTGATGCGACAACGCAGCAGCGGCAACACTGATCGCCCCCTACTCTACTAGTGTCAGGGGGGGGGTGGGGGGAATCGACAAATTTTATTAATTAATTTTATTACCACTCGGTGAAAATAAATTGAAACAAATTCACACAAGCACTCGATAAATTGACTTTTAAATAAAAAAAATTGACCTTTAAAATAAAAAATGTTTTCTCTCGTCGCCCTGGTTACCTTGCGTCACGTGGCAGGAAGTGGCGCGAGAGGCGGAAGTGGTTGACGCGTGGCCGAGTGACGCCTCGTCTCCTCCTCGCTCGCCTCGCTCGCTCGCCTCCCTTCTTCCTCCTCCTCGCTCTCATTAAGCCCAAACTAGAGTCGACAAACTCCCGTCACACGGAGCCGAGCCACTGACTAACGCCGCCACCGCGGTGAGCCTCGCGGCGCCTGTGGAGTGCGGAGAGGAGGCCTTGAGTGGTGCACGCGGGTGGCCCGGGCCAAAGTTGCGTTTTGGCTGCAGTTTCACGGTCAACGTCAGCCGGTCTGGCGGCACCCACCGGCCGATTTAATGAGCTCGATCGACGTTATTGACTTAAATGGGTGCCGGGGAACGCGTTGCTGCCCTCACTCGGTTCAACTTCGCTGCGTTCATCGCTGCGCGTGACACAAAATCCTGAAGCGCGCCGGAGATTCGGGGTCGGAGCTGAGTTACGGTATCTTGGGGTTTATAAGACCCGTTCGAAAAGTAAGACGCACCCCAAACTTGTTGCCGGCTTCAATAAAGATTTGCATAACCTTTTCACGTACACCTATCCGATTATAAGACGCACCCCCCCCCCCCCCAAAAAAAAAACATTTGATTTAAAATAAGGGAGGGGAAATCGCCAATTTTTTTTGGAAGTTTGCGGTGATTAGTTTGGACGCATCATTTCGTACCGTCCTGCAGCAGTCATCAGCGCAGGGTGGCGGTAAGCGTTGTTATAAAGTGCGGAATTTAAAGCACTGTTTAGATCCTATTCGGACGATGCAGTTCAGCGATGGATGATGGGACGATAATATTCGTGGGGGGAGGGGATGGAGGGCGGGCTACCAAAGACTGAAATCACACCCCAGAGGTCGACTACTAAGGGGGAAATCTCGGGTGGCGATGATGACGATGTCGAGACTGTAACAGCGGTCCATGGCAAACGCTTGTTCGTCCGTGCCACAGCTTCAAGATTGCGTAGAACCAAAGGCGATGTGTGTGTGGTGGTGGTTGGTTGGTTGGTTGGCGGTGACGTCACAGTAAATAGTGATGACCCTCACGTTGGTCATGGAACAATGGCGACTCTGCCGTAAGTGCAGCGTTCGCCACGAGGCTGAGTTGTCGTTGGTGTGACCGCTGTCACGAACGTGCGTGTTTGCGGTTGGAGGCAGGCGGCGATCCCATGAGCCGCAAGCGGACCACGCTGCCGGACGCCTTCCGCGCTAAGAGGTCGCGCCCGGCGGTCGAGAGTAGCGGGGACGCCGAGCTGTGGGGAGCCGACGGCGCGGACCTTCCCATCGATGGTACGTACGTACTTCGTGTCTACAGGATGTTGAAACTGCTTTCGCGCACCGTACGTATCCAACCGTGCTAATCGGAGGTGCCGGAGGGGGGGGGGGAGAGAAATAGTGCTGCAATCGGTAGGGTAGGACAATTCCTACCCCTAAACCCTTCTCTAACCCCAGCCCCTATCCCTCTTCTTGAAGCCGATCACTGGCTCACCGACCTCGAGGTGATCAAGTAAACGTTACCGATCAATTTCCCACGATATGAAAGAAAACAGAAAAGTCCTATTTACATTCCAAACGACCAAACCCTATTTGTACCCTTGGGGAAATGTTTGACCATATTTTACCACGATCGTCAGAGTGGGGCTACGTATGGGGAGGCGAGGACCGGTTTCCGGTCCTCGCCTCCCCATGAAGTATGGTCAAAAACAACTCAAATGACTGACACAGCATGGGAAGACCTCGATTCAACAGTGGACTGTCAAAGGGCTGCAAGTTAAATTTATCTCTTAACTTCGCACGATCACAAATACAATGCTGAACAGTACAGGCTGGTGAAAAGTGGGTCCAGGATTGGTCCAGGTATCACCGCTGGTATTCGTCATGTTTGGGATTAAAACTCAGATCGGCAGGTTCTTTGCGCAGTGTGCAAACCATTTTGCCACTGCTTGCCACCCCAGTTGCTTTTTGTGGTCAATAATAATTATGGGTTAATCTATTCACGTGAGTCAATTGTCACAATATTTTTTTTTATTCAACAAAACACTGCTAAGTTTTACCACCTCGTGTGGTTACTGTATCAACGAGTGAAATAAGATGCACCGGGCCCACGGACTGTCTCCGCTTTCCTGCTTCCATAATTGGCGCCGCCGCTTTTAGTCGGAGGCGTCTTCCAACGGACATGGACAGCTGTTGCTGATACAAGAGGCAGCGCGCAATTGACAGTGGATTGATTCACTCGGGACCTCTGTTGGTGATCAGTTCGCCTTGCGGATGCCTCGTAGCTCAGCGACCATCGCTAATGGCCATGCGTTCGATATGCTGGCTGGCTCATTCGCTACGCATTTAGCAATTCACTCGGCTCCATTCTGATGAAGTGTCACGGTTTGGGATCACGAGTTAAAATTCTTTCCCGCCTCGTGCATTCCGTGGGCCAAAAGGAGACATGTGGATACGATTTAGGTAAATCGTTAATACTTCTTCCACGGACAATTAAGCAACATAATTAAAAGTCACGTGCACTCATTCGGGAGAAAATAACAAACCAATACATTTACATAACCGCCCAACTGTGGTGGCCTCGCTGTGGTTCCGCCGACAGAGGTGCCAAACGACACCGAGGCTGCGCTGCGCTACCTGGCCGATCTGTTCCCGCGCAAGCTGTTCGAGGACCGGCTGCCACCCATCGTGCTCCAGCACCAGCTCTACAGTGTGCTGAGCGACCGCACGGCCGCCGACCGCCAGCTGGTGAGACAGACTTCCACAGTGGGAGAATGTGTGACTGTGCTTCACCACGCTCGTCAGTGTAGGGTTGGTGAAGGTACCCGACGTGGGGAATCCACCCCCTGATATGGAAAGGGTTGTTCAGCGACACAAAAATACACAATGTGCACCGTTTTCAAAAGGTACACCGTCTTTTTGTTTGTTCGGCTAAGAGGTTGTCCTGTGAAATGCACGTTACCCACGAACCTGGTTTAGTGATTGACCGGAGCTCGGACTCTAAATGTACATTTCACAAGCACTCGGACACGACCATTGTGGGCTCACCGAGTCGCTCGGCCAGACCGACATTCACTTGATAAAACAGCAAAAGCAGGACCACAGGTATCCATCCCTCTCTCCCCCCACCCCCACATCCTTCATCTCCCCCAATCTTTTCCCCATGCTACTCCACTCCCTCCCTTACAGAACGAGCTGCGCGAGCGCGGGAAGGTTTGCGTGTTTGCGCTGGGCGTGGGCGAGCAGACGTCGGCCGTCGTTTTCCGCGCCGACTTCGAGGAGCGCGTGCGAGCGGCGGTACGAGGACGCCCTTGGGAGGCGGTGGCGGTGCGCTTCCTGGACGAGGTGGTGGGCGCCGCGCAAGGCCCCGCCGTGTCCCGCGCTCGCCTGCTTCACGACCTCTCCTTCCGCGATGCCGACATCACGTGAGCGGTCGTTTTGTCCATTGCGGAATTAAGTGACGAGAGTTTTCGTCGGCTAAAGGTTTTTATTTTATTTTGGTCAACGGTGACTACGAGCGAACGAATATCATGAAGCATGAGGACAGGACTATCCAACAAAGCGTGATTATTAGACGATATGAACTTGTCTGAATGAAGACGCAGACTAAAATAATTTAGTAAACTTATTAGACATTAGCACGCCGAGGATGCCCAAAAATGTTAATTGGCTATGTATGTATATCAACAAGGTTAACGGAGTTCACCAATTGGCTGTCCTATTTATTGGGGGGGGGGGGTTTGTGTGGAGGGTAACTGCCCCTTCCACATTAAATAACAGCGAATTACTTCAGTCAATTGGACTAAGAGAATGACTAATTAAATCAAAATTGAGACTGGACAAAAAATTCCACAGGTTGTCATCAGCCGATTAAATGAACCCGACATCAACAAAGTGCAAACGATCCGCTGCTCACGAACACGAAGGGGGGTGGTGGGATGCCAGGATTCCTATGACCCCCCCCCCCCACTCAGCACTTCACCGTGCCCGTCCCTTTCTCCCCTGCAGGCGGCTCGTGAATGCTGGGCTGCTCACGGTGCGAGATGTGGGCAGCTGGTGGCTTTCCATCCCTGGCCTCGGCAAGTTCATCAAACATCTCACCAGAGGTCAGCACTGGCTCCGCTCGCAGCCACACGACCCGCAACAGCGAAGTCAAGCACAGCAGCTAGGCCAGCTACATCAGCCACAACAGCTGTATCGGCTGTATCAGCTTTACCAGCCACAGTGGCGACAACGGTTACATCAGCCACAGCAGCTGCATTGGCCACAGCAGCTGCATCAGCCACACTGCTTTTTGTGTTTAGTTTGTCCTTCACCGCACCTCCGATTAGCACGGTTGGCTACGTACAGTGCGACATAAGTTCAACATACATACAGCCACAGAAAGCTACAGCAGCCACAGCTCCGTGTCACTCTGTGCGGTGTGGGCGGTGGGCAGGCCGCAAGGCGGTGCTGGCTGCAATCCGCAAGTCACGCTGCGGTGAGCTGCTGCAAGCGGACCTGGAGGCGCGCACCATGCGTACGGCCGGGCAGCTCGGCCTCCCCTACCTCGTGCACGACGCCGTGGGTGCGCAGGCCGTCAAGCGGTCAGTGAGCACCACCATTGACGGTGATCCCTGCCCCATGACCGCTACCCCTTGCCCCCGGCGAGTGACCACTGCACTCCAATATTGTTAAAAGCACCGGTTCAACCTGTCAAACACTGGTAGTAGTTTTGTTTTTTCTCTAACCCTTAACCGTGCGACCCCTAACCCGACCACGAACGCTAAACCCTAGCCCCATCCATTCTCCACGTGCACAATTACACTGCCCATCGGCTACAGCAGCCACACAGGTGATGCTACCTGCAGACTTTACCGTACAATTAAAGGCACGACGCGTATGAAACACGATTTAAGAGAGGGAATTTGCTACTGGTTCCTGTGGCGCGCGCAGGATCGTGACGACGACAGGAGCTCTGCTGCGCGTGGAGAACGAGTGAGGCCGCTGGCGCGTTCCGACACGGTGACCGTCGTCTCGTCGCTCTGCTACAGCTTGGCTCGTGGGAGATGTCGGGGAAAATTCTACGCTTGATTTTGCACAATAACCGCAGAGCCAAGTCGAGAGGAGCACTTAAAACATTCTCGATGTCGGGAATCCTCAAAGGAACTCCACTGGGTTGGCCGGTGCACAGCTTTTTGCGTCTTGGGCTGTGACGCAGCTACCGCCAGAGGCGACACCACGCAACGAGCGTCGTCTGCTTGGGTCTTGGCGCTAACGGCGCAGCGCCGTTATTTTTTTGCCACTTACTCGTGCGCGAGTGAAGCCAAACGGACGGGGAATGAGACACGTGTCTCTCCGGAAAGCACTTTAATGGAGGTGACGGGTTACAATGGCTCCGGGGAATAAAACGTTTGGACGCAACGCAAATGTCCCGAGTCTGGTGCGATTGTTGCGGGCCGCCAAACGAACGGACGCACGATCGCGACGCGCAAAAGGCCTGCAGTCGTTTCACCATCACAACACGGGAATGAGGCTGAACGTGTTTATTTTTTTAAGTAGAAATGCAAAAATGAAATGACGGACACAGGGACTGGACATGCTGCACAGAACCCCAACCAGGGGGTAACAAGAGTTCCGACCGAGTGTAACTGGATGGGAAAAAAGGCTAAACCACATTCAGTGAAAAATGAATGTTTGTAGAAATGTTTATCGTCCGTGCACTAATTTGGCAAACACTGGAGATTTAAACAACACGTTTGTTTACCCAAGTGTTCAACAAAGACAAAAAAACAAACACAAACTACACACGAGTTCACCGCTATCCAATAAGCCTATCCCGTCTCAAACGCCCTCCAACATCCCTTAACTCCGGGCACCGACCACCGACACGAATCCCTAACCCCCAACACGACCCCCCTTAACTTCGATCATCGACATGAATCCCCAACCCCCAACACGACCCCTTAACTCCGGTCTACAATCATCGACACGAATCCCTAACCCCCCGACACAACCCCTTAACGCCGAATCCCTAACCCCCAACACTACCCCCCTTAACTCCGAATCCCTAACCCCAAGCGCCACGTGCACAGGTTACACGATGCCCACCTCGCCTTGTCACCGATCCGCAACGGCCTCTGCTTTAGAGACAGGGGACGACAACCCTACGTGTCACCGTGAGCTTAGATCGGCTCGGTCTTGCTGAAGTAGTTGGTGATGGAGTCGATGAGGTCCTGCTTCTTGCTGCCCGGGTGGCGCAGCTGGAAGCGCTTGCAGATGTCCCGCAGGGTTGCCACGGTGTGGCGCACCAGCGAGCCGTCCAGCACCATCGCCCGCACGTCCTCGTTACTCAGCACCAGCTCCACCTTGGGCTTATCTGTTTTTCTCACCGCTGGTACAAATTGTATACAAATTTAAATTAGCAGAGGTCATTTGGCACCGAGGGGTGGTTGGCAAGTCAGCACGAGGCCATCGGTTCAAATCAATCCATACGCTCGCGACGCGGGCGTCGATTGCGTACGTGAGAAATTTTGATGGGTTTATCCAAATTACATGCTAATGGTACATTTTGGGCTAATGGGGTGAACAAGACTGAACACATAAGAACAAAACAAATGAGAATCAATTCTTGAATTGTGACTCAACATTTGAGGGGGTGGGGCGACTCATCACATGTCTAAGTGGTGTCATCTGACGCCTGCATCACCGATTTGGGGTAGCAGGCTGCCTCTGGCCGAGGAGTCAAATCGGCAACACGCGGATGAAAATCATCATCATCACCGTCGTCATTACTCTCCTTATCCAGGCTTCAAACAAATCGCTTGACAGACAACGTCTCATCTCCATGTTTTCTGTCTTGCCATTCTCTATGCCTCTGTCCCTCTCCGGGTCCTTTCCTCCTTGTCCCATCGCCTCCATGAGACTGTCGCTCCACAATAAACCTTGCTCAATCGATCGAGTTTTTCACTCGTCCGGCCGCAGACAGCTCTCGTAGGCCGCATACGTGTTAGACCAGGCTGCGTCACGTGCACAGGAAACGTGGGTCGATGCCACGAAGCCTTTGTAACTTGGATATCGTTTACGCTGGGATTTCTTTCGTCTCGGGCTCTCTGCGCATTTATCCCAAGTGATGGAGGATTCCTGACTACAAACCCAGGACCAGGCTAAACGGGGTGCTGGAAGGCAGCAGGGGGGCAGGGGAGGAGAGAGGTGGGAGGGGGGCGGTTGGCCGGCCTCACCTGACTTGCGCTTGACGCCGCTGGGCTGTCCCGCTTCGTAGCCCGGGGGAAACACGAGCTCCTTGAACTCGCTGATGAGGGTGCCGGCTCGCTCCTCGATTCGCTCCACGGGGGGCCCTGTGGCGCACACACAGACGCATGCACACACAGACGCATGCACACACAGACGCATGCACACACAGACGCATGCACACACAGACGAATGCACACACAGACGCATGCACACACAGGACCACATACAGACACGAAGAATACAGGAATAATGGTCAGATGCATAAATATGCAGGCACAGGTGCACGCGCTCACATGGATGCGTGCACAGATGCGCACGCACAAGCAGGTGCACTCACACACAGATGCACGCACAAATACACAGACAAGACATGGGGGCAGAACGCACAGATACACAGCCGCACACAAACGCACACACGCAGACGGTTGGTTTAGTGGGAAAGCTGGTGAATGGGTGATGGATGAACAAGATATCCGGTGAATGGTTGAGCGGGCAAATGAGTAAACGGGCAAATGAGTAAACGGGTGAGTGGTTGAGTGTGTGAGCAAGTTGACGGGTGAGCAGCTAGGCGGGTGATTGGTTGAGCAAGTGAATAGGTAAGCAAATGAGTGGGCAGGTAAGTGGGAGAGGGAGCGGGTGGGTGGGCGAGCGAGCGAAAGAGTGAGCCGGTAAACGGGTGACCACACAAGTGGGTGAGCTTGCAAGCGAGTGAGAAGACAAGTGGGTGAGTGGTTGAGCAAGGAAATTTAATGAGCGAGCGAGCGGGTGGGTGCCCGCACGTGTGTAGTCCACTATGGCCTCTGGCATCTCCAGGTCGAGCGCCATCGCCTCCAAGTTGCGGTAGTGCTGCTGCACCGAGGGGTTCTCAAAGCTCTCGCTCCTGCCGCCGTCAGGGAAACACAGACACAAATATAGATGGGTCAGCGCCTCTCGAAGGAGAGGGGAACACTACATAACGATTCTGGAGGAACGGAATACAGAATATGGATCTAAGAGTTAGCTATGATGCACGTTTTAACCGTTTTAACTTATCGCATTCGTAGAATTTGGTGGAGTGATCTAGACATTCTCCACACAAAGAAACGTACATATAGATCGGTCTCTTATTATATGGCCCATGAATAATTCATCTTTACTTTTTACACGCTGAATCAGATGCACAGGCTTATTTTACTAGTTCATCAATTCAAATTAAATTGCTACGCTCACAACACTTGCAGACCAAAGGTGATGCAAATGTTACCTTTGGACCCTCTGCCCATTCAGACGGACTGCCTCTTCCTTTTTCTACAAAATAAAAAAATGCGCTACCGTTTTCCATGCAACGTCTTTGAGATTCACTTAACACGCTATCAAAATCCACACCGTCTTGCGCGGTGTCGCAAAGACACAAATAAACCCTCCGAGAGCAGCTGGGTATGGATTCGACTCACCCCCCGCCCCCATGACCCGCCTCACCTGTACGTGAACTTGAGCCTCTCCACGATGGCCTTCATCTTGTCCACCTGCTCGCGACTGGCCCAGCCAACACCCTCCAGCTTCGGCACATTGCGCACGTCGTCAGCGAACGGCAGGAACAGAATGTGGAAGCCTGCGCTCGGCATCGTGCGTGCCAGCGGGGGGGGGGGGGGTTGGGGCACCGCGGTGGTAAGATGTTTACTCCCTCGCCTGGTATGCAGGGCATCGTGGGTTCCATCCCGACCCGGACGCCTGCTGTATATTTTGGAGTTTGCGTGTCTCTCTCCCTGTGGCCGTGAGGATTTTTCTCCTCTGGTTTTTCCTTCCATATTTAGAATCAACATGCGTTTAGAGTATTTGGCTGCTATCAATTTCCATTTGATAAGCCACTTCATTGAGCTATCATTTGTGGTCAGGTCACTTCTTAAAAAGAATGATATAGCTCAGTGGGTTTACCTGGTATAATAAAAAAAATTGATTTTAGTAGTTTTAATATTAAATCGGAGTTGCTGAGCACACACCCAAAGCCCCCAACTGGCCGTCAACAAAAATAATTATATTCTGCCGTTTAAATATTTTTCTGACTTTCTGGATATTGTGCTGAAGATGCTTTGTAAAGTTCCAAGCGAAAGATCGTGTCTAATTGCTGAATTGGGTTGTGGGAATTGTTATTCAAATTATCAGTGAGCTGAACCAAAAATAGTTGGCACGTCAAATCGCTTGTACAAGTGCAAATTTCATTAGTTTGGCTTTGTCAGGTGTGGGGGGGGGGGGGGTGGGAGTTTACAACAGATATGGCCAAATCAATACATGACCTAACCCGACAATCATTTAAGAATCAACGCTACTAAAGCTGAAATAGGTGCGGACAATCGGGTGAAAGTCGAGCGCGGTGGTTATTTAACAATGACGATTTATAAACGTAAACATTATTTTTGATCACATTTGACGAGTACAGATCCACAGACCTAAAATGCCAAGCGCAGCTAGCAGCAGCAGCAGCACAACAGAGGGTGTACTCGATAAGAAGTTACTCAATTTCTTGAAGTGAACAAGGTTACATGAACAGAACAAACAAGACAACACAATAAGGAACTTCTGAATTGAATGGCGCCGAACGCAGCTGCTGAAGGAGCGGCTGTCGCGATCACACGAGCGCGACAGCGAGCGGCGGCTCTCACCGGGCGGCGTGACCTGAGCGCCGTTTTCCTCCTTCACCTCGTCCTGTGGCAGCAGCCCCACCAAGCGCGGCTGCGCATTGTGGCGCGGCGTGTAGTGGCACAGCGCCCACACGCCGCGCTTCAGGCACTGCGTTAGCAGCGCCGTGAACAGACGCGCGCTCCCTACACAAGGAAGACAAAGATCCCCCCCCCCCCCGTGTAGCCTTTAGCAGACTTTTGGAGCAAGAGTGCTGTTGGCGAGCACACGAGGAAGGGGGTGGGTGGCCAACACCACGCGCCGACCGCCTTTGTCTCCCCAGTGGCGACGTTTACACATCGCACCAGGTACTCATTTGAGGCCGAGTCAAACCTAGGGCAAGAGGCCCAGGACCGGTTCAGATAAGCGTCACTGGTGTTGGCCGTGAGCGGGAATCGAATTCGGGTTGCTGGGATCAAAGGGCAGCACGCTGACCGCTACATTACCGCTCCCCACCTGCCACCACACAACACACACGCACGTGCATCCGCACACACCCACGCCGAGTGCACATGCGTACACAATCATACACCCACACCTCAACTCGCACACTTATACGTGTACACACAACAAGCTGCCATTCGCAACTAACTGACGGTGATGTCACCACAGCACTTGTGGCAGGCACAAGCGCACACAGCCAAAAGAAAGATTTCCCTGTGAAGCCTTTCACAGACTAAGGGCATGTACTGTTAGCAAGTGCCTATTAAGGCCAGCGCGGCAAACAAGGGGGAGGGTTGTCAGTACCATGCCCAGCTGCCTTTAACTGATGTTTTACACACCGCAAAAAAGTACTAATGTGAGGTTCAGTCTACCTAGGAGCCCAGGAGTAGTTCAGATATTTGTCACTGATGTTAGCCGTGAGCGGGAATCAAACTCCGGTCACATGGTTCGTGAAGCAGTGCGCAAATCAGTACACTACTGCTCCCCAAACAAGCACGCACGCACACAAGCACCAATGCACATGAACATGTACACACACAAACACAATCCTGTAAAATGTCCTCCCGTGTATCCCGGCCGTCAGGGTTAGGGTTGGACACCTGTGAAGAGGCTCTCTTCGGGGTAGATGAACTGCGTGGGACGCAGGTGGTGATGCTTCTTGAGATACTCCATGGGCTTGAAGCCAACGAGCACCAGCCCCGGGTCAAAGAACTTCTTAACCTCTTGGACCTCCTCGTTCTCCAGCACGATCTGTCTGTAGCCGTACACCTGATGTTGCACCGCACAAAAACAAAAGATCCCCCTTGTAGCCCTAACAGCCTGCTGCGGGGGTGAGTGCTGCTAGCGAGCGGCTACGAAGCCCGATATGGTACACAAAGGAGGTTCTGGTGGCCAGCACCACCCCCGGCCGCCTTTGTCTCCCCGAGTGGTGATGTTTACTCCTTTATCAAGTTCATTTATTAGGTATAGCCCTGCGAGCCATTCGGCTCTTGAATCGGGTGCAACCGCAACAAACAAAAACATGAACAACAAACATCTTAAAGTGAATATGTGACTAAGTGCAAACAGAAAATCCAAGAAAAGACAGCAAAATATTGCAGAAAAAAAACCGTACACCAACGCTGTGAACATCGTCACGGGATCTTTAACCTCCGACGTGAAGAGACGGCGCGGTAGTTTACGGTTAATACTACCTACCTTCGCCACGCCTGCCCTCTCACCTGTGACTTCTTGGTGTCACTGGGCAGCAGCAGGCGGCCCGTCTTGGCGTGGAAGGTTTGCTTCTTGGCCTTGACGGGCTCGTTAGTCTCGCGGTATAGCTTTACGGGAAAGGACTTGTGGGCAGTGCGCGTGAGCGTGTACACGGCGACGCCCAGGCTCAAGCCCTCGCCCAGCTTCAGCGGCAGCCTGGTTCACGCACGCATGAACAAGGACGACAGACGTAGCTGAAACAGACTGTTGGGGCAAGTGCTGGAATGGCACACGAAGGGGTGGGTGGCCAGCAACACGCCCGGCCGCCTGTCTCCCTCGTGTTGAAGTTTGCACATCGCACCGGGTACTCGTTTGAGGTTGAGTCGACCTAAGGGAGGCCCAGGGCAAGTTCAGAGATAGTCATCACTGGTGTTCGCCGTGAGCGGAAATCATATTAAGGGTCGCTGGGTTCAAAGCGCAGCGCGCTAATAGCTACACTACCACTGCAAAGACAAAGACCTCCATAATGCCTTGAACAGACTGCTGGGGCAAGTACTGTTAGCGAGCAGCAACCATGAAGACCAACACGGCACACGAGGAGGTGGGTGACCAGCTCCATGCCCGGCCGCCTTCGTGTCCGTAGTGGCAATATTTACACATCACACTAGGTTTTGAGGCTGAGTCGACCTAGGGGAGGCCCAGCACCGGTTCAGATAATCGTCACCGATGTTAGCCGTGGGCGTGAATCGAACTGGGGTCACTGGGTTCGTAGCGCAGCGAACTAACCGCTGCACCACCGCTCCCCACTACACTACAACTCCCCATTCGTGCGTACACACGTATGTACGTAGAACGTATTTAGCATCGTACGTAGCCAACCGTGCTCGTCGGAGGTGCGGGGGGAAGGACAACAAAACGAAACACGAAATAGAATAGCAATCACACACGCAGACGGCCGCCAAACGCTCATCCCCTGGCGCATGGGAACCCACCGAGCCATCGCCCTCTTCGGATAATCCTTGGTGCGCACCACCTGCAGGAGCTCGCCGAGGCGGCACGCCGGGTCGCGCGACGCTCCGGGGTCCCCGCCCCCCCCCTCCTCCTCGCTGACGATGTCGCGGTAGAAGGCGTCCATGCGAAACCCGCCGGCTTTGCCCAGCGGCAGCACCTCCAACGTCACGCCTGGCCACGAGCGCGGGGCGCAAAAGCGTCAGCGCCGCATGGCGGGGGAGGGCTCAGGGCAAACGCGACCTCACGCCACCCCCCGCAACGACTCGCGATGTGACTCCTCTGAGGCTTGTGTGTGAATAATGGAGAGCGGCAACGGTGACCCGCGTGTGTTATAATTGATCCCCATCCGTCCGTGTATCAATGAACTGTCACGATTCAAAGTTACGGATCAATTATTTTTTTTCGTCTCGGTTGTACTTTGTCTTCGGTTCGTGCTTTTGTGTCTCCGTTTCTTCCGTGTCGTTCACTCTAAAACTAAACTATAGCTATTTTTGTTTTACCAGATAAAGCCCACTGATCTGCATAGCTCTTTTTCAGAAGTGACCTGGCCACAAATGATAGCTCAACGAAGTGGCTTATCACGTGGGAATTTATAGCAGCCAAATACTCTAAATGCATGTTTCTAAATGTGGAGGGAAAAACCGGAGGACCCGGAGAAAAATCCACACGACCACGGGGAGAACATGAAAACTCCAAATATACAGATATCAGGGTTTGGATTGAACCCACGATCTCTTGCATACCAGGCGAGATAATTACCATCTCGCCACGCTCGAACCACGAGCGTAGAGGAAAAACATGCCTAATCGATTAATCGGCACGTCCACGGTGGCAGTCGACTCACCGATGCCGCGCAGGTCAGCGGCCTTGGTGCGCGCCAGCTTGGCTCGCTCCGCATTGTCGGCATGCGGCTCGTCCTGGTTCGTGAGCAGCAACACCCGCCGGTGGCTCAGCCGGTCCTTGGAGGCGCTGAAGAGCTGTGAGCAGGTGAAGAATGCGTCGCGCAGCGAGAAGTCGGTCGAGTGACCCAGCAGCGACTCCACCTTGGACCGCACGTCGCAGCTCGTCAGCCGGGCCAGCTCCTGGATGCGGCTTGCGCCTAGCGCGCACACACACAAAGATAAAGATCCCCCGGAAATAGCATTTTCAGGATGTTAGGGCAAGTGCTGTTAAAGAGCACCTATTAAAATCAGAATCTTTGTATAGACTGGAGGAATCCGATGAGATATGAAGCTCTTTTTCACAGGTGTCCAGTATGGGCGGGTCGGCACGACACACGAGGGGGTGGGTGACCAGCACCACGCCCGACCGCCTTTGTCTCCCCAGCGCTGATATTTACACAATGAACACGCAGCACAAACCCTGAAAGCACATCAAAGAGATACGCAGCACAACCGCGAAAATCGACGTATTAGTGATCAAAGTGACGACGATGACGACGACTGTGACGATGGCGGGTGCAGCTCCAGCAGCTCACCGGGAATGTCGAGGCTGTGGTAAACGTACACGTGCTTGAACAGCTCGTTGGTGTGCTTTTCTGTGCCGAAGAACACGAGCCCCAGGAGGTCGCGCTCCCTGCTGATCACCCTGGAGAGGTACACGCTGTGCACGCACTGCGCGGTGGGGCCAGGGAGTCAAGGGGATCGAGTTAACGTGAAGTTGTTATGGGCAGGAAGGAACCCTGATGCGGAGGTGGCGTTGAACTGCTTTAGCAATGTGCAAGTTTCGAATGGAAATTTCTTCGCCCCGTTAACATCATTCCGATATCACAATTGCAACACAACGGACAATAGGGGCAACAAAAACATCTATTAAAAATGCCCCTTTATAATGATCTATATTTTTCGGATGTCCAAGATAACTTTAAACCAGGCGTGGGAGAACATTTGGCCCGTGGGCCAGATATGGAAAGCGTGCCGGCTGGTTTAATTGAACCAATCATTCTGCCGCTGCTGCGTTTGTAGCGGTGCACAACCAACAACAAAACTCAACAATTGACAATTATACCGTGGCCTAAACAGGGGACGTTTTGGGCAATTGCCCTTGTTCAGCTCGGCTATGGCGCCTGCAAGAGACAGAAAAACTAAGCTATTTTTATTTTACTAGGAAAGGCCCACTGAGCTCCATAGCTCTGTTTCAGAAGCAACCTGGCCAAAAATGATAGCTCAACAAAGTGGCTTATCACGTGGAAATGTATAGCAGCCAAATACTCTAAACGCACATTGTTTCTAAATGTGGAGGGAAAAACCGGAGGACACGGAGAAAAATCCACGCGACCACAGGGAGAGAGAAAACATGCAAACTCCAAATATACCGCAGGCGTCAGGGTTAACATCTCGCCACCGTGGCACCAGATCCGCTCACCTTGATGCTCATCTCAAAGGGGCTGTGCTCGGAGTCCTCCTCCTTGATGAACATCGCCTCTGACGCGTCCACCAGGAACACGAGGCTGTCTCGGCTGACCGAGGGGCCCCCATTACCTGCACCGACCCAAGATAAAAAGACACAAAAAAAGTTGCAGTCTTGTAATTGCTTAAACTATTTGTATTTTACCAGGTAAGGCCCACTGAGCGAAATCATAAATCACCTAGCCACAATGATAGCCCATTGAAGTGGCTTATCGTGTGAAAATGTATAGCAGCCAATTACTCAAAACGTATGTTTCTAAATGTGGAGGGAAAAACTGGAGGACTTGGAGAAAAATCCACGCGACTACGGGGAGAAACATGAAAACTCAAAATATACAGATGTCAGGAGTCGGGATCGAACCCATAACCTCTTGCATACCAGGGCGAGGAAGCCGCACTACAGAGGCCCTTCTAGAGGGTATTTGGCCTACTCTTCCATGCTGGCCAGATGTCTTGGAAGAGGTGGGAGAAGCCACACTTTACACAAAAAATTACGCACCCTGCCCCTCCGCCGCCTCTTCTTCCTCCTCGTCCACATCCTTCTCCGCAAATTCCTTCCAATCGTGGGCAGGGAAGCTCATCTTGCTGGGAGTGTGCGGGCAGGCGGTTCAGCTGCTACAAACACAGACAGGCGTGTTCACGTCAGCCTGGTGGCGCACCACCCCCGAACCCAGGGGTCGACAAACCCGCGGCTCAGGAGCCGCATGCGGCTCTGTAAGAACCTCTTCTTAACATTGTTTGAGGGCCGCCATCTCATATTCATCGCGTGCATTGCGGCTCTTGAAATATTGAGTTTTTTTGTGTTTTTGTTTTACAGAATTCGAAAAAAAAGTATCTGTTCTGGTTGCCGACCCCATGACCTTAACCCATTCGCTCTGTCCATGGGCGTGCATCACACCACGCCCCACCATCACGACTACGGAACACTTTAGCTCAACCAGTATATATACAAATACTGTTTCTTGGAATTTCTCTCACTTGATACAGCTATCGTGCTGTGACGGTTCCACCTGAAGACGGAAGCTTGTGTTGCCTCCGAAACGTCGTGATTTTTATTTTATTTTACTTTTATTAATTAAAATTTTTTACCTACGTGACTTTACCGAAAAAACCTAAGAATATGAATCCTTGCAGTCACGAAAGCTTCAAATCTAGAACTTTAGCTCAGCCCCACCACACCTTTTGCAGCACTCCACCTGCATACACACCGTGTGCCCTGTCTTCATACTCGGCCATCACACATACACCAAAGATGACGACAAACATCCCCCAGTAGAGCTGTCACAGACTGTTGGGACAAGTGCTGTTAGCGAGCGCCTATGAAGGCCAGCATATATAATAACAACACCCGCCATTCGCCACTAAGTGGCGGTGACGTCACCACGACGCTTGTGCCAGGCCATGTGCACCTTGAGGCCACGTGAAGTGTCAAACGCCCGCTGGCAGGAGGTCACGGGGCAGACCCAGGTGCCACGGGTCGACTGACTGAGATGACCGAGATGACTGGCTGATACACCACCTGTGCCCCCAACTGCGCCATCGCACACACACACACCACCATTACATACACACACATGACTATCACACTCAATGTACTGACATTATACCACCCCTAATAGCACACAAAACATAAAGACATTAAACACCCCCTCACCCAACACTCACCATACAACTTCCTCACTCAAAACTCACCCTCCACCCTCACCATCCCCACAGCCTGACTCAACTCCCACACACACCACCACCACAACGCACTCGCGACCCCACCTCACCCTCACACAACCACCCAACACTCTCACCACCGCATACCTCACCCCACAGCCTCACCACCCTAAGCTCGCCCTCACCACCGTGCACACACCTCACACCACACCTCACCTCACCAACCTACTCTCGCCCTCACCACCGTGCACACACCTCACACTCACCACACCCTCACCAACCTACTCTCGCCCTCACCACAATGCACACACCTCACACTCACCACACAACCTCACCACCGTGCACACACCTCACACTCACCCCACAGCCTCACCACCGTGCACAGACCTCACACTTACCACACCCCACAGCCTCACCAACCTACTCTTGCCCTCACCACCGTGCACACACCTCACACTGACCTCACCCCACAGCCTCACGACCATGCACACACCTCACACTCACCACACACACCCCCCCACAGCCTCACCACCCCTACGCTCACCCTCAGCCAAACTTTCCCGCACCTCCGATTAGCACGGTTTGGCTACGTACGGTGCGAAAGAAGTTCAACATTCAATACACACCACAGCCTCACCACCATGCACACAGCTCACTCACCACCCTACCTCACCACCTCACACACTGCTCCACCACCCTACCCACAACTCACTCACCACAGCCTCACCACCATGCACACACCTCGCACACCACCCTACCTCACCACCCTACACACAGCTCACTCACCACCCTACCTCACCACCTCACACACAGCTCCACCACCCTACCCTCACCACCCTACACACAGCTCCACCACCCTACCCTCACCACCCTACACACAGCTCCACCACCCTACCCTCACCACCCTACACACAGCTCACTCACCACCCTACCTCACCACCTCACACACAGCTCCACCACCCTACCCTCACCACCCTACACACAGCTCCACCACCCTACCCTCACCACCCTACACACAGCTCCACCACCCTACCCTCACCACCCTACACACAGCTCACTCACCACCCTACCTCACACCTCACACACAGCTCCACCACCCTACCCTCACCACCCTACACAGCTCCACCACCCTACCCTCACCACCCTACACACAGCTCCACCACCCTACCCTCACCACCCTACACACAGCTCACTCACCACCCTACCTCACCACCTCACACACAGCTCCACCACCCTACCTCACCACCCTACACACAGCTCCACCACCCTACCCTCACCACCCTACACACAGCTCACTCACCACAGCCTCACCACCATGCACACTCCTCGCACACCACCCTACCTCACCACCTCACACACAGCTCCACCACCCTACCCTCACCACCCTACACACAGCTCACTCACCACAGTCTCACCACCTCACCACTCCATCCTCACTCAACACGACAGCCCCCTGCCCGCCCGCCCGCTCGCCTCTTCAAGACTCCGCCACCGACCCTCGGCTCGTTAAACAGCCCGCGCGGTACAAGAACAAACAACGGCAGATGAACACCCGCCAAAACAACCACAAACCGGATAATCGACAGCAAAACGGGAGGCGGCGACGGTCAAACAACAACGACGACGACACACGGAGCCTCCCGCCACTCGCTCGCCTTCGCCCCGCCCCCTTTCAAGCCACGCCCCTTTCAAGCCCCTCCCCTTTCAACCCCTCCCCTTTTCAAGCCACGCCCCTTTCAAACCACGCCCCCTTTCAAGCCCCTCCCCTTTCAAGCCACGCCCCCTTTCAAGCCCCTCCTCTTTCAAGCCACGTCCCCTTTCAAGCCACGCCCACTCAAGCCCCGCCTCCACTCAACCCCTACCGTATACAGACCAATTCAGACCTTACTGGTCACCCCCGTGCCCCTTATAAACATCGACGTTCGTCCTACAAAGTCCCATGACAAGGGAAGAAACACAAACAAATGGACACACGTTATTTTATTTGTTGCCCGTATTGAAACGGCTGTACGCCGTATGGACCTGGACACACAATCTAGATTTAAAGTTTTCGTGACTGCAGGAATCCATACTCTTTGCTTCTTTCAAAAAAGTCACAGTAGGTAGAAATAAAATTAAAAAAATCGCAACACAAGCGGTCGAAACGTCGTGATTTGTTTTAATTTATTTCTAACTACGTGACTTTACCGAAAGAACCAAAAAGTGCTGGAAACTAAATTTCCCTGCACAAGAATACGGGGTAAACCGTGACATGTCCACTAGGTGGGGCTGTTGTGAGTGACCTCTGAGCAGACGGTGTTCTAATGAAGAAAAAACCTCGTCATGTGATAATGGCCTTCCCGTGAAAGAACTCCCTTATCCATCAACAAAACACTCAAATGCTGTCCTCATGCACTCCCAAGTCCACACCACACAACCCCTTTGACACTGTCGAAAGCCGCGTGACCTGCTGCGTCTGCAAAGTGCAACCTCGCGTCGTGGCATCGTCTCATTTAGACATCGTCTTGTTATGTAGTTGCCTGTTCGGACCGAGATTCGTAAGTTCAACCGCCGCGCAATAGATGATGGCGGTGGCATCGATATCTGCAGAACGTGAAGAACCGGTGGCATCTACATCTGTAGAACGTGAAGAACCAGTGGCATCTACATCTGCAGAACGTGAAGAAACAGTGGCATCTACGTCTGCAGAACGTGAAGAACCAGTGACATCTACATCTGCAGAACGTGAAGAACCAGTGGCATCTACATCTGCAGAACGTGAAAAACCAGTGACATCTACATCTGCAGAACGTGAAGAACCAGTGGCATCTACATCTGCAGAACGTGAATAACCAGTGACAATCTACAATTGAAGAAACAAACGTGAAGAAACCATGGATTATATATATGCAGAAAACGTGAGGAACCAGTGGAATATACATCGCAGAACGTGAAGAACCAGTGGCATTACATCCTGCAGAACGGAAAACCAGTGACTCTACATCTGCAGAACGGGAAGAACCAGTGAATCTACATCTGCAGAACGTGAAGAAACCAGTTGGCATCTACATCTGCAGAAAGTGAAAAACCAGTGACATCTACAGCTGCATAACTGAGAACCAGTGGCATATAATATGAAGAACGTGGAATACCCAGTGGCATCCTATCTCTGCAGAACGTGAAGAACCAGGTGACATCTACATCTGCAGAACGACGTGAAGAACCAGTGGAATCTTATATATGAGAACGTGATGAACCAGTGGCATCTACATCGCAGAACGTGAATAACCAGTGGCATCTACATCTGCAGAACGTGAAGAACCAGTGGCATCTACATCTGCAGAACGTGAAGAACCAGTGGCATCTACATCTGCAGAACCAGTGGCATCTACATCTAGAGGAATTTAAAAGCCATTCTCCCTAGGTTTCGTGTACATGCCGTACATCATGTTTGGAATCGGCAGGTGTAAAAGTTGGACTTACGAACAAATCGACTTACGAAGATCTCTGGAAGCCAACTCGTGTGTAAGTAGAGGTGTTCCCTGTATGTTGTCATCACGTTGTACGTTCTATTCGCCATCCGCTCAACAAGTGGACGTCAAAGATCTCGCGATGTTACATATCAAGAGTGTAGGCAGATGTGGCAGCGTCACCGTAGAAATTTGAAAAATGTCTTAAATTGGAGACACCAGATAACATCACCCCTCGACTTGCAGACGATATCACGGTGGCGAGATGTCAAACTACCTCGCCTGGTATACAGGAGGTCGTGGGTTCGATACCGACCCTGACGCCTGCTGTGGAGTTTGCATGTCTCTCCCCCCGTGGATGTTTCTATGGGTCCTCCGGATTTTCCCTCTACATTAAGAAACGTGCATTTAGAGTATTTGGCTGCTATAAATTCTCACGCAATAAGCCACTTCCGTTGGGCTATCATTAGTGGCCAGGTCGCTTTTGAAAAATAGCCTCCACTCCCGCAGTTCGTCTCGACCACTGGCCACCATCCCTTCTTGCAACGCGTCCTGTCCAAGTTCATTTCCTTACCCGTTGAATCGTCAAACCAGCGTACGTTCTGTAAATCCACGTGTTCCTCTTTCTGCCTCTATATAAAAAAAGTTTAATTTTTTAATAGGAGGCAGAAAAAATACTTTTTTTTATTTGTCAAAACAGAAAATAGACCAACACAAACCGACACGATGACATTTTGCAGTAAATGCAGCAGCTTTATTTGGTAGCAAGACACAAGCAAAGGTGCGGCCATCAAAAGCAAGCAAGCAAGCAATGGGCAGCAGCCAAGTAGCGGCGACGGCACAGGAACAGGCACAGCAAAGCGTTGAGAGCGCAAGAGGTGCGGCGAGTTTGGCCAAACGTAGCGAGGGCAGCAGCGGAGGGGGGGGCAGTGAGAGAACGCGGTGCCGCATACGTGCGCGAGCTTTACGTTTGCCAGGAGAGAAGCGTCGCATTTTATTCTAATGTAAACAAACGCAGGAGAATATCAGCACCAAGCCGAGCGAACCTCGGCCTGCTCAGTTTATTTTCCTTTTTCCGTCACCTCTTAAATTCTACAAAGTATTCTCTTTCACCAAATCTTTCAAAAGGTTCAGTTGTGGTCCCGTTGGCGCAACGCTTCAACTTCGCAGATAGAATTTAAAAAAATAAAAGTACAAAAACCAAAGCACGTACAAATGGCTGCCGATTAATATGAATGAATTTAATACCGTCACAGAGTTCGATCCCATTAAAATTTGTCATGTTTTTAATTGGAAATATGACAAAGGCAAACCCGTCACAGAACAGCCGCGTGGGTTTAAGGCACCAGGCAGCGTGGCGTGTAGGAAGCTTTGGGCACAGAGATCCAGCCGAGGACTGAACGATTGCCAGCGCATTAATGGATAAGCCTTTTTTACGGCCAAAACGTCAACAAAAACAGTAACCAGACTTTACATCAATTAGTAACGTCATGTTCGAAGCGCTTTTCATACGCCTGACAGTTTCTGTCAAGGCCAATTTGTTTAAATCCAATTACTTGGGGTTGCATCAGGGTAGAAGGGACAGAAGGATCTCCTTGGCAACGACGATGGTTTGGTTGCCAGGGTGGGCCGGTACACTCCGCTACGCGACTGGCCCCAGCGCCGTCACCTTGCGATCGATGGCCACGTGCCGATCTCGGGCGCAGCTGGTTCTAGAACACCCCTTTTCACTTTTAAACACCTCCCAAAATTCTTCTTAACGTGTACCCTGTCAAACTGCGATCGTGAATTTTACCTCAATCGTCTATTATTTTACCTATCGTAGCAGTGGTGCAGCCTAACACACATCCCCCCCGGTAACCAAACCACCGGTCTTGGGGTCAGGTGTGACCCGAATAAACAACGACGTGACCCCAACCGGCCCCGCGTCTGCTACGCGTTCAGCAAAAGAAGATGCTCGATTTCCCGCCGGGCGGCTGGCTGATGCGAGTCTGCGCCCTGGGCGGGGGTCCCAGCCGGGGCTCGTGGGTGTCCACGGGTTCCTTCACCACGTCAGTCTCTGTCGTCTTGGGTTTTGTTTCGTCGTCGTCAGCTGCTGCTGCCGCCGCCACCTCCTGCTGCTGCTCCTTCTCGGTGCTACTGCCTTGGCCATTCTCACCGTCCACTCCTGGGTCACGGACACGACATCCGGCAGTTATTTGTGAAGCCTTCTTAAACCGACAATGTTTACACGCAAAAAAAACACGTTTTAAATGTTATTATTTCCATTCTAATTCTCTTCTTGGAAAAGGCAGCTGCGGTCGCAGAATATGAGTGCTCCCACTTCTCTTGTCTGCGAATTACAAAATGTTAAATTGTGGCCATTAACAGCAACAATTAAATCCCAACTCGGATCATTATTTTAGATTTTGAAGTTTCTAATATCAAAAAGTACCTTCCAAGAAAAGCAGAAGATGTACTTTTAATTGCAAAATAAAGGACATTCAATGCTGAATGCGGCACAGCAAGCCAATGAGTTGATGCTATGAATAGGCACGCTTCTCCCCCATTGCCGGCCCTCCAATCTCAGCCGAAAACTTGACCCTGACCGCAAATGATCGGAGCGCGCTCTGCGCACCGCGGCATCAGCAGTCACCGATCACCGAGGGGATTCTCGCGGTGATGGATGGCGCACCGCCCGCCAGCAGAGCCAGGCAAACCTCAACGATGAATTTAACCCAGGCAGCCGACCAGCCTTGCAACAAGAGCTGAAATGTCAGCCGGCATGCATACACACAACGCCTCCTCCTCCTCCACCATCATCATCCCACCACACTCGGCAAGCAACTCGCACCGCATGCGCGGCAAGGGGCAAAGTTTACAACGCCAGCCGAGGGCTTGATTGGGCAGACCTGGCGCAAGCAACAAATATGCGAGCTAGCGTCAGGACCCCAGCCCCACGAGCACATCCAATCCAAGCCAGCGCTGGGTACTTCACGGTATGGGTGGGTTTTCCACTGGCTATTTATCATGCCAATCCAGAACCGAACTGGCAAAAGGATGGTCTCACAAGACATCCGAATATTGCTCAATGCCAAGCTGCGCCAAGGGGCAGGGCTAATGACGCATTCATTACGTGCGATTGAGTGACGTATGCAACACAGCTCGGCTTTTGCAGTGGCAAAACAACCTGGCCGCGCCAGGCTGGCTTGGGATGGCCCAGATGTACAGTGGAAAAAGAGGTATCGTTTATACCTCTTTCGCCACTGGAGGGGTGCGATTGACAACAAGCCACCAGATGGACCGTGTAAACTTTCTCTTTGCCTTCAGCAGCAAGCACACCCGTGCGGACGCACGTGTGCGCTACGCGGCACGGTGGACGCATGCAGCTGTTACATGGGTCAAATGGAGGGTATGACAAAAGCGAGGGAATGCCGACGATTCGTACAAAATGCGTGCCAACAAAAACTAAGAAAAACACAAATCCGACGTCTACGGCCATGCTGGATGAGCAGTCGTTCTGCGCGACCACGGGAGGAGGGGGGGGGGGCGGGCGGGGAGAGGAATGCGTGCAGAGTCTACGAGAGAGGCCGTGCGCGTAATAATTACCTTCACGCGTCTACTTATGAGCCAACTAGAACAAAAAAGGGGGGGCAAAAATAAAAACAGTCGTGACGCCACAAACTCCATTGCAAAAATAAACGTGGGAATCAAAAGTGGCACCACCACAGCAGGACCGAGTGCTCAACCCGCAGCCCGTAAAGCCGTGACTCGTAGCCAAGCCTCCGCCGCCCCCCCCCCCCCACCACGCTCAGCCCCCAACCCTATCCCCACGATCGTGCGGTTTGGAATGTTAAATTCCGCACTTCCGTTTGCATCGCTGCATCTCGTGCCGATAGTTTAAAACCGCGTCGGCGTTTTGGTATTTTAATCTCCGCATGGAGGGCGACTTCCACCGCGCCACCTACAAAATCGGCTCGCTCTCACGATGACCGACAGTCGGCAACTGTGGAACGAGTTTAGAGCCAGATTAGTGACCGTGGTTGGCTCAACGGCCGATGAAATGGGTTATTAATGTCCTTAAAAATAATTTGACTTTTCATCCAGTCACTAGGTGGTTTAATATTTTCAGAAAGGTTAAATTTGCCAAAGCAGATGGAAAATTTAAGTAAACTACCACCCATAATCAAGGTTTTTGGGTTAGATCGCATTATTTATAAATGTGTCGCAACCCTCCACCACCCGACACGGCCAATCAGTAAAAAATGTGTCACGTTGACAAAAGACAAATAGTTCACTGCTTTAGGGTGGCGGAGGGTTGTGACACATTTATAAATAATGCGATCAAACCCAAAAACCTTTATTTGAATAATACCGGTCGCGAAAGCCTACGTGTTAAAACTACCACACACTACTATTGACTTTTCTCCCTTGCCCACACTACACCACGACCATCCACTGGAGCCCAATTTGTAGACCTGGCTCAGCTCAGGCTTGAGCCGCTCAGTTGCATTCAAAGACTGCACTGAGTGAGCGGCTCAGCAGTCGCTTGGCACAAAGTTTGGTTCGTGGAATCCCGCTCATGGCCGAGACAGTCAGAGTCGTCTCAAGTTGAGCAACGCTTTGCGTCGGGCTCAATTGAGCCAGAAGACGAAGCCTGAGCCACAACTAAGAATACAGGCCGAACGATGCAAACTTATCTGAAAAGGGACTAACAGGAGCTCGCATTTATTTATAAAAAAAAAATACGAATTGTATCGTCGCAACATAACCTGAGAAAAACATGGGGGGGTTTTTGCTTGGACCAGCAAGCAATCGCGTGACCTTCAGCCAAAGCGGGACGGGAGCCCCTCCCAGCCCTCGCCCCTCGGGGGAGGCCCCGTCCGTGAGTGTGTGGGCGCCGCCAGAGCGCGACACAAGCAAACCGCCGGTGCGCGGGTGCACGGGCATCAAAGTGCGAAAATCAAAGAAAAACTCAAAAGCGGGTGGCGCCGCCAACAGCCGAGGAGTCTCACCGGGGCCCTGTCCAGCCCTGGAGCCACCGCCGCCGCCGTCCTGCGCATCCTGCGAGACACACGGTGACGACGCGGCGTTACCACCGCGGCACATGGACATTAAGGCTCTGCAACCCGCCCACCTGTTACACACCTCGCGATCCGACGAACTGTGACGAATTCAGAGTTGTGATGCAAACCGACGTTTGTAGCCACTGGAGACTAATGAACACGAGTTGACACGAGTCACCTCGTGGATGTGTGCACTATCCGCACCTGAAATTGGGAATCTTGACGACCTCAGTTAATGCTCTCGGTGTTCCCAATGGCTGTTTTTGTGTGAACTCGATGTTCACGCCATTGCCTGATCTGTGTTGTTAAAGTACTGGTAAAGCAGACTAATAATTGCGTGCACGATTCAACGTGTGTACGATAATCTATTTATATCGATGCGTCGTTACACTCACAAGTATGACGGCCGTAGTTAGCTGAAAACTCATGCGCGCACGTAACATACGTGATGCTAGCGACGTAACATATGTATGTGACGGTGCGCCGACGAGCTGGCGACGTACCCTGGCCTTCCCGGCCGCCTGGGAGTCGCCAAAGATGCCGCTGCATTTGCCACCGGGCGGGTTGCTGCGCTGCTGTTGCTTCTGCGCCGGCTCGGGGTCACCGAAGATGCCACTGCTCTTGCCACCTGCGCACGCACACGCACGCACACACACACACGCACAGATTTGAACAGCTGTCAGGGGCAGCTGTTTCTCCGACGTGCAAATAAACAAAAAAGCACAGGCTCGAAGTGGCTGGGTGGCTTAGAGGCCTTGTACTGTGGTCAGAGTACAGAGCCGGCACCGCTGAAAACCCAGGTTTGAACCCCGATTAAACCGCCCTTTCTCAATTGGAGCTAGTTGATGATCGCGGACCGGTCGGCAATGAGAGCTTTGAGAATAAAAGTGCTCGGGTTGCACCGACACGTGACAAACACCCTCCAAAAAGGGCAAGTACAAAGCGAGTGCCCCTAGCGTTGGTAACGAAGTGACTTCGGCAGTGCTTCTGTGACGTTATCTCTCCGTGTGGCGAGATGTTACCTCACTGCAAGAGCCCCCATGGGGAAATGTCTCCATCTCAAACAACCCAAATTAAATATATATCATCATGATCAATCAACTGCTGGATGATGACCTCCCCAAGGTGTCACCAACTCTCACAAGCCTTCGATATAACGGTGCAGCCGTGACTTGTCTAACTTGTGGAGACATTGGCGGAAGGGCATTAGCTGCACGTCGCTCTGCAAGATGTTTTGGTCTACTCTTCCACTCTGGCAGGAGGTATTGGAAGAGGTGGGCGTACCCACCTCATGACTAATGTTGGTGTGACCATTTGCTTATACTGCTGGGTAGATAGGGGGGGGGAACCGAGGGATGTAAGAGACGTGTGCCCATTGTTTCAACTCCCACGCCGTTGGGGGATCGAACCGGTGACCTTTGGGTCTCAAGCCGCGTGTGCCAACCAATTACACCGCAGCAGCACCCCCGACCCTAATACCGCCGGCGTCTTTGTCAAATTCTACTTTCAAGAGCGCAGGTTGAAATGCGCGCCGCTTCCGCATGCGGCGGGGGCACGTATTTACCCGCGTTCTTGATATAGATAATAAGGAAAAGACGTTCACGGGGGTATTAGCTTTTATTTTTTTACTGCCTGGACCCCCATGACCCGTGGCTTTGCCATCGCATCACCGAGTTTCAGCTCCTTGGCTAAAGTTCACACGCCGTGTCGCGCACGTACGCGGTCGCTCCGGCGGAGGCTGGCGCCTATATAAAAAAAGGCAAAGCCCAAGGGGCAAACACGGCAATAAAATCTGGCAAACGCACGCACGCTTTTGGTGCGCTCATGCCCGGGCCCCTCTTGGCCTTTGTCACGAAGCCACTGTACGCTTCCGGAAATAAAACGCCAAAAAAAAGAGAAAAACGGGAAGAGCTTCGGGAGGAGCACGAGCAACGCGTTCGACGACTCCCGTGCGCTCGCGAGCAGGCCCAGGGCGTTGCCTAGGAGGTTCAACCGAATTTAGACGTACAGCCTCGTTTCATTTTTGTCCCTTGAATTGTCATAATTATCTTGTTACAAACACACAAGCCGACTCGATGAAACTCAAAAAATGGGCGATTGAACCAGTGACGGAAATCGCGCCTTTCCTTTTTAGTGACAAGGGAACGCTACAGAAGGTTGAGAGAGGAGAGATCGGGTCTGGGGATTAGGCTCAGGACGACGGGTTCGACTTCGAGTCAAGGGTCAGGGTTGGGGGGGGGCGGGGTCAAGTTTGAGGGCTCAGGGGCCAGGACAGTTGGGGGGGGAGGGGGGCAGCACCTGGGGGGTTGCTACGGCGCTGCATGGGCTGGCTCTCCTCGGCGCCCGAGAACACGCTGCTCGAGTACGTCTTCTTGGGTTTCTGAGCGCCTGACGGCGCCGCTGCATCATCCACCGGTCCAAAGATGTTGCTAGAGACCCCGCCAGGTGGCTTCAGCACCCTGTGACGCGCGGCAGAAATGCAGGTCGCGGCAACGCAAGCGGCAAACAATGAGAAAAATGCACACGCACGCGCGTCTGCATGCAAACGCACAAGACGCTTCACGGAGAGGCAAGCTCATTACACGAAATATACACAAAGACAAAGATCCCCCCCCATATAGCCTTGAAACAGACTGTTAGCGAAAGTGCTGTTCGCGAACACCTATGAAGCACGGCATACGAGGGGGTGGGCGGCCAGCACCACGCCCAGCACCCTTTGTCTCCCTCGTGTCTCCCTCGTGGCAATGTTTACGCATTGGACCAGGTACTGAATTGAGGCCGAGTCGACCTAGGGGAGGGCCAGGACCAGTTTAGATAATAGTCACTGGTGTTGGCCGTGAGCGGGAATTGAACCCAGGTTGCCGGGTCCGTAGTGCAGCACGCAAACCACTACACTACCGCTCACACACACACACAAAAACAAATACACACAACGAGATGCACACACGCAGGCGCGAAGGTGAGCCTGCATAAAATTGCACTCGCACACGTGTATCGGCATATACACACACACACAGACGCATCAACAACAAAAAACCCTTCGGAAAATTATGCTTAAATTCCTGCTTCAAAGAGGAAAAGGTATACAATGGGTGAGGTTTCGGGCAATGGATTGAAGACTGCACCTTTTTTTTTAATACCATGGGGCCTGGCACCCCCATGCGCCGTGGAGAAGAGCCATCGCAGGAAACGTCACCTGTGAAATACTTTTTCGTTTCAAGGCAACGCACAGTGTTACCAGACGAACGTGTCGAGTTTTTTGTTGTTATTGCCGTTTGTTATATTGCGCTTGTGCACCACTGCCAACGCAGCAGCAAATCCGAAATTCCTGGTCCCGGCGTTATTCTGACATACGCGAATTGTGCCAATGGTTTGCACTCGAATTAATTATTTATGTTAGGGCGGTTGGTGAGCAGACATAACAATGTCGATCGACAAAGATACGGTGACACGGACACGCGGGCTTCACTTCATGGAGGCTGACAAACAAAGTCAAAGATCTCCCATGTAGCCGTAACAGATTGTTGGGGCAAGTGCCGTTAGCGAGAACCTATGAAGGCTGGTACGGCACACGAGGGGGTTGGTGGGTGGCCAGCACCACACCTTGCCGCCTTTGTCTCCCCAGTGGCGATGTTCACTCATCGCACCAGGTACTCATTTGAGGCAGAATCGGCTTCGGGGAGGCCCAGGACTGAATAAGATCATCGTCATTGGTGTTGGCCATGAGTGGTAATCGAACTCGGGCTCGTTGGGTTCGTGGTGCAGCGCCCCAACCGCTGTGCAACCGCTCCCATCACGGAGATGGGAGGCAGACACACAAAAAAGTTAAACCATTTTAAAACTGCCTTGGCGACTGCTATAATCGTCTCCGCTTTGCTGTTGCCGGTAACGTTTACCGCACCTTTCCCATTTCCAGCTCGGTTAAGATCGTGAGCGATCGCCGGCTGACCACACCGCGTGGGTGTGGAGGTCGAGATTAGGGGTCTGTTTCCGCGCACCTGTGTGGCCCCCAGGCAAAGCCACCAATGAAAATGGCCACCATCAGCATTGCAGTGCAACTTGGTTTAGTTTAAAACAAGCTAAAACACCTTGCCCCCTTCCCTCCCCACTAGACTGAGCTGCCAATGATGATACAATACAAGACAAGACACATCACAGCACACCACACTCCATATCTAGGAGATAGCCCATTGATTTCTAAAATAAACTCTTTCAAAAAAATCTTCTCAACAGGCGATTGGATATTAGCGAACCCCATGCTTCTAGATCGTGGATATCTTGTTGGGAGACATGCGGAGCCGAGGGACATGCGGAGGTGGAAGATTTCCGGAGGTGAGAGACATGCAGAAGTGGGAATCCTGCAGAGGCTTTGAAATAAAACAGATTTTCTTTAGAACGTCTCCATTTTTAATTGGCGGGGCATCTAGCAATGTATTACCCTATATTACCAGCTTCTTTAGGATAACAAAGGAACATATACATACCCCGTTGAGTGTGTACGTGCGGACTGCCGAGGTAGACGAAACATTAACATTTGCTTCGTGTCATTCGAGGAGAGTTGGGGGCAGCTCGTCAGCCTGTGCACGAGTTACAATCCAGCAAATGGAGCCCCCCCCCCCTCCTCGCGCTACTCAGCCACAAAATCCCTGGCGTTTGGTGGGGGGCGGAGAGCGAGCGGCGGCGGGGGGGGGGGCAACCGGCTGACTCGGTAAATGTTTAAACAAAAGATGAGCCGAGTGAAATAGGGCACGGCGCTGCTGATGATGAGAGGCAAGGTTTTGGGGGGGGGGTTCACGGAATAAGCGTTAAAAGGAAGTCGGTGGTTTCACGTTCCATGTTGAAGTCAGAATGTTTCTTGCACACGTCAATGTTCGTCGTCGTCGTTATTATTTATGGCAGATACCGCACGGAACATCTCTGGGCGCCAGAACAAAGGGGCGTAGGGGACCCGCTCAGTACGGTAGTGACCGCAGACCAAACACAACGTTTACAAACAATACAGCAAGACAATATTACACTACAAAATGGGAATACACAACAATGAAATGCTGATTTGTACTCGAGACAAAATCTATTTTTTGTCTACAGCAGCCAGGGCAAGGCAGTCTCAAGTGACACAATGCAACTACTACTTGTGCATTGTTATTTATTGGGCAGGATAACCCGGAGCAAATCAGCACCCCCGTGAGGACTGGCAAATGGGGTGGGAGGCGGGTGAAAAGAGGCCTTCACCCAGCAGTGTAGACACAATGGGTGATGACGATAAACGCAACACGGTACCAGAGGTCACAAACAAATCGCGCGTGCAATAAAAACAAATTACTTCACACAACACCCTTAATGATATAGAATTGTTAATGGCAAGTATACATAATTTAAAATATATATATACTGCACACGCCACCGTCCGTGGCAAGTTACATCCCAATTAGGCATCAGTATGTGACAAAGGCCGCTGCAGAAATCGCACGCAGCATCGAATGCGCAACACCACCACCAGGTCCACGAACGCCACGGAACAATTACCCCAAAAAAAAAAACAACGACCACAGCGAATTGCAAAGGCAGCAGGGCAACAATAGTGGAACAACAACGGGCGAGAAGACAACGAGAGAGAGAGAAATACAGCATCGTGTCTGGCGAGCGGGCGGGCGAGACAGACACGCATCTGTGTATGTGGAGAGTCGGGCACGTGGGGATGGAGCCGTGCCTGGAGTGTTAACGGGGAGGAGGAGGAGGGCGCGGCACGATGCAGGGATGTGTCACCGGAACAGGCAATCACCACAACCAAAAGGGCTCTTTCTTCTTCTTCCTCCTCCTCTCATTCTCCCACCCCACCCCCTCCCCAATCATCTGGCACAACTTATTCACCATTATCAAGCCATTAATCGCACAGCAACCCCATTCATCCCGACAATAACGTTCGACTATTGCGTAAAAAAAAGAGAAAATGGTAGTTCATTATTTTCAACACCCGTTAATCCCCCCCCCCCCACACGCAAAAACACGGAATCATCGAATTTAATTATTAGATCGTTCCGTTATTCCTTCTCCTCTCAAAAGCGAATGGCCATCAAAGATTGAGCTAACCATTCCTTCATTCGGTTCCTCAAAACGCAGGAAAATTTCAATAAACCTTCAATCATTCAACATTCGTGTAAATCTGACCTTTAAATACACACGTGCACTCTCGTCCATTAGCGTAGTCATTCATTCGGACGTCGAATGGTTCAATTTACCACACCGATTTGCCATTTAAATGCTCCCCGCTCGACCGCCTAACGTAAACGCACGACTAATTATACATCTTAACCCACAGTGCCTGCGTATATGAATGCACCGTTTTATCTCTTTGTCAATCCACTGCTGGATGAAGGCCTCCCCACACCGTCTCGGTCATGGGTGGGGTGGGGGTTTGTTTGACCATACTTCACCACGCTGGTGAGTGTGGATTGATGGTGGCCGTGGTGGTGGGAACCGATGTGTCCAGGTTCGCTTGAGATGCCCCCGATGTTAGAGCCGTAGTCGGGAATCAAACCGGGGTCACGCGAGTTCAAAGCGACGTTTAATTTATGATGGCGAAGTTAATGTCTGAATTTGTAACGTGTTTGTCGAGATGTTATTGAAATTAAAAATGTGCTTTAATTGTATTTCTCAAATAAAATAAAATCACACGATCGTCCGGGCGTCCATCAATGACCGCTCAAAATGTAATTGTTTAACAAACTAAAGAAGGCATACAGTAGTACAGTAAGTCGTTTTACTAATCCCATCAGTGGCACGGCCACGGACTTTGGTTCAACACTAGCGGGTCTCATCAGCAGGGCCGAGCTTTGCTTACAAAGACACGGGCCGACAGCGAAATTGCGTTCAAGACGTGACCGGTACAGTACTTTATTGTTCCACAACAGCGTGGACGAGAGAGACTCATTATTTAGTAGAGACACATTTTTTGATCACGGTAATATTTTATGGATATGGGTCGCGAAAGCCTCCACGTGTTCATTGTGTCACACTAAATCGCGTGGCAATGAGACATAACCGTGCCAACCCACACTCTTGACCCCGCATTCTTGTGCAGGGAAATTGAGTTCTCAGGTCCATACGGGGTACGGCCGTTTCACAATTCGGGCAACAATAAAACAGAACGCGTCTATTTGTGTTTCTCGCTTGTAGATGGGGCTTTGTGAGATGAACGTCGCGATTTAGAAGGACAACGTGGGTGACCAATAAGGTCTTAATTGGTCTGTAATAATCCAAGGGCACTGATAAGGGGGTTGACGGACGGGGTATGGCGAGATGATGCTGATTAAGAGAGGGGGGAAGGGGTCATCATCCAGCAGTGGAGTGACCACGGCTGCCGTCATTTTCCAACCCCAGGGCTCTTTCATGTTTAACGCGGGAAGAAGGAGGCGCGTGACGATTCCGTTACTCGCGTGAACAAGAGAATCGATCCACAACGGCCTCGTTATAAATACATTTTAAATCCCCATCGCGCGTCTTGCGCAAACTCTACCGAGACCCGAACGCAGACACGAGGTCAACGGGGTGGGGGGTTTGACCCGAACAACAACAAAAGCCACCGATTTACCGCTTTTAAAGAGTCAATTTCAACGTTGGGAATCGGTTCGACGAGCGGGTCTGCGGAATCGATGTAGCGGACGGGCGGGGGGCACCCATTGGGTTGGCGCGTATTCCCACAGTGGTGCAGGGGTGGTGTGTGTGGTGTGGTGTGGGGGTAGTGTGTGGGGGTGGTGTGGCTTGTGTGGGTGGTGGTGTGGGTGGTGGTGGGGTGGTGATGTGGCTGTGGGTGGTGGTGTTGCTGAGGGTGGTGTGGTGTGGCTATGGTGGTGGTGTTGGGGTGGTGTGAGGGTGATGTGGCGCGTGGTGGTGTGGCTGAGGGTGGTGTGGTGTGGCTATGGTGGTGGTTGGTGTGGCTGTAGGTGGTGGTGTGGTTGTGGTGTGGCTATGGTGGTGGTGCTGTGGCTGTAGGTGCGAGGGGGGTCCCGCCGGGGTGGCCGCGCCCCGTCTCGCACCATCGGCCCCTGCGGGCTCCGCAGCGGCAGCGGCATCGAGACCCCCCCCTCACCCGCCTCACCCGCCGCGAATTGTTGCGACCCCAACATCAACGTGCAGGATGACGGCGACGGAGGTGTACGAGGAGTCGTGTGCGTGTGAGGTTTAGCCGACCTGGAGCTTGGCTTGGCCTCGTCGAGTCCCGTGAAGGTGGTGGTGGTCGTCATCTTGCAGCTCTCTGTCTCTCTCAACACGACTCCCCGTGACGTCACCGCGAGCCGGCTGCCCGGCGCCGCGACTTATAACGGGGGGGGGCTACGCGATGACATCATCGCGCGGTGACGTCACCACGCGGCTGACGCGTTCACGCGACGTAACGGTTCGTGACGTCACCGCGCAGCAGCGTGACCGCGTCACAGCGCGGTGACATCACCGCGCGTCTGACGCGTTCACGCGACGTAACGGTTCGTGACGTCACTGCGCAGCAGCGTGACCGCGTCACAGCGCGGTGACATCACCGCGCGGCTGACGCGGTCACGCGACGTAACGGTTCGTGACGTCACCGCGCAGCAGCGTGACCGCGTCACAGCGCGGTGACGTCACCGCGCAGCCCGACGCGGTCACGCGACGTAACGGTTCGTGACGTCACCGCGCATCATAACAAAAATATACTGTATATTTTAAAACATTTTTTACATGTTATATTTCGGCTTGGGTCTAATTGTCCACGGTAAACTGACGTTGGCTGTAATTGGCCACGGTTCCTTACGTTATATGGCAAGCTTCGGGGCCACTTCCTGGAGTTCTTCCATTACTAGTACATTTCATAAAAGTGTGTTAAATTTTTTTTTAATGTTACTTATTTCAGAAGCGACCTGGCCACAAATGATAGCTCAACGAAAGTGGCTTCTCGCATCATGCAGGTGGACATTATACTGGTAGGAACCTCCTGGTTACAGCAGACCACAGAGGATTATTGTGTCCGTCGTGCAGGGAGGGGCTGGGTGGGGAGGGAGGGGCTGGGTGGGGAGGGTGAGGAGGGGCTGGGTTGGGAGGGGAGGGTGGGGAGGGGCTGGTTGGGGAGGGGCTGGGTGGGGAGGGTGGGGAGGGGCTGGGTGGGGGGTGGGAGGGGTGGGGCTGGGTGGGGAGGGGCTGGGTGGGGAGGGTGGGGAGGGGCTGGGTGGGGGGTGGGAGGGGTGGGGCTGGGTGGGGAGGGGCTGGGTGGGGAGGGTGGGGAGGGGCTGGGTGGGGGGTGGGAGGGGTGGGGCTGGGTGGGGAGGGGCTGGTCACCCTGTGGTGCCCTTATAAAACTCAACGTTTAACCTACTCACGCCGGCTTGTGCCCGCCCTCACAGTCGGGCATATTTGCGGAATACACCACGCCGCCGTTGACCCTGGCCATTGACCGAGCAACCCAACGTTCCTACCAGCTCCCTCCGCAGGAGGAATGTGTTTTTATATCAGCCAAATACTCTGAAACTCCCTGGCTCTGCTCGAGATGTCATCCTGCCGCGTTGTCCACCTCTTCCTTTAAGTGGGAGTTTGCTCATCGTCTTCTGCTACCCATGTTTTCTGGAACTCTCCCCCCGGCAATCCGTGCTGTCACCTCTCGTGCCCGCCCCCCATTTAAATCAGACTTTGCTCTTTTCCACTCTGCCAGTCACCGACTTTTTTTAGAAAAAATAAAGTTTTGCCGTCTGGAAGTCACGCGCCGCCCAGCGGGCAGAGGGCACGCGGGGGAGGCCCAAGACCGATTCAAATAGAATCGTCACCGTCACTTGGTGTTGGTGGCCTTGAGCGGGAATCGGGTTCGTGGCCGAGCGCACTCACCGCTACGATACCGCTCCAGAACCATAGCCACGAGCAGCACTGGCGGACACGGGGAGGAGAGACAGTGGCCCAATCTCGGCCCCACGAGTTGCCCCCTACAGCTACCACATTAATACAAGTGAAAAAAAGATCCCGAAGCTTTCCATTTAAATCAGTGTCGCTTAATGGTGATGTTCGCGGAAGAGGTTTCATGCAATTTTCCACTGCCTCCACCTCAACATCACCCCGCGTGTAAACCAACCAATGCCTGAAAAATAATAGGTTTTACCATTTCTGGCAATAAAACATTTATTAAGATGTTCAAACACCACATAGAAACCTTTTTGCAAGGTATCAAGTCTGCTTTAACCACATGTACTTGTGGTGAACATGCAAACATGCTGTGCTATTATATGTAGTCTTTAATACTGATTGGCCTACACCAGAGACAGCCTTCTTTAGGGTCCAGCCTCACCGATGTCAGGACTAGAGAACGCCAATGCCTCTATGCAAACCGGGCACCCCCTCCTTGTCACACACTCCGATCTCGCATTTGATGCATTTTTCTCCAGTCGCTGAGCACAGGCCTCAAACTGAAAGCAGCCAGCAACAACAGCACCGTACTATCAAGTGCGTCCAGTGAAAGATGCGAGTGCGAAACATTTTTTTATTTGAGCGTGGCGATGATACGAGCTTGGGTTTGGAACTTGAAGACGATGATTGGGAGGGCAGTCCCATTGCTGTCAACCCATGCGGTTTACCCGTATTCTTGTGCAGGGAAGTTGAGTTTTCAGGTCCATACGGCGTACACCCGTTTCAATACGGGCAACATTTTTGTCTATTTGTTTGTGTTTCTCGCTCGTGGTGGGTCTTTGTAGGGTGAACGTTGAGATTAATAAGGGGCTAAATTGGTCTGGAATAAGGTAGGCAATGATAAGCGGTTGACAGGTATAGATTCCAATACACAGTGGAGCAATACGTGAGGAAAATCAGGCAGTGTTGTGACCTGCAGTGTGGTTGGTGGTGGTTGAACACTGGAGGAGATGAAACGGCCAGTGGTCTGGTCGACCGAGTCCTCAACGTGAGTGGAGGAATCAATGAGTGAAGTGTCCTGATAACGGTAACCGTGGTTAAAGCGGTAGTAGAGTGATAAGGGGGGGGGGGGGGCACCCAGCGAGTGAGTGGAGCTGAATTAGCGAGACACACACACAAACTCAAGGATTGAATTAAACCCTTTAATAGTTCAACTGAACGCGCCTACGTGCATGAGGGATTGTAGTGTTAAGAATCCACAAGGGCACCCTCCCCTCCCAAGATGACATTCTCCCAACATTGCCATCCCGTTCCCCACCCCGCTCCCCAATCTCCTTCAATGCAAAACAAACAAAAAAAGCGAAACTCGTAAAGTGTCAAGAACGAATCGTCGTACAAATGCTATTCCTTACAAAACTGTACATCTGTCGAGAAGCCAACGCAAATAAATTAAAACCGACAGAACGGCACGCGACCTTGCGTGAACTTTTAAGAGGTGGTGATGGTGGAAGTATTCGAGGGGGGGGGATATAATAAATACCGGACGCATTGCGGGGCCTTACGGCACCCAAGCGCAGCTGACAGGGCAGCTTATTCGCGTTTTCCAGAATAAGTTAAAAAATAAACACATTTTTTACTGAAAATATTAAGGAAGACCACGATTAACTTAGTACGACCCCTCTACATGTGATTCACTGCAACGGGCATCATCAGGAAAGCGTGGGGTACATAAATTATAACCTCGTAACGGTGCCCACATTGATCTTCTTGCACACGTATCTCGCTGCACGTGTTTCTAATGTGGCTGAGGAACGTGGGTTCAGTTGTGGCTTGATGTAACCCTCCACCCCCGCAATGGGAAGAGTTAAACCTGCAGCCAGATGTCACGGGGGGCAATATCGCACTGACGATTCCTATTCAGTGAAACCTGCACTCGCTTTTGGCGAGTGGCTTTTCTGCAATGGAAGTTGAGAAGGCCACATCCTTGGCTTTGTATTGCTGTGACCACTAACTGCTCACCGCCTAACCCACTAATAACCCCATCGAACCACCCCCCCCCCCCTCTATAAGTAATCCCTGCAGCACTATCTGCCAACTGCCCATCGCGGAACCCCGGTGCTCGGTTTAGGTAAACTCACATTACATGCATCGTCCTCAACAACATCTTCCCTACACAGTGAAATCTCGTCATAACGTCTATCGCATTAAGGCGATTTCCACATTAACGTACGGCAGATTTACGACACGCCAAACTATTCCGGAATAATGTATTTCACATTAACATGCATTTCGGACTTAAGGTTGCCGTTTCGAAGTTGTGGTAATTCGTAGTTAAATTCGTGGCAGCAGCAGCATGATATATGATGCCAAGCCGACTGGACCGTGCTCGCTTTGCAATTATTTGGCTATGACAACGCCATGCAAACTGTTGCCAGCCAAGACTGGAGCGGCCAGGTCACTGAAGCGGGCACGTCACTTTGTAAATCAATGTCATTTTTTTTTTATCGTGCGTTGGTCAACTCAAGGCAAACAATCCACCAATTTCTTTAGTCGGTAGGTTTGAGTTTACAAAAAAATTTGACAACTGTAACTGGTGACATGCAGAGTTGTCCACGATCTTTTCTTGTCATTTCAGATTAAAGTTCAATACAAGTTAAGAAAATACCCAGTCCCCGCACGAATATTAACGAGATTTCACTGTATTTGCACCAAGAACCTAACATAATACAAAAAACCCGATTCTAAATGTACGAGCAGATGCCCTCAATGCTTTTGTACCAGCACGAAGAGAATGAATAGAGTGCTTGTTAATACTGATTACTCAGGATGGCGGCCCTGGCTCGCAACTCTCAGGGAGTAGCTTGCTTCACATTCTCTTGAGGAAACGCGACTCTCTTGAAACCAAAGTGACATTTTCACAGACACACGCACCCGCGTGCGCATCGGGTGGCCCGACAGAAGAGGGGAAAACGCTTTGTACTCGGGCCTCCAATTCTCACTTGTTGACGGCGCGACCACATCATGCACGAGGCTGCGGGCCAGGTCGGGCCAGGCCGGTGCAGCAACAGGAGTCGGTCGCCACCTCCGCCATACGACGTCTTAAAATCATCGCATTTACAAACGACTCGGTGCCCAACAGTTTTCCAAGAGTCACCGAGAGACGCAACCCGAAACAAATGACTTTAATTTGACTTCCAAGAGCGACGTAGCGATGCAGTGACGTATTAAAGAGTTCAGCTGGCACGCCACAGTGACGAGGCGGTCATTAAAGCCATCTTCAAAGCCTTCCTTCCCATTAGCATGTCTTCGAAGTCGTGTCGGGCAGGCCAGGATGCACGGCCGAAGTGGGTATCTACAAAGAGCTTTGGTGCTTGGCTTGCATCTCTCTTTAAGGTGTTTGACAGAACCAGTTGCAGAGATATGGCTTTGATTAAGCCACCAGTATGGCGTGGCTGAGGCTCACGTTCGCGTAACGAGGTGGTTTTTTTGGCTGCTCGCCGAATGTTGAAGTGAAAGTCCAGCCTTGTCCAACAAGTGTTCAGGCGAATTCTCGAATGCCGCTCACCCATTTAAAACAACCCGAGCAACCTGACTTCATGAAAATGTCCAACGAAATAACTTTTCTCCAAGATAAAATAACCCACTCCGGACTGAAGAACAGAGGCCACTAATTATTTTTACTCCCCATGATGACATCGTCTCATACCCCAGCTCCACAAGTCCAGACGCATCACTCCTCCCTAAGGGGCCATCCATTTAGTACGTACGCATGGAGGGGGGAGGGGGGGTTAACCCAAATGTGTACGCTTGCATATGGGGGGGGGTCTACTGACAATGTATGTACGCATAGGAAATGGGGGGGGAGGGGGATGTGAAGCCTCAATAATAATTATTTGTCTACATTGGCCTTCAAATGACCCACAGTTCAGTTTCTTCAGCTGTGGGGGGTGTAAAAAGTACGTGTGCGTACAGGGAGGGGGGGGGAGGGGTCAAGTTGAGATTTTTTTCGTACGTACGAAATGGATGGCCCCTAACCCAACGCTTCCCAGAAGGAGAGGACCCTCCCTGCCCAGCTCAGCCGCCATCGCCGCTCTTCACGCAGGAATATACTGATTGTTGGTGTCGAGTTGATACACACGGTGGGGCAAGTGCAAAAGTAGCATGTGAAAAATATAGGGTCCCTCGAGCCTGGAGGTGAAGAGGACGGAAACAAAAGTGCCACTTGGCTAAGAACTTGTGCCACCATGAGACTGGCTTGCCCAGGTTGTAACTGCTTCACCACGAGATGTGGCACAGCTGGGAAGGAGGCGTGCAGGGATACTCCACATTGTACATCTGCCCCTTACTTGGGCGACCACTCAACGAAGTTTAAATTCACATTCTAAGTTAACTCGGAGGTGAAAGATACACAATTATCTGGAGAGACGTGATAGAACATGGGGACCCCCCCGGCCGCCCCCTCCTCACCGGCCACGTGCCCCCTCGGATCATCGATCGCAGCGGAGGGAGCCGTGGAGGCGACGGCCTTCAAAGCGGCCCGCTCATGACCGCCACCGATCCGCCCTCCTTCCACTGATGTAACGACGACAAGACAGCGCCCGAGACACTTGATCAACGCCCTCCAACGCCAGCCGCCCACCACCGCGGCGAAGCTCGCCGTCGGCGGCTGTGGCTGCATCACCGTGGCATCGACTGAGCGGGGAGGTTCCAGTGGGCATGTCCCTTCGCTCGAGCAGGAGCCCGGTGTCAAGAGTGCGTGGAGGCGAACGGCTCAGAGTTGGAGACCTCCTTGGCCAGGTCGCTGAAACGAGCAATGTAGTCCACGCCGCTCTCACAGATGATGCTGGCGAGCGGCGAGTCCGCCTGTGCACAGCGACACACGCAGATGCGCGTGACAACACACACGCACATTGCAAAGTAAACAAAAGGTAAAGCTGTAGAGTCCTGCAGTTGCTTGCTTACACCACTGCTGGCAGAAGGGCCTTCACGAGAGGGAGCTCTAGAAATCCCTTGAGAGGGTATTTTGGCCTACTCTTTCATGGTCGCCAGATATCTTGAAAGGGGTGAGAGTAGTCACATTTTACCCAACCACACGGGGACCTGCCGATCAACTGTGGTGCAGACACTATGGGCTGTATTCTTAATGAAAGCTCAGCTCTGGTTTGGCCTCGAACAAGGCTCAGTTCAAGCTTGAGCCGTTCAGTTGCTTTTAAAGATGCATCAGTGGCTCAGCCATGGAATGGCTCCGGTCATGGAAATCCGGAGCATGGCTGGAACCATGTTCAGAGCTGGCTCAAGTTGAGTGTGGCCTTTATGCCGGCTCAGTTGAGCAAGTGTCAAGCCTGGGATGAGTCACAACCAAGGGCCTAATACTGCCGAGTGGACAAAGGTTGGGGGGATTTAATAAACCTGCCCATTGTTTCACCTACTGCATACGTGCGATGATGTTACATTTTGTCTGACAAGAGCATACAAAACTGTATAAACGACACAGGAAAACATGATAAACTATATAAAAAACAAAATAAATGATTGCTTCTTGAATCGAACTACAACTCCCAAATCACAACAATTCATCAAATTGCTGTGGGGTTAATAATTATATGCCTATTCAAAATGCACTTGCATGGGCCAATAAGCCGTGACATTCAGAGTTGAACGAAAAATACAATCTGTAAAAAAAACTTATCCCGAGTATTCTAGACTTTCAGGGTCCTGCGTGGGGGATTTTTGGTCAATTCCATTTTGGAAGTATTTCCACGTGCTGGAGACAATGCGGGGGGGGGGGGTAACTTGAAAGAAAACGTTAGCTGCTTGAAGCACTAAGTGTTTGCTTATGCCTCGCGCCCGCCACATAGCCCAGCTCTTGACTAACTCTCGACTACACAAAGGAGATTTAAAGCTTTCGTGGCTGCAGGGATTCATCTTCTTGGTTCTTTCGATAAAGTAACGTAGAAGGGAAATAATAAAATAATAAAAATAAAACATAATAAAATTATTCTCAGACGCTGTCTCCCCGACAGACCTGGTCTTCACCTGAGGACGGCTGCTTGCGTTGTGGCCGAAACGTCGTGAGAATTATTTGATTATGTTTTATTTGTATTATTTCCCTTCTACGTAACTTTACCGAAAGAACCAAGAACACAAAGGAGATTACAACCAACATTACCATTGGCAAGGAACGCAGCCCAAGGCCCCCCCACCCCCCCGCTGACCTGAGCCCTCACCTCCGTCACGTGGGGCCGCGGCGCGTACGAGTCGTGGACGTTCCCCTCCAGGAGCGAAGAGGCCACGAGGTCGGGGTTGGCAGCGCAGTGGCTCAGCAGCTGGATCGCTCGCTGGCTCTTGTCAGGCGAGCTGAAGTTCGCTGTGGTGGGAGGGATGCCGTCGTCACCGCCATTAGCATCTGCGCACACAACGTCACCGAGCCCGGCGCTAAAACTCAATAGTTGACTTATGATAATTGTTTCTTTACCCTTCTATCTGGCAACAAAACTGACACCTTTTTTACAAGGAGTCATGTTTACATAGACCACAATACCTGCAGTCATAATGCAAACAAAAAACATAACTCTGATAATGTGCACTGTCCTTGAAGTTGATCAACTTCAAGGACAGTGCACATTATCAGAGTTACGTGTTTTTTTCTGATGTGCACTGTCCTTGAAGTTGATCAACTTCAAGGACAGTGCACATTATCAGAGTTACGTGTTTTTTTCTGATGTGCACTGTCCTTGAAGTTGATCAACTTCAAGGACAGTGCACATTATCAGAGTTATGTTTTTTGTTTGCATTATGACTGCAGGTATTGTGGTCTATGTAAACATGACTCCTTGTAAAAAAAGGTGTCAGTTTTGTTGCCAGATAGAAGGGTAAAAAAACAATTATCATATTTTTACTGGCAAATGAGGTTCCAATGGTAGTTGACTTTACCTTGTTCTCTGGACTATTGATGCTCCGCTAAGTAACATGTACCCCAAAACTAGGTGCCGCCTGATGTCAATATTATTAATTTATACAAATCAGCTCGCACGCACTTTGTGGATTTAAAAATGCAACCCCAACCTCTGCTTGCAATTCACGAGAAACATGTGCGTCTTGTAAATCAAGAACCTAAGGTACCGCTTGACATTGCTCACAACGCAGTAAAACCACACTTAGAGAGCCGCTGCTACTGGCGATGGTGACGGACGACGATGAGCAAGTGTCGATTTTTCTGCTGTGGATGGCAATGACGATGCTGACGATAAGGCTATTGCGGATAACGTTACTGCTGTTGCCGATGATGTATTGGACTGCATAGATTGTTTTGTTGAGAGAAAGCGAATGTTGAAAAGGAGACTGGTCACGCACACAGCAGGCCGCCGAGGCACACGTCCCCCACGTCCCCCACGTCGCTGCCGAACCACTGCGGCTCGTGCGACGGCGAGCCCATCCAGTTGCGGGGCGACGCAAGCGGCTTGTCCCCGTCCATGCCATTCAGCTTCCCGTCACCTGTGCAGCACCATCGTAACAAAACGAGACAGAACAAATGAGGCAGTACAACCAAGAAAGCGGATTCAAGAGGCACAGACAACATATGAGACGGACAAGGTACATCATTAAACCTCCTTTGCCAGTACCAAAATAAAATAATAGGGTTGTTTCCCCTTTTTTCTGGCAACAACTGAAACCTTTTTACAAGGATTCATGTCTGCATTAACCACAATACTTGCAGTCAAAATGCAAACAAAAAACACACTGATAAAATATGCATTGTCCTTGAAACTGATTGGTCCACACCAGGGACGGCTTTCTTTTGAGCCTCGACGCCAAAAGGCGTACATACGCCTTTTAGTGTCCTCTAATCGAGCACCAATTGAGACGAGGCTCAAAAGAAAGCTGTCTCTGGTGTGGACCAATCAGTTTCAAGGACAATGCATATATTATCAGAGTGTGTTTTTTGTTTTCATTTTGACTGCAAGTATTGTGGTTAATGCAGACATGAATCCTTGTAAAAAGGTTTCAGTTTTGTTGCCAGAAAAAAGGGGAACAACCCTATTATTACGGATAATGTAATTGAGGAACATGCGAAACAGGCGGCACAAACGAGCCAGTAGAAAGGAGACAGGCGTGACGTCCTGGTGTCACGCTGGCTGACCCAGGGGTGGACAACCAAAATAACAAGAGACATTTTATTCAAATTCGGTAATATAAACTCAATATTTCGAGAGCCACAATGCACGCGAATTCAAGACGCTACTGAATTAATAACGTCAAATCATATTTTTTGTCATCGCTATTTTAAGAAACAGCACACGGACAATTATCTGTAAAGCCGCATTACTAATCATTGTTGGGCTTTTAAACGTTCACCGTTTATTGAAAATAATTAGGAGAGTTTTTTTTTACTTTGCAACTGTAGCGTCGGGGGCCACGAAGCAGTTCTTAAAGAGCCGCAAGTTTGCCGACCCTTGGGCCAGCCCCTGACCGCCTTTCGCCGTGACTTTGGGAGGCCTGGCGCTTGCCGCACCTGTCATGTAGCGCTGCGAGCCGATGGCGAGCTCGATGATGGAGTCCCCGATGTGGGAGTGGGGCCCGCCCTGCGACAGCGAGTCGTCTGGTGGGCCGGGCAGCGAGATCTCAAGCAGCAACGGCACGTGCGGCGGCGACGGCAGCAGAGGCCCCTCCACGTGCGGCATCGGCGGAGGCCCCACCATAGCCAACGTGCCAGCGTCCTCGAAGTTCTGCCACGCGTGCGACACATCCGGGGCGCGTGATTTAACTTCTCAAGAGATTAAAAAAGCGCGCAATGAGTCACGCACCTTTGTCAAAATCCTAAATCCACTGGGCTGTGTGAGGGTTTGTAAAGACATCCATGTGCACTTTATAGAGTATCTATCTCTAAAATGCATGATGAGTTTGTATTCGCATATTCAAGTTTACAATAACACAAAGCCAACTACTCTGTTTCGATTTAAAGCTTTCGTGACTGCAGGGATTCATCTTCTTGGTTCTTTCGGTAAAGTCACGTAGAAGGGAAGTAATAATTATGTTTTATTTTTATTATTTTATTACTTCCCTTCTACGTGACTTTACCGAAAGAACCAAGAAGACTAACTACTCTGTATTAATGTTCCTGGCCAAACATCCCCAATGTAGGATCCTCCTGAGAAGACGTGAGAGTCAGTCAGGCATTCCCTGCGTGAAAATCAAAAACGGAGACTAGGCCAGCCGCTGACGGTCTAGCGGCGAGTTGCCGCAGTGCAAAGTTTAGCGCACTGGACATTGCAATAGAGAGGGTTACAGGTTCCACCTCTCAGTGCGGCCAATGAAAAAATGGTGCACGTTTCTTAAATCATCATTATTGTTATTATTACTTCTACTGCGTGTGGTTAAATCCTCACCAGACAGTGTCCGCCAGGCGTGATGTTGTGCCCCTCAGACGGCGTGGACAGGGTGACAAACGGCACCCGGCGACTGCCGCCACTTCCCGTGTCCTGTGGTCAGGGTCCATGGGTCAACAAAACTGAAACACTTCGAATAGACGCACGTATGAAATGGGCGCGCGTGAGTCAAAGCTGCTCCAAAAGTAAAAGTATTATTTCATACCAACTTTTGAAAACCAACCATCGACAACTATGAACGTTGAGCTTGGAAAGCTATGAGATGGCATCTTGGGTTGCCAGATGGATTCCATTTGGACCTCACGCAAAAGCGCGTTGGGCAGCGACCGGCGATGCGAGCGAGGGATGGCACTTCACAGTCATAATTAGGCAACTCCTTAAATTCCCTGGGAATTCTGCTATACTGTCATGATTAGCACACAAGACATGCTGTGCAAGTGTATTATAATCCCTCCCACCTCTGTGCACGCAGCAGTATAAATAGAGTAGATTGGCAGGTCGAGTGTGGCTACACCCACCGCTTCTAAATCATCTTGCCGGTGAGGAAGAGTAGGCCAATATACCCTCAGGGGGGGTTCCCCTGAGCTCCGTCTAGCAGAGGCGATTCTGCCAGCAGTAACATGAGCAAGCAATTTCCAGACTGCACCTCGACCTTAATGCCGGACTTATGGAGAAGATCTGCGTACTCTGGTAAGAGACCCGTAGACTCAAGTAGATCCACGATTAAGTTCGCTCGGCCGACCGATTTGACGTTGAACAACAAAGATCACTTCGAGCGCCGCGGAAGCTGCAAAAGTTTGGCACAAATGCTCTCCGCGGTGGCCAAGGCTGGCACCGGCACCGCCCAATAACCCAGAAAAACTGTGAGTGATGGGACTACACTTAACCGCAGCCATTAAGAAAATGTGGGTGGGGGGGGGTTGCCTCTTAGTGACGTCACCGCCCTCACCTGGAGGCAGCCAGGCAGCTCGATCCCGCCGCTCTGGCCCCCGTACTGGCCCGCCCCGTCGGAACCCGGCAAGGCCGCCGAGGAAAGCTCAGGCCCTGTCACCGCGCTCAGGCCCTCGCGGATGGGGCTGCCTGGGATGATCCCCGCCGATTTGGCGGCCAGGTCGATGGCAGCTGGTGAGAGAGAAGGGGGACAGCCGACAGGGAGGCAGCAAGAATGGGGAAGGTAGGTGGGGGGGGGGGACAAAAGATTAATTAGCACGTTACAAAGCGAGTGGGCAGCTGCCGTGATTTAATGGGTAGCACACCAGATTTGCAATCCAGAGATCACTGCTTCGATCTCCCGGCATGGCAGTTGCAAAAAGGGGGCGAGTCCATTATACCCCCATCCTCCCCACCTCTGTCCACTCAGCAGTAAATGGGTACAAGCACAGTCAGTCGGTCTGCGGGTCGGGTGTGGTGGGGCAAAGTGTGGGTACACTCCCATAGCTTCCAATACGTCTGGCCTGCATGAAAGAGTAGGCCTGAACACCCAATGGAGGGGCTCTCTCTAGAGCTCCCTCCAGCAGGGGGCCCATCTCCTTGAGAAGTGTCATGAGTCCACCCTTATCTACGCCACGCTCCACCTGCGCGTCCTGCTGCGTATTGGGGTGGACTGAGTGAATGAGTGGCTGAGTGGGTGACTGAGTGACTGTCTCACCCCGTGTAGTCCACCCATGTCTACGCAATCGCAAGGCTGCGCCTTTATTCGGCGAACAGCAATGCAACCGATCGGCGTCACCGGGTTTGTCATCTTTACCACACATTCTTGTGCGCACATAATGGGAGTGTGAATTAAAATATCGCCTCTTCGACAACAAACAGCGGCAACAATGTCCACGTCAGGCATTAGGGGACAGCGGTAAGGGATACGCACTCGACAAGTTGCTGGCCTTCGGGTCGTTGGGAGGGTGTGCCAGGGGCGGTAACGGTGAGAACATCCCCGTGCCTGCACACGCACACACAAGCGTGAGCACGCACACACACGTGTACCGCATGTATAAAAACAAGCGTGTGTCAAAACGTTCCGAGGGTAATTCTGCTTAAAGGCTGTAACTAGATGTTGGTTGGTGTCAATGTATGCACCATTGCATGTAAATGCATACATGTGAGTGGTTGCTACATTAACTCCAACAGCAGAATATCTCTGGGCTGTGCGTCACCTGATTTCTCCAGCATAAATAAAGCTTCCGATTCTCCAAAGATTCTGACCTGGGCTGTGCATCACCTAGATTTTGCCTCACCTAGGCTCTGTGTCATCTGGGTTGTGTGTCATATCTAGGCTATGTCACACGCATGTGAGGCTTGGTCTGTACGAAAATAAACTTTGAAGGTTCCTGTCAGGCGTGACGGCCATAGTGCCCAAACACATTCCTGCGGAGGGAGCTGGTAGGAACGTTGGGTTGCTCGGTCAATGGCCAGAGTCGACGGCGGCGTGGTGTATTCCGCAAATATGCCCGACTGTGAGGGCGGGCACAAGCCGGCATGAGTAGGTTAAACGTTGAGTTTTATAAGGGCACCATGGGGTGACCAGCCCCGCCCCACCCAGCCCCACCCCTCCCACCCCCCACCCAGCCCCACCCTCCCCACCCAGCCCCTCCCCACCCTCCCCACCCAGCCCCTCCCTCCCCACCCAGCCCCACCCTGCCCCTCCCTCCCCACCCAGCCCCTCCCTGCACGACGGACATAATAATCACCTGTGGGCTGGTGTAACCAGGAGGTTCCTACCAGTATAATGAGGTCACTGCACTGACGTAGAACTTGCACGGAAGTGCCAAGTGTCTTGTTCCTCACGGATTAAGTTTCTAACTCATGATGATGGACAAACCCACGATAAACAGCAGAGAAATACGAATCTACAAGGGCTACATCACTCCATTTGTTTTTCTTAGGTTGTGCCAAAATGTGAGAAATTTTACACTTAAAGATGCAATGGAAGATTTAAAAAATATATAGTTTTTTTTTAAGTATCGAATTGCCTGAGAACTAGTTTTAAGTTGCATTGAGGAGGAAACCTATTGAAAGCAGTTAACAACAGCCCCATAAAAATGCACTGCAGCAATTTCACTCTCTGGTGTGGTGCATGAGAGGGAGCCATCTATGTTGATTCAATGGAATATGGCTTACACACCAGGGAAACATGATAAAATAACTAGGAGGCAAAAAATCCAGGGGGAGTTTCTTTCTTTCTATCCACAAATTTTGTCAAGAAAAAGGCCATCGCTCATTTGGCTTTGGGTTGCGTCTTCGTTCACATGTTTTGCGCAGCCGACTGCTGACGTCACCGCGAACCAATGGCGCAGCGTACCTGCGACCGAAGAGCTGGGCACGATGGCGAGAGAATACATGTGACGCAGCGAGTGTCCCGCCGGGCGCGGCATGAGGGATCTCTGCACGGCACGCGCAAACGCCACGTCTCGGCATCCCGTACATCACCATCATCATTACCACCACTGCCGCCATTATCGTTACCACCATCACCACCACCATTACAACTCACTCCAACCAACAGCTCCCATCAATATTACCACGACCATCATCACCACCACCATTAATCACAAACACCCACTCCAAACAACAACACCATCAACCACTCCAATTACCACTACCAGCCAATTCAAACACGACCACTACCATCATCATCACCATCATTATTATTATCAGTACAACCATTGCAATTGTTGTGGCTGCTTGGGAATAGCTGTTACCTGGACAACCAGCGGCTTGCGCAGCATGCGGGTTCGCAGCTTCCGATGCTGGGGCAGGAAGATCTCCGCTTGCTGTCCGAAGAAAAACACAAAACCAATATCACCGTTCGAATCCAGCACAGGGCGGGAGTAGTAGAGGGAGACGGCTCGGGTGAGGTGGGAGGATGCGGTGGAAGGGGACGCGAAGAGGACGGTGGAAGTGTGACGAGAGAAGAGAGGCACAGAAAAGCATGTGGAGGAAAAAACTCAGAGCAGCCGACCACAGCAACAATGGAACTTTTGGATGAGAATAACGAGGAAAGAAAAGACGCAGGAGAAATCGGAGGAGGTGTTTGCCCCTCGATTTGTGTCCTCGATGTCCAGGTGTAGCTGAACAAAGAACAATTTTAACATTAAAACTAAATTAAGTAATACTGCACACGACTCTTTTTCACTATAATTTCCGCAGATTACCAAACCGGTCACGCCGTGGCTGCCACGGATTTCTCCCGACATCGCCGAGGTGCGTGGCTCACGTTGATGGAGTCGAGCTGCTGCCGGAACGTGATCTCCGCCTCCTTGCTGGGCGACAGGGGGCGGCCGTACCGGCTGGCAGGGGGCAGCGCCGATGGGACTCGGAACAGATCGTCGTCCGAGCGCCCGGTCGTCTTCGCGGCCTCCGGCTCCGTGCAGGATGCTGCCGTGGCCGGTTTAGCCACGTTCCTCGCACCTGCAGCATAAACCAAGGGACAGGTGATGCAACGGAGAGAAGTGTGAATGGGGCACAATGTGGGTTTTACTACGTAGTCGGTGTTTCCAGTTCGGCTGTATAGTTCTCCGATTTGTGTTTTCTGGTTGTACCCAGAGTATTGTTTTGCTGCACGTCCTTAGAGCTTTCTTCAAGAACGGAATGTTTCTGAAGAGCTGCATGTTGCTTAACAAGCCAACAGCATTCTCCTGTGCCATCCTGTTATCAGGTAATCCACCAGCTTCTCCACCTGCGAACTCCGTTGACGCCAATGCTGAGCGCAAAGCTCTGGCTAATCTGCAGTAGCAATGTTACTGCAAATAAACGGTCATGTACATCGAATCTGCGCCTGGTAAATTATTTTTTATTTGGCTTTGCACAAACCATCACCACTATCATCATCATCATCATCACCACACTCACCTGGTGCCACCGCCAGCTGACCCACGCGCACCGCGTGCCGGATGAGCCCGCGCCGATCCGGGGCTCTTGGTGCTGCCGCCGGTGCCTCCGCCGCCACCCGCCTCTGCGCCGCCGGCCTTACTAGGCGACAAGTGAAGCCCATCGGGTGATTGCACGCGATGAACCTGCAACAAATATACCACCCCGAAAGTCACCTCGATTGCGCTGGCCAACGACGAGCCCGGGTCGCAGGGAATCACGGGCGCAAGCGAATCGGCCTCCGAGCGATTCAACTGCTGGCGGGTTTCCAGGTCACGGTTCAGTTTAAGAAACCGTTCATTTTCGTGTTGTTCGCATTACCTCACTGTTAAGTATGTATGTACGTTGAACTTCTCGTACATCGCACAATACAAAGCGTAAATATTGAGTTGGTACGACACAATGCACAGATCAAAATCTATTGTTATGCTGAAGATGCACGCAGCACATCACCATCATGAAGGTCCTTTATAATTGTGAGCAAAGCACGAAGAGTAACCCAAATGCCTGGCCTATGAACAAGGCAGGCCCCATAAAAATTCCATCCTACACCTCTGCTGTAGCAGTTGGATCATGTGTGCGTGATGTGATGTTCATGTTAATTGTATGCCAACATTTCTGCACATATGGAGAACACAAAGATACATGTACACCAGACAAATACACAATGGAATGACAAAAGCTTGGCAAATAAGAATCAATGAGTGAACTGAACTGTGACAATCGAATTGCTGTGGAGGTCGGGTGAATCATTACACGCCTAACTGTGAGTGCAGAAACAGATTTGTAAGGTAAAACACTGACTTGCAATACAAAAACTCTCAGCACATTTCTTAATACCACTGTGGCCATAAAAAGGAATAGGTCCGTAAACGAGTTAAATCCACGATGGATTGTAGGGCAGGTCAGCCTGAATGTTTCAAATCGGCGCAGATGTTCCTTCAAAGGGATCCATGTTTCGCAAGCAGAGAGAAAGGAGGGCATAACTGTGGCCGAGAAGACGGGGAGCATAGTATATAGTGATAGCCCAGATAGCTTCCACAAACTGATGCTGGTCACAACTGACCAGGTATGGACATTTGCCCACTGTCTACAATTGCCTCATCACTCATGGGGAGTTGAAGGGGTGGAATATTTAATGCTTTGTTTTTATAAGGCTGAGGATAAGGCCCCATCTCTTTGTAACGTGCTCTAGGTTCAGCAGTAGCATCTCCAACTTCTTCTCAAAGTGAGCAGCAATTACCAGATCATACGCATGCATAACATGGTTTACCAACAGGCAGCCATCCCTTAACAGCCAGGCATCGATCAGCCTCCCATTGCATCTGGACCAGATGCAAAATTTCTCTAGTACAGCCATAGAAAGCGTCTCAAACTACGTGGTCAAGGAACATGTTCAATATTGTCGGGACCAGCTGACTTCCCTGTTGCACTCCAAGGTGAACACGTAATGGCGAAGGCTTGCAGCCACGCAGCTCTAAGGAAAGCACGAAGAGTAACCCAAATCCCTGGCCTACGAACAAGGCAGGCCACATAAAAATTCCATCCTACACCTCTGCTGTAGCAGTTGGACAATGAATATGGCGCCTGTGCAGGACCACCCTAGTCTGAAGCCACAATGGGGCTCCGTAAACCTTCTAGATTTGAAGCTTTCGTGACTGCAAGGATTCATACTCTTAGGTTTTTTCGGTAAAGTCACGTAGGCAAAAATAAATAATAAAAATAATAGAAATAATAATAGAAATAAAATAATAAATCACGACGTTTCGGTGGGACAACCACATCAAGAAACAAATGCTGAAGAGGGCTCTCCTCAGCGTGCCTGGTAAGGCGATGTTGAATAATCCTTCCCAGGACCCATCATAGCACAGAGGGAGATGTCCAGGTAGCTGTTACAGTGAGGACCCACCAGGGCATGTGCACAGAAAACACACGCGTACAATCGCGCGAGCACACACACACACACTCGTGTACACACTTGCACTCGCTGCGGCCCACAGCACCCTCGCGACTCACCTTGGGGTTGGCCTCCAGCACCACGAGCTGCAGGAGCCGCTTCAGCATGCGCTGCATGTGCACAACAGGCGGCTGCTTCTTCACTTCTGTCGATTCCGTCTTCACCATGGTCTCGGTTGGCGTTGGCGCCGGCACCGCCGTCGCCGCCACCGCCGCCTCTGTCTGGCCCACGGGGCCCGTGGCCGCACCATTGCCGGCTACCGCCGCTGTCGCCGCCGTCTCCAGTGCCTGTGCCTCATCTGCGGTCGTGGGTTTGTCGGCCAGCGTAGATGGAGGCGGCTGCGGCAGCTGAGGCATAACCCAATCGTACTCGAGGAGCAGCTTCTCGGGCTTGCCGAGCGTCACGTACACCTCGGCGAGGGTGAGCGTCTTGGAGCCGCCCCAGCCCTCCCGCCACACCTTCTCGGCGAAGGCGGCAGACTCCTCTTTGCGAGGGTCGGGCGTGGACCTTGGCCGCGCGGTCTCCGCCCCGCGCTTGCCGCCGCCACCACGAGGCTCCGGAAGCTGCTTGTGTTTGGCCGCCGGAGTTACTGCCGGAGTCCCGCAGTCCCTCTTACCGTCGTTATCGTCCATGGCGGCGCCGCCACTTTCTAGCGCCTGTGCCGCCACCTCCGCGACACTACTGGCGGTGGCCTCGGCGGGAGAGGCCGGTTTCGGCGAGTGCCCGCCAACAATTGCGTCGGCGCCGTTCTCAGCCGATCCGTCAGCAACTCCGGGCAAAGATTCCTCCACCCCATTGAGCGTTGCCGTGGCCGCGAGCACCTCCGGAGCGAGGTCGGCGTCGATGCCGGCGCCAGCGCCGTGCTGCACCGAGCACTCCTCGTCAGGCAGCCGGTCCGATGCCGGCTCTGCAGGCGCACCCCGCTCGTCCTCGTCGCTGGGGATAACGAGGCTCCGGCAGCTCTTGAGGTAGCGTGGGACGGGGTCCATCAGAGAGTATTCCTCGTAGTTCGTCACCGGGCTCAGCACCAGCTGCAAGCGGGTGCTAACTTCTGGTTTTGATTCCGGTTCCGCGCTCGATACGTCCGGCTCGGAGTCGGCGGGATCGCGTGGAGCGGTGTAGCCACCGCTTGGATCCTTTTCACTAACCTCCATCGGTTCTGCTGCTGAACCCACACGCATGCGCCAGAGCACAGAATCAGCAATAGTAAACATCCATACTTCAAAGCCATGTTTCAGCCACAGCAATTGAACACGTTTCTCAAGTGAAAAAACAAATAAAAACCACCACATTTTTACATCATTTGACTCAAAATTTCAACTGAAAAATAAATATCTGTTTGACTTCCATACGAAAAAGATTTATCTGTTGCATAGTGTGACGTAAGAGCAGTGCCCCATAGTGTGTAACTGATAAAAGTCACTTCAATGAATCTCAGCAGTTCTGTGAAATCTATCGGCCATTCTATAACACGGGCAATGCATTGCTCTGCGAGAGTTTCCAATGGATACTTGGTTTGGTAAGCCAATCACGAACCACTGAAACCGCTTAAGTTGGTGCGGGTCGTTTGCTCGCGTCAGATGGCAGGGCGGTGCTCACCTTGCGTGGTCGCGCTTGACGCTTCCACCGTCGCTGTCTGCGTCATCCCGGACGCCTCCTTCTCCACGCAGGGCCCCGCCGGCTCAGCCATGCTGACCTCCCGCATGCGAGCTGCTGCCCCCCCTCCCTCCTGCCCCGATGCCCCAGCACGGGACCCCCGCTGCCCCTTCCCCGTCGTACCAGCAGGACCAGGGACCGGCCCGTTCTGTGACAAGACAACGGCGCTTGTTAGGTCTGGGGCGAGGACACGGCTGCGCTGAAGTCTGGGTGTCACACGGAGAAAAAGACGTCTCCACAGACAACATTACCACCAACATGAACACCATCGTCAATACCAGAGATAACATTATCGCCATCATCAGCATCATAACAGTCAACATCACCATCTCATTCCAACCACGAACACCACAACCAACACTTTCATGACCATTATTCGCTTTAATGAATTGGGTGCCCTAGGCTAGACTGCCGTAGGGCAATAGAAACTTTGAGATGAGGCGTGGTGTCGGGCGACCAGAGATGCTGAAGCATTGATGGCGGCCTATAAATGCAAATCCTTATCCCTTGGCAGGACAGCCCGCACAAGTTGCCAGTGTCAGCACATTCACCTTGGCAACGGATGCGGACACCACAACCGCCGCTGCTGGCGGCAGTGGCATCGGCTGCGGAAGTGAAGCGGCGAGGCAGCTGCGGCCTCGAACGCATCAGCTGCGCTTGCGGCGGCACGTAGGGCTCGCGCACACGGCTCTGCTCCTGCCAGTGCACCGTGCACATCGTGCGGCTGTGCCGCACCCGCGCCACGCATGGCAGCGGCGACACCACCACCCCCTCCGGAGGGAACAGCCGCAGCTGAGGACGCTCGTCGGGCGGCGACGATTCCACAGGTGGGAGGCAACCCGCAACCGCCGGTGTCGCTGCCGCCGTCGAGGACGTTGACGGCGATGACGTAGTCGTCGTCGTCGAGCGCGATGACGTCGTTGAGGACGAAATTGTCGAAGACGTCGTCGTAGAGGACGATGACGTCACCATTGAGGAGGATGAAGTCGTTGTCGAGGTCGACGTCATTGTGGAAGAAGATGTCGTAGGTGCCTTTGCTTCGCCTGACTGTTGTTGTTGCTGCTGCTGCTGCAGCAAGGAGATACGCTGAGTGGGCGGGGGTGATCGCGGGGTCAAGGAGAAGTCGTGCTCAATGTCGACTCAAAATCGATCTTGGCAAATTTAGGACGTAAAAAAGCTGAATATTCATAGTGCTCCGAGTAGAAGATTGTGAGAAGAGTGTGAAAATGACAGATGTGTCTATTTTCCGTTGCAGAACAACAAGTTCTCTCCTCGTAACAATAATCATACTTTAAGGATACAACTCTTGTCTCCTTGGGCGCCCACTTCTCCTTCAGGAACTCGATGAGGTGGGAGACCTTCCTGTGGAGCTCCACCATCATCCTATGCCGTCAGCAGCACCAGGTTATTATTACAGCCAACAGCATCATGCACGTTCTCATCATCACCAGTGATAGCAGCACCAGCAGTAACAGCATTATCAACATCATTGCTATCGGTAATATAACACCTATTGCTAAAGTCAACATTCATAATCTTCATCACCTACACTGCAATCGACACCATCACAGCCAACGCCATCGCAATTACTTTCACTATCATCACAAATATATAATTATTCACTCCAATCAGCATTCTCACCACAACCTGATATCATGTACATATCACTATCAACACCAGCACCACCGCCACCTTCACCGACATCACTATCAAGCCCGAACACCATTGGCAGCACCATCAGCACTACCAACATCACCACCATCGCCGCCACCACCAAGCAACACAACCACTATCACAGTAGGCCGTGTAGGGGGCAGGACAGTGTGGAACCCACCGGAGGCGAGGGTTGTGCGCCACGCTCTGCACGCGCGTCCAGGCGCTGTTGGTGCGCGGCTGCAGCTCCACGCAAACCTTGGTGGGCAACTTGAGCCTCTTCTGCTCTATCTCGTCACTCATGCCTGCGTCAACAACAACAACAATGCTGCGTTTATAGGGCAGTGCCTGTCAGAACAACAACGGTCTTGCAGAGCACTCGAAGATCAACGCAATGCATGGTACCGACGAAACCCAAGACAAACGTGAGATAAACACACGCAGATAAATACTCATTGCTCATTAAGGAAACATCAGTAAAGATTTCATTATGATCATCGCGGTCATCGTCATCCACGATCAATCCACCGATGGATGAAGGCCTTCGTAAGCCAACTACCACCTCTCACGATTCTGCGATGCAATAATCCACCAAGCACCTGCACACATCTCCTCGGTGAACATTCTCTGAAACAAGTTCCATTCCTTGACTGCCGCCCCATTTATTTATTATTTTCGACCATCGTCCATCGTCGTTTCGAGCAACGTGTCTTGCCCAGGCCCAATTACTTTTCTCAACAGTTTTTATGGTGCCATTAACCTGCGTATCTTCTCCAATCCACGTGTTCATAATCCACGTGCAAGCTTTATTGAACAAATACTTCTTCAGGCGTGATTTCAAAATGGACACTGAATCGGCAGATTTTACCGAAAGGGTGGGTAAGGAGTTACAAAAGTTACGAGTGTAACTCCGTCCACCTGACAGCAATGTGCCGTGCAGGTTGGACTCAGCGGTCGTCAACTCACCGTAAGGGTCGCAGATCTTCTTGAGCGCCCGGCACATGGGGGCCTTGATGCGCAGCTTTCTTCCATTGTGGCGCAGCGTAGTGACACTGCCAGCGCAACACGGGACGGCGCAACCGATCACAGTTCGCCAACGCTCATCAAACGTTCGTCACAATGCAACAAAACTCAAAACGATCAAAATATTTCATAAATATAACTCCATCAGGTGCTGCCGTGGTGTATTGGTCAACACACTGGACTAGCAATCCAGAGTCCGCTGGTTTGATCTCCTGGTGCGGCAGTTAAAAAAATGGGTTACGTTAAAAAAAAATTCCCCCGGCTTGAGTCCACACCAAACGGTTATGCCACAATCGATCGGCAGGTCGCGTGCAGTTAGTGTAAAGTGTGGGTATACTTTGGCCTCTTCCAAGCGTGGTAGAGTAAGTCAAAATACCCATCAGAGGGGGCTCTCCAGAGCTTCCTCTCTGGCGGAGGTCCTTGCACCAGCAGCGGTGGCGTGGGCAAGGAGTTTCAGTCCTGCGCCAATGACCTCTCACTCTTATTACTATTTTAGAACGTGCGAGTGCATTCGGCATCGTGGCGCCGTCAAACTCACCCGAGCTGAATGAGCTCGTTCAGCTTCGCCGAGTTCCTGTCGTGCATACCTGGCATGGGCGACAAGGGGTGTGAGCGTGACAAAGGAACGCCTTCAAAGGCCCACGACAGTAGGCACCCAGAGCAACCGCTGCTCGGGATGTATTCAAATGGAGAAGAAAAGAAAAAACAACCAAGGAAAACCCTCGCGAGAGGAACCATAACTTTTTTTCAATACTCTTCCTCCCGCTGCTATTTAATTAATTCTGACGATTCTAATTCGCTCATCGGGAAATTGCATGGCGTCCTCGGTCTCCACGTTTGTCTTGTGTTGCGCTCTCATTCATTACGTTGGCCCAAACGGTACCGCTTGCATATATTTTGAATATGGTGTAAATTGTCCTTTCTTTATTGGACAATTTGACGCATTACCGTCAGCATAACAATAATTTTTTATCGATAAATAATTCAATGTTATATTTAACATCCTACACCATAATTTTACATTTAAAAGGCAACGGCTTGGGTAATACTTCATCCAGCAGTGGACAGAGCAGGGAATTATGATCAGGGTCTCACTGTTTTTGGAATCTTCAGCACAGCACACTGTGGGGGTTTCCTTACTTTCACCGATTACTGTCGAGTGAAATTAACAAAACAAACATAAATATTATTGACCAGCGCAGTACTCACATCCACCCATCTTCTTGCGCAGTTCGCCGTAACAAATGAGCCCGTAGAGCTCTTGGGAAGACTTCGCCATCCCACGGCAGAAAACTGCCGAGCAGAGGACGGAAATCGCAATCACAACCGGCAAACACAGCAGCATAAGAACCTCCCGCGGAGTGAAAGCTGAACAGGGTCACTGGAGAGCAGAGGGCAAGGGAGAAGTAGAAGATTGCATGGAGACAAGTAGTAGTGTAAGACCGAGGTGAGATGTCGGAAGAGTGTGTGGAAATAAAAGGGCCGTCACTCTTCAAAACGAGGGCAGTTTTCCGTTTTCCTTCTCAGCCCGCCAATTCCAAACGCGACGCAAGAAATACATCTCAGCAGCACTCCTGTGATATTACATTACATGGGGTTTTCTCCAACATAGGGAAATGTAAAAACTATTTTTACGTGCAATAAACATGGGAATGATTGTTTCATGAAATACCAATGCCACAACCAGACTTTAATCGAGGAATAAAAAAATTATGTAATCAAATACATTTTGCAGATAAACCGCTATTTCTCCCGACACTTTATATTGGACACAAAGAGGCCTCAGTTTACGTAAGAGACACTCACTGCGCTATGGGACAGCTGCCACTGACGATGGAACTCTCCAGCCCGACTCTCACACCCGGGCCATGGACACTCACCGACCCCCCACCACAGAGATTGACCGACCCCACCACAAAAAACTCACTAACTCCTGCCATGGACACACAGACCCCCACCACGGACACTGACCGACAGACACTCACCGACCCCCGCCACAGACACTCACTAACCCCCGCCACAGACACTCACCAACACCCACCACAGACACTCACCAACACCCACCACAGACACTCACCAACACCCACCACGGATATTCACCAACCCTCGCCACAGACACTGACCAACCCTCACGGACACTCACCAACCCCCACCACAGACACTCACTAACCCCCGCCACCGACACTCACCGACCCCCACCAGACACTCACCGACCCCCACCAGACACTCACCGACCCCCACCAGACACTCACCGACCCCCTCCAGACACTCACCGACCCCCACCAGACACTCACCGACCCCCACCAGACACTCACCGACCCCCACCACGGACACTCACCGACCCCCACCACGGACACTCACCGACCCCCACCACGGACACTCACCGACCCCCGCCACGGACACTCACCGACCCCCACCACGGACACTCACCGACCCCCGCCACCGACACTCACCGACCCCCGCCACCGACACTCACCGACCCCCACCACGGACACTCACCGACCCCCAACACGGACACTCACCGACCCCCACCACCGACACTCACCGACCCCCACCACGGACACTCACCGACCCCCAACACGGACACTCACCGACCCCCGCCACCAACACTCACCGACCCTCACCACGGACACTCACCAACCTCCGCCACCAACACTCACCGACCCCCGCCACGGACACTCACCCACCCCCACCACGGACACTCACCGACCCCCACCACTGACCCTCACCGACCCCCGCCACCGACACTCACCGACCCCCAACACGGACACTCACCGACCCCCAACACGGACACTCACCGACCCCCTCCAGACACTCACCGACCCCCTCCAGACACTCACCGACCCCCTCCAGACACTCACCGACCCCCTCCAGACACTCACCGACCCCCTCCAGACACTCACCGACCCCCTCCAGACACTCACCGACCCCCGCCAGACACTCACCGACCCCCGCCACCGACACTCACCGAGCCCCGCCACGGACACTCACCGACCCCCGCCACCGACACTCACCGACCCCCGCCACCGACACTCACCGACCCCCGCCAGACACTCACCGACCCCCGCCAGACACTCACCGACCCCCGCCAGACACTCACCGACCCCCATGGACACTCACCGACCCCCACCATGGAGACTCATCCACCCCCACCACGGACACTTACCGACCCCCGCCACCGACACGCACCGTCCCCCGCCACCGACACTCACCGTCCCCCGCCACCGACACTCACCGACCCCCGCCACCGACACTCACCGACCCCCGCCACCGACACTCACCGTCCCCCGCCACTGACACTCACCGACCCCCACCAGACACTCACCGACCCCCTCCAGACACTCACCGACCCCCGCCAGACACTCACCAACCCCCACGGACACTCACCAACCCCCACGGACACTCACCGACCCCCACCACTGACACTCACCGACCCCGTTATGGACACTCACCGAGCTCCACGACAGACACTCACCAACCCCCACCAGACACTCACCGACCCCCACCATGGACACTCACCAACCCCCACAACAGACACTCACCATTCTCGAAGTCTATGTGCTTGGAGATGCTGTGCCACGTGCGGTAGTAGAAGTGGCGGACCTGTTCCTTGTTTTTCACTGCACCCGCAGCAGGGTGGCCTTTCTTCATGTAGCGCTTCGCGATGTCATTCTGGATCGCCTCGAAATCCTTGCCGTGCTGCAGTGAGAGGAGGCGCAGGTAGCAAAGAGGGCGGCGGGGAGGGCGCGAGTACCATTAGGCGCCGTGTTGGTTCCCTACCGCGGCGCCGGCTACGCTCGGTGAGTGTTCATTGGACACCCCCCGCGGCCCAGGCCTCGTACCTCGAAGAGGCTCTGGAAGAAGGTGTTCTTATCCTCGGCACTCCACAGCTCCCACTGCCGCCTCGGCTTCTTCTGCGTTGCGTCTGGCCCCTCTGTGGCCCCGCGGCCGCCCCCACTATCCACAGGCAACGGCCCGGGGCCTGCCTTGGCCCCAGAGCCCTTGACGGTGCCGACGCCGTTGCTCACCGCGGGGCTCCCCTCGCCACCTGCAGCAAACAAAACGAGGGAAAGCGCAGAAATAGAAATGGGTACACCGATTCGTATGCGGGGGTGGACCGTTGGCATAGTGGTTAGTGCGCCGCGGTAATAACACAGCAGCCAAAGTTTTCGGTTCCCAGCCATGGCTAACGTCAATGACTAGTGATATCTGAAACGGTTTATATTGAAAAACCGCATATAACCATGAACGAATAAACACGACTGAGAAACTATGCAAATGAGACAACATGGATTTAATTCATGAAACAAATAGATTGCAATTTTGTTGGAAGCGTAAAAAAAAGGGTCATAGTCCTACTATTAACCAAGAAGCTCACAGCTTTAACGCGAATAGGTGAGGTCTACTGTAATCACGGCGATGGTCAACACAGACTGTCCCCTCACCTTTGACCTTGGGCCCATGCTGCTGCGGTTCTTTTAGAGCTCTCTTGACCGGCGGGCGGGAAGCGCCACGAAGCCGAGGGCCGCTTCTTCTGGTGTCTGCAGCAGCAAGGTTTGCATGCTGCTGCTGCCCGAGAAGGGATGAAGGAAGCGAGGCCTCCCTGCCTTGCTGTGACGGTGGCCGTGGCTGCTGCTGCTGCTGCCCTGCTGCCGGAGTTCGCTTGCTTCCCTTGCGCTGCCCGGCTGGAGTTGCGTGCGCGTCGCCGGTGCTGCCTGGCATTCTGCGGGAGAAGCAAAAGCACGGGCAGCGGAAGAAGGCATTCAAAAGGGAGTTCAATTCGTGGTGGCGCAAGTCATCGTCATCATCTTATCAAGGTGGCGTCCTCCTTGAGCTGCCCGTGCTACTGGGGGTCCCTCCTTGGTTAGACTGCAGCAGCAGGGCACAGGAATTGTTGAGATGAAAAGTGCGCTTTGAGTTGCGAAGGTATTTATACAAGCGCTCTATCGATGAAATGTTTTATTTCATCATCGGTAGGAGCGTACTATTTGAAATGTCCACAGAGACACCAGCAGCAACATCAGCAAAACCGTTAAAAGCCAACAGCAATTGCACCGTTAGACGTAATAGCATTAAGAAGCAATAACAGCAGCAGCAGCAATATTAAAAGGATAGAACAAATCAAAATAAGCGATTGTTAGCAGCTACAGCATCGCTCAGCAGCATCGGTAGTAGCAACAGCATCACCCGTGGCCACACCATTACAATCAGCAAACACAACCAGCAGTAACAGCATCAGCAGTCGCACGACAATTCGATGCTAAAGCAGTCGTAGAAACAACATCGATAAGAACAGCATCGACATGATTAGAAGCAGCAACAGCATCGTTCGAATCGTGAACCTGGAAAGCAGTGACACCACCAACAACAACCACAATCGCAGCATCGCGTTAACAGCGGCGAAAGTAACAGCGACAACATTAAATTCGTATCGGCAACCGTAGATCGATCGTCGTCACCACGAACCACCTCATCTAAAAAAAAAACATCGCAAAACGTGACGAGCCGTGGCTACAAAAGTAAAACTTTTATGAGTCCAAGTCGCACACACAACACCACCACCACATCGCACGCAGCCAGACGCAGCAAGCGGCGTGCGTCTTGTTACACGCGGCAAGCAACAGCGGCGATGTTGTTAATGACGCTGCTGCTGCTGCCCACGACGACGATGTTGCGATGTCCTCTGATGAAAACGAGATCGATGTTGACGACGTCCCCGTCTGCTGAAAAGGAGAGATGAAAAGTTGGAAGCGATTTCTCCTTCTTCTCAACATGGCTGCCGCGGCCGTTCCAAAGCCCGGCGCGTGTCTTCCTCTCCAACCTTCCCTCACCACCACCACCACCAAGCTCACTCGCTCTCACCTCGCCAAACACCGGCGACAATCAGCCAAGACCGACTTAGACGCGAGCCCAACACGAACATAAACAACCCTCGGCGAGCAGAGCCGAGCCGAGCAAAGCGGCCAAAAACGACGACATCGCGTCGACTCCACTCCGCGCAAAAACAACGACGCGGCCGCCAATTTCCCCTTTCCTCAATCAAACCCCGCGCGGACGATAACACAGAGACGCCCTCCCTACACACACACACGACACCACCCCGAGTGGGACACTCTCTATGAGAGACGTGTTTTAATGTCCCGTGTGTGGTTTTTGTTGATAATCTGCTCACCCGCTCGGAGTCGCCTTACGGGCGCGGCCCATGGCTGGCGATGGCGCGGGACGCCTCCGAGCCAACGCAACGCGACCGACGTTCCCCTCCAACAACCAAACAACAACAACAATAAACTCCGTGGAGGTTTGCACATCCGTCTCGTTCGCATGCGTGGCCCCAAGTGTTGCTGTTGTTGTTGTTGAAGTGATGGTGGTGATGGTGGTGGTGTTGTTGTTGTTAGAGGATGAACGTCGCGCCGTGAGTAGTCGGAGCGGCTCTCTCCCAATACGTCATCACGCAGGCGTCGATCGCGCTTTTGTCTTGGCTACACCACAACCACTCGCTTCTTTTACTCACTCGTGGTCTCGCTCTCTCGATTAATTAACGACGAAGATTATTAGCGAACGTTTGAGGCGATAAGCGAGGGGTTTGTTGGGTTGGTGGACGAGGCAACGCGCGGGTCGCCGCTTGCGCTGCGGAGGAGAGAGGCGGCGTTCGTGAAGGGGGCGTGCGGCCAGGGACGAGGATGGAGATCAGACACACATGAATGTCTCTCTGTCCCTCTAAATCTATAAGTCTTATCTTGCCTGCCCGTGTCTCTTCTTCCTGTCGCTTACAATCTCCCTAGAGGTTTGTTCGTCGACTAGCCGCTCACCGGCACCGACTGACGTTGTTTGAAGTCAGCCACCCACCACCCCGAGCTCATGCTACTGAAGCGGGTGTTTATTGACGCCTGAGTGTTGTGTGTTATTAATATGGTTCACACACACACCCCCACCACCACCCCTAACTACACACACTTTAAAATTCAACAGAAACTAAAATAAACACACAATAGCAGAGTGATAATAACAACAACACCGACCCCCCCCCCCGCCACCATGAGACATTGCCTCCAACACCTGCGTTGCGTCCCGTGCCACGGAGACATGGACCCCCCCCCTCTTCCCACAGCCCAACCTGACCCGCAATATTTCAGGGTTTAATTCACGATTTAAATCCCTCGTGACGAAGACTTCTACGATTGAACACAGCTCCTTGACAGCGGTGAGAGCGGCGACGCGTCGGAGCAAACAAAAAGTAAACAAACGACAGCGGTGACACGTGGTGGTCTTGCCAGGTCCGACTTAACATGTTTAAAATACCCGACTCAATACCCCAAACAAAGCTGTTCTCTAAAGAGACGTGGGCTATATATATACCTGACCGAACACACGATAACCCCGTGTTAACAAGACCCGGAATATAACAAGAAGCCGAATCAACAAGAGCCGATCGGACACTCACAAACCAGGCCTCCTCAACAGACCCGGCGTATCGGATCTAACACGAGTAGCCGGGACCTGCCACACCAGCAGTCGTCTATTTAAATTAAACTACAACATCAACACACCTCGTGTGTGTGTGTGTGGTGCCAGCGGTGCCACCACTCTCAACTGCATTCAAGACGACTTCTATCAGGGCCACCACCATCAACATCGCCATATACACAAGCGCTAACAACCATCACTATCATCACCATTATATCACCAACCACAACAACCATCACCACCACCACCAACATTATATCACCAACCACAACAACCACCACCCTCAAGCGTCATCACCACATCACCATTATATCACCAACCACAACAACCATCACTATCATCACCACCACCAACAACAACACCAACCACAACAACCATCACTATCATTACCACACCACCTCAATCACCACCTACCCGGCACTGCAGCTGCTCGGCTCCGGCAGAGGCCACGGCCGTCACAGCAGCCGTCATTCAGACACCCCCGGCTCACCCCCCACCACCCCCCCTGATTCTCCCGGCAAACCCCGAGGATCACCACCACCACCACCAGCACCACCACCACCAGCACCACCACCACCAGCACCACTACCACCAGCATCAGCACCACTACCACCACCAGCATCAGCATCACTACCATCACCACCACCAGCACCACCACCACCAGCACCAGCACAACCACCAGCACCACCACCACCACCACCAGCACCACCAGCACCACCACCAGCACCACCACCAGCACCACCACCAGCACCACCACCAGCACCACCAGCACCATCACCACGGAGTTGGCTCACCCCGAGTCGGCCCGGCCCCAACGCTGCTGCCCCGGCGACTCCGCGTGGTGGCGGGAAAAGCCGCGCCGCTCGGCCGCCCCGCTCCCATTGGTCGGCAGCGCGGCACGTGACGGGAGGCGCGTCACGTGGTAGTAGGGGGGGGGGGTGTGGGGGGAGGAGCGGTGGCGGTGCGGTTCGCGCGCTTCGCAGACGGCGTCCCGAGTTCGATTCCCCCGCCGGTGACAGATTAATTGATTATCGGAGGCGATCCTGGGACTCGCCTAGGTCGGCTCAGCCTCGAACGAGTACCTGGTGCGGAGTGTAACAACATCGCCGCTGGGGAGACAAAATGCGGCCTGTGGTGGTGTGTTGGTCACCCACCCCCCCCTACTCGTTGTGCCACAGTGCCGGCCTTCATAGAGGTGCTACTCGCTAGCAGCACTTGCCCCAGCAGCCTGTGAAGGCTATACGGGGGATCTTTATCACTTGCCGTTGCGACAGCCCCCCCCCCACAGTGTCACGTGACGGCGGTGAAGCACACCCACCCGCCCCCAACATCACGTGACGAAAAGGGGTTACGCCCATTTCCCGCCCCCTTAGTGTCACGTGACGGAAGGTCTCCCCCCCCCCACCAACCCCCCACATCGTCACGTGATGTCCAGCCGTTTCCCCCCCCCACCGCCCCCTCCCTACAACATCACGTGACGTGGGGCAATCACGTTGCACCTCCCCCGCTTCACGTGATGTTCGTGACCCCCCCCCCAAACATCACGTGACGCTCGCCGGGTTGATTTGTGGGAGGTCAGAGGTTAATTAGCGAAACGGATTAGGACTTAAAAGGCGGATTTTTTTTAACGAACCAGATGTTCGTCAGTTTAAATCGATTTAAATATCAATTGTGTGTGTACGTCGTGCACTGAAATGTGTTTCATTGCGATTCGGTTTTCGTGGTCAAGTTAATTCAATTGCGTGACGTCACGACGCACGTGCCGAGTTTTGACGTCACGACGCACGCATCTATTTTGTGACGTCACGACGCAAGCATATATTTTGTGACGTCACGACGCACGCATCTATTTTGTGACGTCACGACGCACGCATATATTTTGTGACGTCACGACGCACGCGTTAACTTCGTTCGATCAGGGAGTTTTTTTTTATTACGCGGTGACTTCTCAAAGTACCGGACTTTGTGCGCGCTATGAATTAACAAAATACTACCCAATCTCAACACTTTCGTAAACAACAGTAGCCTAAAAAGCGAAATATATAACAGGCGACGTTTCTAGCAATGGCCCTTCATCATAGCACATGGGGAGAAAACACCAAAAATGAAACATATCGGCATACATTTATTTGTACAATACAGTAGTTTATTTATCATGGATGTGAACTTAAAAAAATGTAAAATATCTGTTCCGTGGAATTTGGTCAACCAGGGCCCTTGAAACTCCTCCCATCCACGTTCCGCTATTATTCTGCTTCTTTCACTTGATTACAAACTCTTCAAACCAACCAGAAAAGTTAATGTACATGTACTTCGACACCCAATGAGCCTTCTGCTTGATCGCAAATAGCATTAAAATATACTGTCATTGAATTGCAAGTACAGTACTGTATCGCCGTTATCCACTTTCAAGTTTTTGGTATGAATTACCTGTAAATGCAATTGAAAGGTACAGTAGTAATAATGTATTATGTGCAGTATATCGGGCACCCCCCCCCATAACTGGAGCGACTCCCTCAAATCTGGCTCCGAGCGGTTTTACTGCCCTTCGAGATGACTCCCCCCACCACCCTGATCGACTTAAAGGTTCATATCATAGCCAGATACATCGAACAGATATTTGGAAGATCTCAGGCTCGGTTACGAAGAGAACATGAGAGGTGCTTTGTTGTACTGCGAAAAAAATAGTACTCGACATATAGTGGATAAAATATGACTTCAAAACAGTAGCAGCAGCAGCAAAAAGTGGATCATGCCTACCAATGAACACAACGCATAGGTCTGCCTAGACTTCGTGTTAAAATCCAGCGAGAACTTCCACCAACTCAGGGTGATTTGCTGCAATGTTTTATTGCCAGTATATGCACCGGAATGGCTAAACCATGAAGCAATTGGGGCATATGTGCGGTAGGTATTGGGTATAATCCGGGCAGGAGTGGGGCAGTTGAAACAGGTGTGGGCAGGTGTAGGATATTAGCGGGGCAGGCACGGGGCAGGATTGTTCGGCAGGTATGGGACACAAGTGGGAGAGTTTAAGCAGATGGTAGGACATAATTTGGGCAGAAGTGGGGCAGTTGTGAGACGGGTGTGGGCAGATGTAGGGCATTATTGGGGCAGGTGTTGGGCGAGGGACATGGTGGGGCAGGTCTGTCGGCTGAAGAGCTCGAGCGTGATAGCGCTCAGGAACACCGGGATGCTCTTCTGCTGGTGCAGGTGCAGACTGATGAGGTCTGTCAAACCTTGCGAAAACTCCGTTTCCAACAATTGCATCTGCCCTGCGTTCTGCGGACACGTCAAGAGGTAATGACAAAGATGGGGGGGAGGGGAAGGGAAAAAGAGGCAAAGGGAAAGAAGAGAGATGCAAGGGGATATTGTTGTCACACATGTCACACTCGAGATAAGCTGGGGTTTTACAATAATTATAACGATTATGGAACATTTATCCAGGAGTGCACTCTATGACTTTACATCTTATTTACAAGAGGGATTTTGGGGTGGCAACAAAAACTACACAACGGAACCCATCGCTAAAACATAAGTGTGCAATCACACCTAAAACGTGCACAACAAAAGAACAATTTTGTGAAAGGCTCCATTATCAACTCACCCACCAAGAGAGCCTAACATTCAAAGCAAAGCTCTACAAATCTACACATGCGGTGTGTGGTGATCCTGACTTAAGTGTTTGGGCTGCCAACAGACACCACCAGCCAAACCAGCCGATCTCTGCTGAAAAACAACAAAAAAAAGTTCTGCAGCCAAACTGTACCCCCCAACCTCCATCCCTAATGCCAACCCCAGCCATTCCCCTTTTTTAAATCCTTTATATTAAGTTCGCTTGCTTGCGTGCTTGCTTGCTTACGACCGTGCAAATCTTTCGGTCGTTTTTTAACCCACTTCCCGTGATCCAATCGAGCTGACATTTTGCACACAGACTCGTTGTGCGAGACAATTAATGTTCGTGAAAATGTTTTCCAAAAATTTACACTGTTTAGGGAAAACAAATTAAATACTTAATTACCAATTGCTTAATACTGGCAGACAATCATCTGACCCATAGGTGGCAGCCATCTCAAGCCAGAGGACGAGAGGACTCTAGCCGCCACGCATATAAATGATTTATAGTGAAAAACTTTGTTTTTACGGGTTATACTTATTCTCACACATGATTAGATCACGCCCATAAACACACCCAAATGCCATGCCCCCTGAGCCCCATGACCGATTCTAAATTGCGGCAGCACTGCTCGGTGCGTACGCTGCACACGCTGCACCGACCACATGGCGCACACCTTAAAGAGGAGGTAGTCGTTCTCCCTCTCGGCGTACATGGACGAGAGCTTGTACTGTCCCTCGGTGGAGCCGTCCATCTTGTATCCTGTGAGCGAGTAGTAGGCGTTCCGGAACTCTTGAATCTTCATCTGGAACACCTCCTTCAAACGCAGGTTCTTCAGTTCTGCACTCTCAAGCTGCTTCCTGAGATCTGCATCGCCGTGGGGAAAAGAAAGCATCTCAGTCATTGCATTGTTTTGCTTAGTCACGCTTGAACCATACTCTCAGCATGGCATTCTTCACTTAATGCAGTGGTTCTCAACCTTGCCCACGCCTCTCGTCAATGCGGCGTCAATAAGCATTTCTTTTGTCTCGTGTCTAAGTGTGTTTTTTGTCACATCGGAGCCCTCCCGTTCCCTGCGTACATTGGAAATTTCTCCTGCACAATATCCATGCGGCAGCCTGTACCCCTCCCTGGCAGAAGCCCCCATACAATCCACACCCAGCATGACAAGGCTAATGATTGTGATGACGTTCATCACGTCTTGTGACACAAGTGGGAACAGAGGTGATACTTTTTTGCAATTGTAATTTTGAATTATCTGGTGAGTTGAGTAATCGAACTGACAATACACTAATCGACTATTTAAAATAATTGGACAACAGTAGTGATGGATAGACCGATATGGGAATGGCATCACGCTGACCTGACTAAAGTGCTATAATGTCACACTCAACCCTAAGCTATGAAGTCTCATGAATGCAACTTTAAACTTACATTGGACAGTCGAATAATTGAACCGAATACCAGCAGTAATACATCTACTCCAGAGCTCCGCTCTCGTTTAAACGCTTTCTGCTGTGCGTCTCGGGCGCCGGCGACGACGTGTGCGCTTCCGCTCCCGTTACCAGCGATGACGCGAGAGGGCAGGGCGCTCTCCGAGTCGCCGGGCTGCTCGGGGAGGGCGGCTGTGGCGACGGCGCCCCCCTGCTCCAGCAGGCGCACGCGCTCACGCAGGCGGTCGCACTCGTCCTGTAGCCGCAGCAGCTCGTTTTTGTGCTGCTCCTGGGCCGCTGCGAGTGGGTTCATCTTCATCTGGAGCACGCGTGTGTGCCTCGGGTCGTAATCTCCCTACGCCGGTGCCACCGCAACACGGGGAGGGAGGATGAGGGGCTACAGTTCGTCACCATGAGGATTTGCAGAAAATGATCCGGTACATCCTGTGTTGCATCATATTTCAATTACAGTATTTCAATGACCTGCTACAGCCTAGCAAAGGGGATTCCTGTACCCGGCAAGACTTCTGAACACAACAAATTAGCCAATCAGCCACGAGTATAATGCCTGACCCCTTTCACGAACCAACTATCCAAGCAATCACTAACGCTTTTACTTACCCCTAACGATAACTAAGTAGCAAACCAGCCACGCGTACTCGGCTTTCCACTGACCCCGAATCATAACCCTTAAATCCACTTGGGGTACTTTGCCTGGTCCAATTTCCACTCTTTGTTCCCTCTTCAGGTGTTGTGTGCTCCCAGTGCTGCCGCCCCACCTGGAGGCTTCGCATCTCCAGCCTCATCTCCAGCACGCCCTTTTCCTCCGTCACGGTGTTCAGCTTCTCCTGGAGGTCTTCGATCTTCTTGCTGCACCGGGACACATGAGTGACACATTTCCGATTAAACCACCTGCCGGGCATTAAAGATTAATAAAAATGTAACAAACAAAAAAATGTGTATTGTATTAGCCTATGTCATTTTATTGACGGAGCTAAAATTACCATATGGGCTCACTCGGTAAAAAATTAACCCGTAAAAAGTTTTTCACTATAAATCCTTTATATGCGTGGCATCGGTTTTATTTTATTATTCATTTCTGTTTTTCTTGAGTAAGAATTTCATTTTTATCACATTGGTATTTAAAATTAAATGAAATTTTCTTTTTTCCTAAAAAGTGGAAAATTTTGGAATTTTTTTTTACGAAAATACATTGCCACGCACAACGAGTCTGTGTACAAAATGTCAGCTCGATTGGATCACGGGAAGTGGGTTAAAAAACGACCGAAAGATTTGCATGGTCGTAAGCGCGCAAGCAAGCAAGTGAACTTAATATAAAGGATTTAAAAAATGGGTTTAACCCCGAGACGGGAAGTGAAAATGAAGGAAACATCAGCAGTTCATCGCAACACTTACCACGATAGCAGAAACATAAACACTTACAAAGCATCTATACACCGTGCTGGTAAACCATTTTGGGTAAATTCTAACTGAATGGATGTTTTCTTTGCTTTACAATGCGTTTGAAAAATAAAAGTTGACATTTGTAAAAGGTTACTGAACGTAATTTTTCCCCCCAGATATTTCCACGTCATCCGATTAGTCAAGTAACGGAACCGCTAATGGGCAGAGCAATCGTTCACATCACCAATCGGATATCCTTACTTCTCAAGTGCGCCGGTTTCTGCCATGTCCCGCTGACCGGGGAAGGTGCACGCGCCCGCTCACCACAGCTCAATCTAGATTTGAAGCTTTCGTGACTGCAATAATTTAAACTCTTTGGTTCTTTCGGTAAAGTCACGTAAGTATAAAATAAATCACGACGTTTCGATTGCAACACAAGCAATCGTCATCAGGTGGGAAAACCACAGCGAGAAATTTTTTGTTTGCTGAAGTGGGAGAGAGAGAATCACCACAGCTGGTCGGCCTCGTCCCGCGAGAAATCCCTGGCGGCCGCCGACACCCGACTGCGCTCCACAGTCAAGTCGGCCTCCAGCTGCAATCACAACCACGGTCCCCCGCCCGTCCGTCGTCAACATTCGACAGGCAACGATTTATCGACTCAAATCTATTCTTTCGCTCATGATACGTGCGTCTATTTAGGGTGACGAAGAACGACTGCAGAAACGAGACAGAACATGTAAATATACGTAAAACAATACAAACGAGATGGGGAAAAATACGATTTAAAAAATGTAAGATTTTTGGATCAAAATTGCGACTCGCAAGTAATGACACGTTATCGAATCACCGGATGGGTGAATTAAATTCCGAATCGGAATCAACGTCAGGCATTTTCAACGATCAGGTATGCATGCTGATTGTCGCTAAGTGCATCCCATGTGTGATTATTATTTAAATTATAATGCGAATCAGCCCCTTGTTTCGTTTCATAGCCAATTCTCAATAGACTAGCCTAACATCCCGCGCAGAGTCCAGAGATTTGGCGATATTTTCGAAAATATAAATCTTGGTCACCACACGCTCACCTTCTGAGCTTTCAGCTTGTAGTTAAAGGCCTCCATCTTCGTTGTTCCCAGCTGCTTCTAATCAACCATAAACATCACGTTATCAGCAATCAGAATGAAAGGGAGTTATGACAAGCCTTGATCGCAAAACAACTGCCTTCACAACCACCATCACAACCATCACCTGCATGGGCATAATTCCCATGTGGACATCATGACCTTTGCCACCACCATCTCCACCACTGTCACCTCTTTCAAAGCCACCACCTACTTCAATAACACCACCATCCTCCCCACTATCACGCCCTCCACCACCACCGCTCCCACCTTCTTTACCACCACATCCTCCACCACCACCACCACCATCTTCTCGACCGCCACTACCAACACCACCTCCATCACCATACCCTTCTCAACACCACCACATCCACCACCATAACAACCATCTCTTTTACCACCAGATCCTCCACCATCACCATATTCCCCACCACCAACTCCAGACCCAACACCACCACCACCACCACTCTGCTCTCCTGTTTTCCAGTCGCCCCGCTCTACCTCGAGTTCCAGGGTATGGACGTTGACGCGCTGCGCTGTCGCCTCCGCCTCGCGCACGCGCTGGCTCAGCTGGGTGGTGAAGCCCGTGGTGGTGGTGACCTCATCGTACGAGTCCAGGATGCCCCTCATCCCATCCCGCTCCTGCATGTCGTGCGCAGCCCCCCACCAGAAGACAAAGATCCCCCCGTGTAGCATTAACAGACTGTTGGGGCAAGCGCTGTTAGCGAGTAGCACCTTTTAAGGCCGGCACGGCACACGAAGGGGTGGGTGGCCAGCACTGATGTTTACACACCGTACCAGGTAGTCATTTGCAGTTGACTCGACCTAGGGGAGACCCAGCACTGGTTTAGATAACCGTCACTGGTATGGGTGGCCGTAAGCAGGAATGGAACTTGGGAAACCGGGTCTGTAGTGCAGCGTGCTAGCTGCTACACTAGTGCTCCCATTACCATCCAATTTGTGAAATATGCACACGTACGGAATCGTGTTCACTATTATTAATCATCAAGCAGTGGATTTACCAAAGCCGATAGTGATAATGGAGGGTGGTTTAGCTATATTCTGACAGATGGAATAGATATTCATATAGACTTCATTTTTCTGCCTGAGTGAGCGGACCCGAGTAAGCAGCATGCATCGTCGCTGCAGGTTCTGCGCGTGGTGATCTGCCTGCTGCTTGCGCTCCACCGCCTCGTGCAGCTGCGCCGTCAGGCGGATCTTCTCCTCCTCCAGCCGGTGGCGGTTGCGCACCGCGTCACGCACGCTGCACGCGCAACAGACGCGACGCGACTCGACGTGAGGGATGTGCGACAGACGTACGTACGTGCTTATGCTTATTGAACTTCTTTCGCACCGTACGCAGCCAACAGTGCTGCTCGGACCAAGCAATGCGGGACGTCACCAGCGATTGATAGTAAAATAGAGCAGTGTTAGTTTAGCTCGTGCAGTTAGTGATGAATATACTCATCAATAGGCCGTTTTACGTGGGTCAATAATGACCGTGAGTGGATGAATCATCAACCACGAAAATGACAACTACGACCACCCACCAAATTCCAAAGAGTGACCGACTATGACGAGGTGAAACTAACGAGTCTGAATGAAGAGGAAGAAATAAGATAACTTAGTAACGTTCTTAGAGACAGTGCACTAAGTGGCTATATATGTGTATAAAAGAATTTACTGAGTTTACGGTTTGTCTGATCTGATGTTGGGGTGAGAGAAATTATGCACCTCTCACACCAACATTTAAAAACAAAGAGCGGACTAAACGTTTAAATGCTTTCATCAACTGGACTTTACAGAATGGCTACATGAAATATTCACAGATCAAGACTTGACTATAATTCCACAGGTTGTCAGCACATAAAATAATGTGCTGACTACATTAACAATGAAAGGAAGAGCCGGCCAGAGTTGAGGGCAGAATGGGGTGGGCTCGCAACTTACGTGGCACCCATGCTGGAGTTCTTCTGCGCCTGCAGCAACTGCTCGTGCTGCAGCAAGCTCAGCTGCCTGTTCAGATCGGTCGGATTCCTGACAAACAACAACAACAACAAGTGCTGTTGACTGTTGAGCGTCACGGCAACGTTGCCGCGAGACTCGCGTGAGACTTGGTGCGCTCTGGAGGAATCATCATCGTCGTCTTCACTTCAATATTTATACCGTGTCTCCCGTAAAAGTCCATTGCAAATCCCGAAGCGTCTTGTGGCACGGGATTCCTGGTGGCAGCTGACTCTGTGCGGCATAAGGTTGACGCAACATTGGCCCGCAAGTGGGCATTAGTCTGCCAGTAGGGGGGCGATGTTGCGATGTCGCTTCCCAATTAAGTAACTTGCAAGTACACTATGAGACCTCCTTTACCAGTGGCAAAATATAGTAATAGGTTTTTACCCTTTCAACTGGTACAAAAACTGACACCTTTATACAAGGCATCATGTTTGCAATAACCACAACACAAGCAGTCAAAATGCAAACAAAAAGAAACAACTCTGATGATGATGCATATCATTATCATCAGAGTTGTTTCTTTTTGTCTGCATTTTGACTGCTTGTGTTGTGGTTATTGCAAACATGATGCCTTGTATAAAGGTGTCAGTTTTTGTACCAGTTGAAAGGGTAAAAACCTATTACTATAACTTGCAAGTAATTTATCAAAATTTTACCAGTGTTGTATGGCAAAGGCTCTCCGATGGGGAGGATGTGGGACAGACCCATCACAGGGAGACACATGCCCACAAACGCGGGGAAATAGTGATGAATATTTCAGTGAGTCAGGCCGCTTGGGCGAAACCCATTAGCGAGCGGTTGTTGATGACTACCGGAGCGACGCGTGAGGAGGTGGTGTACGCGGGGAGCTTACTTTGCCTTCATGCCAGTGACCTGATCCAGCGACTCCCAGGTTTTCAGCTTGTTCTGTAAATCCTGGAACAAGAACCACAGAAAATCTTCATGGTGGCACTGGCGCCGACCATGGCCCGAGGTAAAAACTGGCCGAGGTTAAGCGATGAATGTCGCAGGCTAGCGAGTAGCCATGTAATACATGTCATCATAGTAACCAACTCGTGTGGCCGAATATTCAGGTTTTATAAAAATTTGAACGACGGTGCAAATGAGACTATAGACATGAGATATAGCACCAAATGATATAAACTAAAAACAAGATAAAAAAAAAACAATAGGCCGCTAGCCTGTGCAGCAAGCCATCTAGGGCGTCTCAGACCCTCATGCCTTCGCAGCTTTGGGGGCGCACTGGTGCAGCCATGATATGGCGATGCGCCATAAGATATAAATATCTATGATAATAAAAAAAATCGTATACATTTTTGTTACATTGTGATTACTGTTCCTCTTTTAAAGTTCTGTAATATTCATTTCTGATTAAATATTTCGATAAAATGTCGAACTAAATGGCGCCAACGACTTGACCAAAGCATCCAATACAACTAAAACACACTGCGTCGCTGCGCTGTCTACATTCGTCATCCTCGTAGCGAACAAAGACGTTCACTGCATCGCGCGCTTTCGGATCCGGTTCTGCGGCCGTCTGGAACGCTCTGCCTTCCGACCGATATTAGGAAGCCACCGGAGCTGTGCACTTTTAAATCTAGATTGAAGACTCATTTCTTCAGAGTTGCTGCTGTGTTTAGTTTGTTGTCCTTTCCCCGCACCTCCGATTAACACGGTTGGCTACGTATGGCGAGAAAGTAGTTCAACATACAAGATGTTACGGATTGCTGGTGACCTCAGTGGCACGGCTCGTCAATGTGCAGTGGAAAAGCAAACCCCTGCTTTCTCCATAGCGGAGCCACCCCCACCTCGTTCTCCACGAGCAGGTGGGCGTGCTGCTCCTGCAGCTGCTGGAAGCGCTCCGTCTTGGAGCGCAGGCTAAGCACCTCCTCCTTCAGCAGCGCCGTCTTCTCCTGTGTCTCTCTGCACACCACACCAACCCATTGGAACGTTTGCTATTCGTGACTATTTCTCACAGCGCAAGGCAATATCGGAGGAGACGCCATGTTTCACATGCACAATCTGCGGTAGTTTCACAGAAGGGGGCGATGTTGTAAGTGTGCGTTATTTACAATTGAGCAGTTTGCGGTTCAGTTTTTAAATGTCAAATTCAGATCGCGAAGAACAAGGCCGACTCTTTTTCGGATTTATGGACAATGCACCCGCAGTAACAACCATAGTATTTATGGACAATGCACCCGCAGTAACAACCATAGTATTTACGGACAACGCGCCTGCAGTAACAAACAAAACCGCTGCGGGTCTTGAACCGCGAATCTCTGCAATAAGTGGTTAAAGGTGCAACCACTCGGCCACGTCGCTTCAAAATCGTCATCGGAAGCAGGCGGCCGAGTGCCACAAGAGCGCGTGCGGAAGGAAGCCGCTGGCGCGACAGAGCCGCCATCGCTGCCACTTACCGATGGTAGCGGATTTCTTCCTGCAGGGCCTTGTTCTGCTTCTCAGCGTCCAACAGCCGCGTCAGCTGAGAACGCATGCTCCGCACCACCACCGTGTCCTCCTCCATCTTGTGCAGCTGCTGCTCCAGGGACTGGTAAAGCGCGGACAGCCCACCGTTACCCCCCACCGTTACCCCTCACCGTTACCCCTCACCGTTATCCACAGTGGGGGAGAGTGGCCGTTCACAATAACATTGTCAGTCACCTAGGTCACTCTAGAAAATGAGACAAGACTATCCCGGTGTCTTCTCACCTGGTTCAACAAATAAACTTGTGTCGTGACTATGAGAGTTGTTGTGACACACCGTGTGATTGAACAGGCATGTGTAACGAATTATCCCCCAGCATGCCTTGCTGCTTACACACATCGCTGCCCACCTTATTCTTGAGTTCCAGCTCCACGAACTGGGTCTGCACCCCTTCCAGCTCATGAACTTTCTCCTTCGCCTCCTGGCACAGTCTTTGGTGGGTGGGGGGCGGGTGGGGGTATGGGGGAATAACATGACGTCCAGGTCGGATCGCAAAACTCCACTCGGCACAAAATCGCACTCATCTCCCAAGCGCTGTGCTCGAGACCAGACGACGGCGTTCGACACAAACGAGCGCACTCGGCCAGGCGGCCACGACATCGCCGTGCCCATACCGCTCTTGCTCGTCCAGACGACTCTGGGCCTCGTCGCGGTCCGAGGACAAGATTGTCATCTTCATGTCCGTGTTCATCAGCGCCCTCTGCAGATCCAGCACCTTCGACTCGGCAACGTTCAGCTTCTGCTCGCCACACCACGACGCGCGAAAGGAGACGCCTTACGGTATGACCGGCCAGGTGGTTGTACAACTGTAAGGGATCTGCAAGCCACCCTCACGCACACGCACCACAGTAAAGCTGGCACGCTTGTTGTCGGAAAACAGCGATTTCAAATCCTGACTTAATGTTTACTCAGCCCATCATCCCTCTGGTGTTGATACATTTTTTTATCACTTTGTGGGGAAAACAACAGTGCTTTGAATGTGGAATTTCCACCACTGACTCAGGGCCGTACAGTGAATAAGCATCGCCACATTTCTCATTGGAGCAAGAAATCACTTTGGCTTTCCTGTTGTAACTTACAATGCCCCCACTCGGACTGCTGCATGTACATCTCGTCTTTCTGAAGGGCCTCGGTCCCCCAACAACATCCTGGAACTCGTGTGGCCCTGGCAGCCCCTTGCGGCTCGTTGTCGTTTGTGTTGGGCCCCGGTTGCTTCATCCCAAGCTGTGCTGCAGTGATGTTCTCTTGTGAGATATTGGCACCTCGCCTGGTATACAGGAGGTCGTGGGTTCGATCCCGACCCTGACGCCTGTATACTTGGAGTTTGGGTGTTCTCCCCGTGGTCATGTGGATTTTTCTCCGGGTCCTCCGGTTTTTCCCTCCACATTTAGAATCAACATGCGTTTAGAGTGATAATGGTGTGAATAGTGAGTGTAATGATGATCCAATTGATTTTATGAGCGCTGAACGCCGTCCTGTCGTCCGCCCAGTCGTCTATGGCGTGGTAATCACAACATCTACACAAAATGCATATATAACGAATTAAATAGTAAATTTAAGTGCGCTGGAAGTTTCGCCAGCAAGGGTGAACGAGCGAGGAGCCATCGCGCATTACCTCCTGCGTCTGCAGCAGTTCCTCCTTATCTTTGGTGAGACGCTGGATCTCGGCGTTGCAGCGGCGATGAGAGGTGGCGGCGACGGTGGCCGCCTCCAACTGGGCCTGCAGTTCCGCCTCGCGCTCCTGTGCATGCTTCAACTTCAGCGCCAGCTCTCGGTTCTTGCTCAACTCGCGCTGCAGACACACACGCACATGCACGCACCACGCGTGAATCACGCACGGACGTATGTGCAGGAGCGTGCGCGAGTGTGAAACCTCCGAGACGGGAGCTGTCCCACCCTGCTGTTCCTCCCCGCCGTGTCACCTCGTAGTTGCAAGCGCTGGTGTTCAGCTCCAGCTCCGTCTCAATGCGTGCTCGCTTGGCCGACAGAGCCAACTTCTGGTTCTCGCACTCCAGGTGGTAGAGCTTGGACTTGAAGTGGCTCTGGTCCACCTGCTCCTCCACCTGCGCGTGTGCGAATCGAGGCGCCGTTGGCACCATTAGTCTCAAGCAGCAGCACAGGCAAATGTTACCGGATGTTCACCGGCTGAAACGATTCATCGATAGAAGTCAACTCTTATAGTCACGACACAAGTTTATTTGTTTAACCAGGTGAGAAGACACCATAATAGCATCATAAGATAAATCTGGCTGTTGCCTGATGATGCCAGTTGTAATTACTAGCGAAACATCATACTCAGATTGTAAATATTGTCGAGGAGACCACGATCAGATTCATCCACATTTGGGCTATTAAGCGTTTCACTCTCGAAAACGGTGCTGAAACCATGACTGGCGATGATTGCTGGTGACAGTTGCTCTTAGGTGTCACGGCCTTAACAAGAGCCAAAGTGCCTCGGTGGCGAGATGTTAACTACCTCGCCTGGTATACAAGCGGTGGTAGGTTCGATCCCTATCCTGGCACCTATAAATTTGGAGTTTGCATCTTCTCCCCGTGGTCGCGTGGATTTTTCCCTGGTTCCTCCGATTTTTCCCTCTACATTTAGAAACATGTATTTTCGAGTATTTGGCTGCTATAAATTTCCACATGATGATAAACCACTTTATTGAGCTATCATTTGTGGCCAGGTCGTTTCTCACAAAGAGCTCCATAGCTCAGTGAGCCTTACCCGTTAAAATAAAAAATAGTTTTAAATAGTTTTAGTTTAAAGTGGCACCGGCTGGGCTGGCAGTCGCACCTGCAGGCTGCGCAGGTACTGGTTCTGCAGGGCATTGCTGGAATTGGACAGGGTGGTGGTGTTGTTGTCGTGTCCGCTCAAATCCACTTGGGACAGGTAGCTGTGGAAGGAGTTCAGGACTTTGATCACCGTCGTGTTGTCCGCTGAGTCCTCCATGGCGGTGTCTGCAGGGCGAGAGGTACCAACGTGAGGGTAAAGCACACGCATTTGTTGGCTGTGCTTGGTGTCGTTTGTGTTCTCACGAGCAGTGCTAGAGCATCCCATTATCATTGTGTTTTGTGCTGCGTTCACAACAGGAGGAGTGCCACTTGTCTTCAAAAGGTTACTGACCAAAATATTTGTCAAATGAGCCTTTATTTTTAAGGAGGTGACTGGACAAAAATCATCAGGCAAGACGATGACCATACCCACCAAAGAATTACTCTGACGAGTTGAAATTACCAAATCTGAATGAAGACAGACTAAGATAATATAGTAATGTCATCAGACACGGCAGTGCACTGAGACAACAACCCGACACAGTCGTCAATAACAAAGGTTTAAAATGTAAAAAATAGGAGATAGTTCGGCAATGGTCCTTCTTCACAGCACAAAGAGATAGGCCAGAGAGGTAGAGTGAATACGATAAGAATGACATTATAAAACAAAAACACAATTCCTGACATTTTCGTTATTGACGAATGTTGAGTTTGTTTTGTTATTTGTACCGTGCACCACTGCCACCAAATGTTTTTTTTTGTCAGCACCTTGCTCATTAAGTAATTTTCTATTCGACTCAGGATGGTCTCATAAGGATATTTTCTAAGGAACGGATGGGTCCTCGTTCAAATGATCAAAACCGGTATACTGTAGTTTGCTTGTATACTGGGTCAATCCTGCTGTTGTTTAGCACTCCTCGAAGACCTTGGGCCCGTTAGGTTATGTGAAAAATGCTTATTTATTTTTGTATGTGCAGAGACGGATACGTGAAATAGACATTGTCCGTTTCCGTCCCCAAATAATGTCTCCACACGCCGTCCCTTGTCAAATCCCACGTACCACAGACATACCTCCAGTAAAATGACTGTAGCGTGTAATTTCCAAAACGTCGTGATTTAATTTAGTTATTTCCATTTATTACTATTTTAGTATTATTTTAGCTACGTGACTTTACCGAAAGAACCTAAGAGTATGAATCCTTGCAGTCACGAAAGCTTCAAATCTACAATCGTGCACTGCATTAACCAAACGCAGTTTCTTCTTGCGGTGAACGTGAAAACCAACATGCTCTCTCACAATATATGATGCGTTGTCTTTGAAACTGATTGGCCTACAACAGGGCCCAGTCTCACTGCCAGTGTTGGCAGGGCATGTTTATTTGCATGTTCACCAGCTAATGCAGTACTTGATTCCTTTCAAAAGGTTTCTATTTGGCGTTCGAACATCCTAAGACGACCGTTGCATTGCCAGAAAGGATAAAAACCCCATTCTCATTCGTCTGCCACACTGTGATACGGGGCAAAACAAACTTTCCGTGGAGTTTTGCACCTGTGTGTCTAACTTCTTTCGCACCGTACGGAGCCAACCGCGCGACTAGTAACGGTGGGCTTCGGGTTGACAGAAGCCTTCGTCCGACGAGTGGAGAAACCGCGACCGACTTGACCGACGACGACGAGTCACGAAGGAAGACCGGCGACCGTGCTTTCGTTCGCCATCGCAAGTCACCTGCGGGGAACGAAGGAGGCCTCGGGAAGGCGCCGCCTCCACGCCGCGGCCTTCAACCGACGGCTCGCTTAGACGCGAACGCTTTGAGCGACTTGGCGCAACTTGGGAGGACGCCCGACCCGCTACTCATTAACGGCTTAAAATATGGGTTTGTTGTTGTAAAGACAAACGACGATAAACAACAACAACAGCTGCTGCTGCTCGCGAAGACAGCGTTGGCCTTGCGCGCCCAAAATAGCGGCCGCGCGGTGTCTGCTGGGAGCTCCTCACCCCGCCCCCCTTCCCCCCCCCTCCCTTCCACCCCTCGCCCCTTCCCCCCCTCCCTTCTCCCCCCTCCCTTCCACCCCTCGCCCCCCCTCCCTTCTCCCCCCTCCCTTCCACCCTTCCCCCCCTCCCTTCCACCCCTTCCACCCCCTCCCTCCTCCCCCCTGATGTATACGTCAGCTGAGTGTCACGTTGACTGTAATTGGTTCAAGAAAGTCTGCCGATGAGACACTGAATGTTGAAACTGGTCCTGAGTTTGGTCGGTGGGAGGGGGGGTCTGTGGGGGGGGGGGTCGGTGGGGGGGTCGGTGGGGGGGAGGGGGAACGGGGGGAGTCGGTGGATGCGAGGGGGGGTCGGTGGGGGGGGTTGGTGGGGGGGTCGGTGGGGGGGGTCGGTGGGGGGGGTCGGTGGGGGGGAGGGGGAACGGGGGGAGTCGGTGGATGCGAGGGGGGGGTCGGTGGGGGGGGTTGGTGGGGGGGGTCGGTGGGGGGGTCGGTGGGAGGGGTTACCGTGACGTCACCTGCGAGCGCTCTCGAGCTGTCTAGGACGCCGGTGACGATCTCCCGCGTCACGGGGCCGCATTTGATTTTAATTCTTCTTCAGAACGCGCTCGGCCGCATCTAATCCTGCAACAAATATCCACACCCCACCCTCTCTCTCGCAACAACCTCAACAAACCAGCTGCCGTGTGAAGAAGTCCAAGCCAAGCGTTGCCCCCCGGGATCTTTCAGCCTTCGAGGTTGGGACGTTGACCACGATGGTGGCGGCGGCGGCGGCGGCGGCGGCGGAGGAGACGCGGAGCGACCCGGAACCTCGGCCTCGGTTCAAGCGGCGCACGGTAACAACGGAGGGCGGCGTGGGGACGACGACGGGTTACGGGGGACTTGATCACTCCAACTCTGGAACTCGCACGGACCTCCCGAGCTGAACGTTTAGCGAGGTTCGGGCGACGTACGGTGCGAAAGAAGTGTGCAAGGCGCGTACGTGCGGACCAGGAGTTGTTGTCAAGGGTTGTATCTACTACGTACGTGTAGTTGGGTGGGTTGTGTGTGTGTGTGTGTGCCGAGTGGTGTGTGCGGATAGGTGGGTGGGGTGTGTGTGTGTGGGTGGGTGGTTAGGTATGTGGGTGGGTTGTGTAGGTGGGTGGTTATATTGGTGGTGTGTGTGGGTGGTGTGTTTGTGGGTGGTGTGTGTGGGTGGGTTGTGTAGGTGGGTGGTTATATTGGTGGTGTGTGTGGGTGGTGTGTGTGGGTGGGTTGTGTAGGTGGGTGGTTATATTGGTGGTGTGTGTGGGTGTGGGTGGTGTGTGTGGGTGGAGTGTGGGTTGTGTGTGTGGGTTGTGTGTGCGTGCCGAGTGGTTTGTGTGGGTAGGTGGGTGATGCGTGTGTGGTTTGTGTGTGGGTAGGTGAGTGGGTGGTGTGTGTCTAGGTGGGTGGTGTGTGGGTGGGTAAGATGGGTGGTGTGTGTGTGGGTAGGTGTGTGTGTGGGTTGTGCAGGTGGGTGGTGTGTGGTTTGTGTGTGGATAGGTGGTTGTGGTGTGTGTGGTTTGTTTGTGTGGGTAAGGTGGGTGGTTTGTGTGTGGGTTGGTGGGTGTGGTGTGTGTGGTTTGTTTGTGTGTGGGTAAATATGTGGATGGTGTGTTTGTGGGTAGGTGGGTGGTGTGTGTGGGTGGTTTGTGTGTGGTGAGGTGTGTGTGCGAGTAGGTGTGTGGGGTGTAGGTGGTGTGTAGGGGAGCGGTGGTGTAGTGGTTAGCGCGCTGCGCTAGGAACCTGAGTGACCCGGCCAACACCCAGTGACGATTATCGGCACCGGTCCCGGACCTCCCCTAGGTCGACTCGGCCTCAAATGAGCACCCGGCTCAGTGCGTGCACAATGTAGGTGGCCTCAGTAATCGCCCCCCCCCCCCCCACATTGTGTAAGAGCGCAGAAGGGTGGTCAACACATCTTCGCCTAGATATAAGGAACGAAACAGGAAGACTTCTCCACAAATCTGTCTGTCGCCTGATGAAGCTAGTTGTAATTACTGGCGAAACGTCGTACTCGGATTGTAAATGTTGTGGCTTGGCTCTCCAACACACCGGTGTTGCTGTACTAGTATACTACACTATACACTACACACTAATGCTGTCCTAGTGACGCATTGGCCACGTTCTGTTTACGTGACAACCCTTACTAGTTGGCTGTGTCGGGTGGTGGCGGGTTTTAACGACACATTTATATATTTACGCGATCTAACCCAAACTCCTCTCATGTATAAATTGTCAAATGTTTATTCCCATTTTCCGTCTAGGTTGTCTACAACTGCGTCGCTTTTCCACGTTGTGCAGTATTCGCTTTGCAAGCACTCACCGGTTATCATTTGTAAAACCCATTTTTTTTGGGGCCCCCATGCAATCAGTCGTCCATGACGATGACAATACGTTGAATCACTAAACGGTACGTAGTGTAACTGATTTTCTCTGGGGTCTAAATACAGGTTATCGGGAAGGGCCCTGCATTTGGGATGTTTTGGCCAACACCGATAATTATTTAAGCCGTTGTTAACTATGGGAAGAAACCGGAGTACCTTGCAGAACGGAGGGGGAGGGGGGGGTTGAGATAGTTACACATTGAGATCGAAAGGCACCCGAGTCGGGAATCGAACCCAGGTAACTTTTTGCCGTGAGGCACAGGTGTTGTTAACCACTCCGCAGCCCCGACAAAGAATCCCATAATATGAATATGAATTGCAGGCGTAGTCTGCTGCACGATCCATACCCTATTTTGAGGTGACGTCTCCATCGCCAATTAGAAACAACCTCCCCTACCCCCCCCCCCCCATATGTTAGCGTTTTAATTGACCTGCCCATGAAGGTCACGCGTGGTAATTAGAGCAGGAGCACACTTGCAGGATGACTTTGGCACTCTGGGGCCACAGACACACGGGCCTCCGTTCAGTTGGAGGGTGTTTGCGTAGTACATTTTTCATAAACCAATACTAACATTTTCACGGGTTTTTAAAAAAAATATTTGAAAGGTTCCTTATATTTTTTGCCAAAATAAAAGATTATTTTCGCAAAAAATATCAATGTTGAAATAACGTCGGAAATACTGGAACGTCTGTGAAAAAGAGCTTTCATAGCTCATCGGAATCGTCCAGTATAAATAAAAACTCTTTGACTATAAACTTGGAGAGGGGGGTACACGCTTGGACTTCATAACGAGAGACAGAGAAGCACGTGGATGAGAGAACTCAGGCAATCTAATGACATCAAACTGTGGAAAGAAGAAAAGTCAGTGGGATTCGGGCAGGACACGTCTTGGCTGGCATGGATGGTGGCCGGTGGTCAAGAAGAATGACGGAGTGGCGGCCAAGGAATGGAACTCGCCCGAGACTACGTCAACAGGGGCAGATGTAGTGACGAGATCGAACTCGTGCTCCGGGCGGATTCTAGTGTGGATTGCTGCGCCACGGCATTTTTTAGTAGTTCGTGGCAGCTTGGGGGGGGGTGAGGCTTTCATTTTACCGTGGCTGATGATGAGTCATAAAATGAAAGCGACAGTGAAGAGACGTGTGCCACGAAAACACCACAAACCCACTGCGTGATTTGATTTTTTTCTCCTCCTGCTCCCTCCTTCCAGCCCGGGGAGTCACGGTTCGCAGAGAAATGAGCGGCGTGGCCCTGGGGAACACAGCTCGCATTCATGGTCGTGGTGACACTGGCATCGCTGTGCCACTTCCCCCCCTCCCCCTTCACGCCCTGCGACTCCTTGTGCACGTGGCAGCAGCAGCTGACCGAGGTACGGTGGGTGGCGGTTGTGGTTGCTTCGGTGGGGCTGGTTGCGGTGGTTGGAGGGTTTCTGGTGGTGGTGGCGTTAAAGTGCTGGTTGTGGTGGTTGTAGTGTTTCTGGTAGCACCAGTGGTTGCTGTGGTGGTTATGGTGGGTGTGTTGATTCTTGTAGTGACTGCTTTAGTGTTTGTGGCACTGGCGGTACAGGTGCTTTGGTCTTTTTCTTCGTCCGTACGGCTAACAACTACAATTTCACATTCAGGTGGTCAAGCCAGACAACCGCCGTCAGGAGCAGCGCAGTGTATCGCTGGAATACAGCAGTTCTTTGGTGTTTGTGGTGGTCAGTGTTTTGATGGCCAGTGGTTTGGTGGCAGGTGGTGTGGTTATGTTGGTGTGCTGGGTTGCAGTGTTATTTGTGGTAGGTGGTTGTTTTGGTGGTGGTGATGATGGTGTATGTGGCAGTGGTTACCAGCATGGGGCCTCCCAGCCCACCAGATGTGGCGCCACTGAGTTTTGCCAGCCTTTATTTATACAAAACAGCACCTTGTTCGTAGACGCTGTTGCTTTAGCAAATGTTTTCCGATGCCTTGTTAAAAAGTTCTTAACTGAATGTTCTACCATTTGTTACACGTGTTCCAATGCATGCTTGCACAGAACGCTGGCTGTAGTACTCATGCATTGTTTGCTTCAACTCTCCTGCTGTGGCTCTTACCAGTGGAGGGAGGGTGTCTTGTCACAATGGGTTCCCGCCTTTCCTAACTATGTACGCTTCTGTGTGGGTGGTTACCATGCCGCTCGCCACAACGATCGTGCACACCCTGCATCCAAATCTCACCGCACGCACAAACGCACAACAAGACGTGCACACGTAATCACACACACACTCTTCGCAACTCTGTGCGTTCCTCAGGCGAGCGGTTGAGCATGTGAGTGCCCGGCGCGCCCTGGCAGCACGCGCCCTGCGATGCCACGCGCCCGCAAGATGAGCTACTGGCGGGCGTGCTACGTGGCCGGCCTGGTCGCATCCGCCCTCACCGTCTTCCTCATCGTCTTCTACTGGGACGAGGTTGGCACCGTGCAGCTGTCTCTCCGCACCAGCCTCTTGGGCCACCACGCATCGCTGCCACCGCCTCCGCCAAACAATTCCGGCGACAGGAGGAAGCCGGCGAGATGGCACTCTGCCGACATCCAGCGTTTGCTCGGCGAGCTCAGGCTGTCCTCGGGCACGGCCGAGCGACGCCTGCAGGAGCAGCCGGCGCCGCCGCCCCCCGCGAAGACGGCGGTGGCGGCGGCGGAGGAACAGCGGAGGGCGGCCGCGGCCGCGGCTGCTGAGCCAGGCCAACATCGAGGAGTGGGAGAGGGGCTACGAGAAAGAGGCGACGGCGGAGCCGGAGGCGGTGGACGACGACCGCCTGGCGCGAGAGCAGGCGCGTCGGCGCGCCCGGGTGCGCCACGCCTGCGACAGCCCCGACCTCATCTTTCAGGGCAAGAACCGGACTTTTGACGAGATTCCGAACCGCGAGCTCAAGCACCTGATCGTGGACGACCGGCACGGCACCGTGTACTGCTACGTGCCCAAGGTGGCGTGCACCAACTGGAAGAGGATCATGATCGTGCTGAGCGGCAGCGCGAGCAACAACGGCACGCCGTACGCCGACCCCATGGACATCCCGCCCGACGTGGTGCACCTCTCCTCCAGCCACCAGGTGTTCAACCAGTTCTGGAGGAAGTACGGCAAGTCGGGCAGGAGCCGCATGAAGGGGAAGCTGCAGCGCTACAAGAAGTTCCTGTTCGTGCGCGACCCGTTCGTGCGGATCATCTCGGCCTTCCGCAGCAAGTTCGAGATCCCGAACCAGGACTTCTACAAGGCGTTCGTGGTGCCCATGCTGCGCCAATACCAGAACGTGTCGGCGCCGCCGGCCACGGCCGAGGAGGCGCTGAGCGGCGGCCAGCGCCTCAAGTTCTCGAGCTTCGTGCAGTACCTGCTGGACCCGGCGACGGAGCGCGAAGCGCCCTTCAACGAGCACTGGCGGCAGGTGTACCGCCTGTGCCACCCGTGCCAGGTGCCGTACGACTTCGTGGGCCGGCTGGAGACGCAGAGCGAGGACGCGCCGTACCTGCTGCGGCTGCTGCATGCGCAGGACGAGCTGCGCTTCCCGCCGGGGTTTCTGAACCGTACGGACGACCGCTGGGAGGACCGCTGGTTCGCGGGAATCCCCCTCGACTGGAGGCAGCGGCTTTACAAACTCTACGAGCCGGACTTTGTGCTCTTTGGGTACCCCTACCCTCGGCAGCTCCTGCACGGCTGAGAAAATAAATTCCTACGCCCCCCCCACTCCCCCCTCCAACACCCCTAACCAGGGAAAAACAAGGGTCTGTCACTTTAGTATTTTATTTTAAATGTACTTGTTTTCAATTTAAAGCATTTCATTTTATGCTTGAATTTCCGTGCGTGGCGTCGGGCCTCGGGTTTGAGTAATCGTGGGAGATCTTCCGTACGCCGTTGCTCGTGTAATCCGGGGTGCTTGGTTGAATGCGACGAAAATTAAGGTCAACTCTGGGAAGAATGCCGACTTCATTGTGCTTCCAAATAAATGAATAGTGTTGATGAATCCGGGGCTCCAGTTGCATTTCTTGCGCAGCTGGCCAAAACCTCATGTCCCCCCCCCCCACCACCCACCACTCTTTTTTTCATATATCCTGTGGTTTTTGAAAAACTTCCTCTTGAACAGATTTGTATGTCACCGTGACGGCTTCTCGCCACGCTCACGTGGAGTTAAACGCACGTCGGGGAGAAAAACCGCCCGCTAGCACCATTTCAGCATCGGCTTCCGATTAACCGCCCACACAGCATCTCAAAAGCAAATAAATAAAACTCCCAATAAACAGAAGAGTTGTTTATAGCATTGTCAAATGATGCGAGTATAAACATGATAAGCGCAAGGCATAAATATCTACAAATTGCTGTACAATAAAACAAATTAAACTCCCTTTTGGCATCGCGCACCACCAAAAAGCCAATGAGCTCTGCCACCAATTAAAATCAAACTCGAACCGACTGCGCGGCAGAATGCAGGCTCGTGCAAGGGTAGAACAACGCTCATCAAAAACCCGCCGGGCTGTAAAACCACAACAACCACGCTCTGCCGGCAACGTGTGGACTGGCCGCCCGCCTAGCCCTCCCCGCCACCTGAAACGCTCGCGTGCAAAATCGGCAATAAAAACAGCAGCCGCGTCGCCGCAGCCCGCAAATGCGTCCCAGAGGAGAAACCACGGAACCAGGCCTCCGGGAGTGGACAGCAGCCAGCCCAACACAACAGCACCTACGATGAAAACAATCGGCTGTGCTTTCGGTTTGGAAGTTACAGTGGCTAGGATCATTGGGCGGGTGGTGGTGGGGGTTTTGGATTCGGCCACTCCTGGACGCGCCGGCGTGCAGGTACCCGCTAGATGCGTAAACAAGTGATCGCCGGGAGCAACTCTCAGGCAGCTTGGGTCCAGGGTTAAGATGAATGGTCTCAGAGGGTTCGAGGCTGTCCAAACCCCCCGGCAACCCGCCTTCGACAGTGGTACCAAAATCAACATAAAAAGTTCCAGCAGAGTCGTCTGAATGCGACGCCGGAAGCCAGTGCCCGTCCAAAGAGGGAGTGCAGGTCCCCGGAGGAAATCACTCCAGTGTGGACCCCCCCCCCCCCCCCCGAGGCCTTCAAACTAAATCCAAAGTATTTCATCCGACACTGTAATGTAAAAGCGCGGCCCCCAACCAAAAGCACGGGGCAGTCACCCAGATTTACCATACCCGAGGGACGGCTCCACTGGTTGCCCATGGCACCCAGGTCGGTTGCGTATTTTTGCCAAAACGGTCTGCCGTTGTCCGTTTTATGTGGGCGGCGAGTGTTGCGCGATTGGCGACGGTGCCCTCCGCCGCGTGGGGCTAGCTCTGTGTCATCGCCGCACAGTGGTTCCAGTTGACCTCGTCGGGCAGCAGGCGGCCGAGACGCAGGATCCCGTCCACGGTGGGCTCCAGGAAGAGGGAGCAGCCGTCATCGTCGTCGTCATTGCCGCCGTTCAGCGGCTCCCCCTGCGGGGACGGGACCTCGTCCCTCCGCCAGGGCGACGAGAACGCGGTCACCTTGGATCGCCGTGGCAACCGCAGCCTCCGCACACAGCCGAGCTCCTCCAGAACCTGGCGGGTGGCACAGCACGGAGGGAGCCATTGTCGTGCTCTGTCGGTTTTTTTAGCGGTCGTGCTGCAACGGCTCTCCCATGAGTTTCTGGAATGTACCGCGCAGTATTAAGTGCGAGCGGTGACAGACTTGGCACGTCTGTTGCGCAGAGGTTTGCGGTTCGAGCCCAGCGCCAGCCCTGGTTAATACTGTGGATGTGTTAACCGTATATAGTATGCACCATCTGCTTTACAGTGGGCATTAAAAGCGTCCGTGACCTTGATCGAAAAAGATTACCCCATTGTGCGCCTACGTCATTGTTCAAATTTGCTTTACTTGAAAAATAACCCGCAAATTACTTAATTGGGAGAACACAAAACACCTAACCCTACCCCCCTCTGATCCTCAACCCCAACTCCTAAGCCTAACGCTACCCCTTACCTTAACTCTACCCTTAACCATAATGCTACCCTTGCTATCCTTACCCCTGACCTTAACTCTTCCCCAAACCTGACCCCCCTTCCACCCGTGCAAGGCCACTCACCATGAGCAGCTCCCGGAGCACCTGCGGCTGCAGCACGCCGGCGTAGTGGCGCAGCAGGCGGTGCTCGGGGAGGCCGGGCTGGCTCATGACGTGCAGCAGCAGAGCCTCGAGCATGCCCTTGCACACGGGGGTGTTGAGATCGCCCTGCACGCCGCGCCACGGCCTCGCCGCAAAGCGCACCGCGCTGCGCTCACTGCACAGGCGCGCACACGCGCGCACACAAGTACACACACGCACGCACACAAGTACACGCACACACACACACGTACGTACACGTACACACGTACACGCACAAGTACACACACACGCACAAGTACACACGCACACACACACACGTACACGCACACACACACACGTACACGCACACACGTACATACGATGAACTTCTTTCGCCAACTTACGTAGCCAACTGTGCTATTCAGAGGCGCGGGGGGAAGAACAACAAACTAAACATTCGCACACGCATGCAATATTTAGCTTTAACGTTGATTTATGGTTGCAAATATTTTTGATTCTTCATTCGATGGTGTTTTTAGTTTTGTTCAGATTGCTTTCCTTCATTGCTCTACTTAGTTTTGGTGTTTCGTTTTGGGAACTTTGGTGACCTCGGGTTGACTCTTTCAAACGAGATTCATCCAGTGTCTCTGGACCTCTTACCTGGCACACACACATGCATGCACATGCACGGATGCAGACGTGCGAGAGGGACAACGCATGTATGACATCGGGAAGCGGAAGAGAGGTGCACACCTTCTTTTGGCGGCGATTTTGTGGATCCTTCTAGCACTCGTTTGGGGTCCCCCAAGTGTGTGACCAACTCCATCGATCAATGTGGCCGGTTGTCTATCGGGTAAAGTCCTTACAAGCAACGCAAATTTCGACTGAAATATTATCGCGGGACCCCATTTTAAAGACGGCCAGACGGACATAACTACTGCATCGATGCTCAACCTCAATTGGGAGAGCGTTAGCAAGCATAACACACCCCGTTGTGCGGTGAGCGGGGAGCCCCTGCGTGTCCCACGTGCCGTCGCGGACGCTGGACCCCGTCCCTTCTGCTCCGCTGGCGCTCGATGCATCCTGCTTCACGCTCGACGGGTTCCGTGCACAGGTCTCCGTTCCCACAGTACAGGTCGGCGTGGATCCAGTACTGATCTCTATGGACCCATCATCACAGGTCTCCGTTCCCACAGTACAGGTCGGCGTGGGTCCAGTACAGGTCTCCTTGGACCCACCACAGGTCTCCGTTCCAACAGTACAGGTCTGCGTGGGTCCCGTACTGATCTCCGTTCCCACAGTACAGGTCTGCGTGGGTCCAGTACTGATCTCCATGGACCCACCACAGGTCTCCGTTCCCACAGTACTGATCTCCTTGGACCCATCACAGGTCTCCGTTCCCGCAGTACAGGTCTGCGTGGGTCCAGTACTGATCTCCGTTCCCACAGTACAGGTCGGCGTAGGTCCCGTACTGATCTCCTTGGACCCATCACAGGTCTCCGTTCCCACAGTACAGGTCTGTGTGGGTCCAGTACTGATCTCCGCTCCCACAGTACAGGTCTCCCTTGAACCAGTGTATGTCTCTCTTCGCACAGTACCGGTGTCCCTAGATCCATTAACGGCCTCATCTCCCACGGTACAAGTCTCCTTGGGCCCAGCACAGGTCTCTTGCTGCGCTGTCATTTCCAAATCCCTCGCGCCGCCCCCGTTGCACACATCCGCGATGTCCACTCTCGCCCTCTTCGTGACCGCAGAGCGCACACTCTCGTCCGCGTCACCACCCACGGCATTGTCACCGTCGTTATCATCAGTGGTCAGAGCTCTCTTCTGACACCCTTTGGCCATGTCAGCAGTAGAGGTGACCACCTCCACTGCACACCCCTTCACTCTCCATTCCTTGTCGCCATCGTTGCCATCGTCGCCGTCGTCAGCCGATGCATCTATCGCGACGGCTTTTTGAGTTTCCAATTCTGTGGCCGCGCCTCCATTCATATTCCCGTTCGTGACAATGACCTCTTTGCATTCTGGGCGGTTGGGCGAGCGATCGGGCGAGCCCGGCCGCGAGCGGCTGCCTGGGCCTGCGCCAGCTGTGGTGCTGGTGACGGCTGCCTTCTCGATCGTGGAGAGTTCCGCTCCGGCACCCGCGTCCTCGGCGTTTTGGCCGGCGGCGGCTGTGCCGACGCCGCCGCTCTCCATGTAGTCATCGGTGCGGGAGCAACGCACGAGCCACGCGTGGGCATGTTCCGGGGTCACAACCCTCCGTGATGTGTAGCCGACCTGTAGCACGGCGCCCTGCTTCTCCAGGGTCTGGCTCGCACGCACGGACACACGCACAGAACACAAGCACTAACTTCACCCTGCATCTATTTGGTTTCTAATCGTGACATGGCCCATGATCTACACCAGCAAGTGTATATTGTAATATATCAACGCGGCGAGTCGCATGCGCGACGCAGACATCGTCATCTACGCGAACCCGGCGTGAACATCGACGGCGAGGTTGGGCTGATCGTCGCACAAGGCACCACGCACGCCGGCGACTGCCCACCTGCAGCAGCCCGTGCCAGCGGGTGGGCCCGCCGACCTCCGACCTCTGTGCCATGTGAGGGAAGGCGGCGGTCAGCTGAGCCATGTCCACCCCCGCCACCCCCGCCGCGCGGATTACGTCCAGCACCGCTGGGACGTCCTGCACGCACAAAAGACAAAGATTTCCCCCCCCCCCCACCGCCATACAACTTTAACAGACGTTTAAGTCAAGTACTGTTAGCGAGCACCTATGAAGGCCGGCACTGCACAGGAGGGAGTTGGTGGCCAGCACCATGCCCGGCCGCCTTTGTGGCGATGTTTACACACATCACCAGGTACTCATTCGAAGCTAAGTGGTCCTAGGTGAAGCCCAGGACCAGTTCAGACATTCGTCACTGGTGTTAGCCGTGATCGGAAATCGAACTCGGGTCGCCGGGTTCGAAAGCGCAGCGTGCTAACCGTTGCATTACCGCTCCCCAGCCTTCGCACCACAGACGGCCATGCACACTGCATATTGCACGCACGAACATGGCACACAAATATCCCACACTTGGCCTGACACACCAAGCAAAAGCCTAGGGCCCCAAGCAGCTCAAGTGGGACCAGATTCATGAAAAAGTTGGTTGTGTGGCCAGCGTCAAGCGCATGTGCCTTTGTCTCATCGGTCGTGGTAATCGATGACTTAATAGTCAGAATAATCGTTACGCCCCTGATTAAAGAGGACCGTCGCAAGGCCTCACCACCTCGTCGTGATCGTAAAGCGCCGACTCGGACTGACTTGGCTCCTCCCCGTCCATCACCACCGAGAACCAAGGCGGTAGCAGCTCCACGCCCTCCGCCGTGTCCAACGCGTCTGCGCGGGAAAAGGGGTCAAGGCTCAGGGATTGAGGGGCGGTGATCACGACGGAGCAGTAGTGGCGATAGCGCATTCGCCGCTTGTTGTAAAGGTTCATGGTTCGAACCTCTTGGCCGCCCTGGTTACTGCCACGCGTGTATCGGTTGTAAATATTACGCGTCGTCCGATTCATAAGTGTGACGTTGACACATTTTCAATATGAAATGGCAAATGAATGTCTTGGGGAAACGCACAGCAATCAGCAATCGTCCCCCTGTCACCCCCTGCACCCCCCCCCCCTCCACCCCGTGTCCGCCCACTCTGAAAACTTGGCAAGATCCTGAAAAATACTGTTTGAGACTCAGTGAGGCTCTCATAGGTAAACGAGCGAAATAGCAATGTACGTATGTTGAACTTCTTTCACACCCTACGCAGCCAACCGTGCTAATCGGAGGTCCGGGGAAGGACAACAAACTAAACACAAACAGCAGTTCTAGAGAAATGAGTATTCAATCGAGATTTAAAAGTGCATGGCTCCAGTGGCTTCCGAATATCAGAAGGAAGAGCATTCCAGACGGCCGCAGAAGCAGTGCATCTGAAAGCGCGCGATGCGGTGACCGTCTTTGTTCGATGGTTAGCCGAAAGCCGCTGCTACGAGGATGATCGGAGTTCGCGTGATGATGGTTTCTGCTCTTTGACAACTCGGACAGGTGGCGTCTGTCCTCGCGTGCGCCGTGCGTTCGTCACGCGCGCGTGGCTCACCGTAGCGTGAGGGCAGCCCATAGGGGCGCGGCGATGGCAGCAGCCGGAAGCGGACGGTGCAAGAGTTGACAACGATGTTGTCGTTGGGGTTGAGATTGCGCACGCCCACGATCCCTGGCACGTAGTAGCCCTTCATGAGGAGGTATCTGACGCGCGACGACTGCCGTGGGTTCACGTCGACCCGCTGGCGACCCCCGACCCCACCGGCCCCGTGCCGCCCGCTCTCGTCATCGTCCTCCTCGTTGTCTTCCTCATCGTCGTCATCGTCGTCCGAGTTCTCGTGGGCCAGGCTGAAACGCGCGATGGCACGCACAAGACAAAGGTAGCCTTTAACGCTGTTGTTGGGGACAAGTGCTGTTAGCAAGCACCTATGAAGGCCAGCACAGCACACGAGGGGGTGGGTGGCCAGCACCACGCCCAGCCGCCTTTGTATCCCCAGTGGCGATGTTTATACACTGCGCCAGGCTCGGTTGACCTAGGGGAGGGCCCAGGACCGGTTCAGATATTCGTCACCGATGTTGGCCGTGAGCAGGAATCGAACTCGGTTCACCGGGTTTGTAGCGCAGCACGCTAACCACTGCTCCAATGCCCCCCCCCCCTCCCCACAAAGACACGTATGTAAGTTGAACTCCTTTCGCACCGGATTGCGTGCGCGAATCGTTTGGCTGCTTTAGTCGGCAAGACTTAAGGGAATGACTGCATGAAACCCACAGACTGAGACTCGACTAACGCTGCCAAAGGAAACGTTGACTATGGGAACACAGACCACCGCACACCCAGGGGGGTTATTCGGGGGTTGGTGGTGGGGCGGCGCAGAGGTCGTCACGCAGATCACAAACTCACGCCTTCAGCACGGCGCTGTCCACCATGGTACTGTCCACCACCACGATCTGCTCGGGGATCTCCAGCTCGCACGCCAGCCAGCCCATCGCCATGAGCGCCAGCACGCATGCGCAGGCCCCGCCCGGCGCGTCCATCGTGTAGGTCACCGCGGCGCTGGTGCCGCCACCCACGCCACCAGCTCCCGTCATTGAGGCCGCCGAGCCACAGGTCGCCCCCCCCACTGTTGCCTCTGCCAGTGCCTCCGCCGGTGGCTCCAACATCGCCCCCATCGTTGACCCCGCCGGTGCCTCCGCCGGTGCCCTCACCGTTGACCCCGCCGGTGTCTCCGCCGGTGCGGCCGTCACCGCGGGCTCCCGGCCGCGGAACAGCACGACGTTGGGCTTGTCCTCGGCGCCGGCGTCGCGCAGAGTGCGCATGAAGCGGTGCGCCTCGGTGAGCAGGGAGCTCAGGTACCGCCAGGTGAAGAACCTGCGCGACACCGGAGTTTTCAGTTTTTTCATTTCAGTTTTCATTTATTTGGTATAGCCCTGTGAGCCATTCGGCTCTTGAATCGGGTGCAACCGCAACAAACAACAAACATGAACAAGAAACATCGTAAAGTGACTACGCGCAAGCAGACAAAATCCAGAAACCATCAGCACCGGCCCCCGGCCCTCGCTTGTCACCCGTCGTGTGCCGAGGGCTCCCATATTTAATACTCCGGCATGGCCGTTGCTACTGCCACGGGGTGTCGATCGTGCCGACTTGCGTAAAATGCTAACGCACAGTCAGCACAGTGCTTGGTAATTGATCGTGACGAGCGTGAACGGCGAGCGGGGTCATAAAATAGTGGGCATATGCCTACGGAAACCGCGCGCGCGCGCGTGCGAGCGTGCGAGCGTTTACCGGTAGTATCCCTGCGAGAGCTGGTAGGACATGGGCGCGAAGGGCAGCGCGCGGCTCTTCTTGGGGCCGATCTGCTTGCTGATCCGGCGGCGGTTGACGAGGCCGCGCTGGGTGTAGCGCTGGAAGGTGGACAGCAGCACCTGCTCCGAGTAGTACTGGTAGATGCGGAAGATCTGCGGTGGAAGAGAATCACACGGTGGTGCACAACAACCGTTTATATTTCTACGGCTTCTGTTATTATTACTATTATTACGCCGGTTTGCCCAGGAATGCCTCGACAAGTCTCAAGACTCTTTTTAGGAGGGTCCTGCCAAGGCTTTGAAGGAGGCGGGGCGTGGGGGCAATGTATCTGTGTGTAAATCAAATTGAGTAATTTTGCAGGCGATTTGAATTTTTGTTTAGCAATGAGATGTTTAGCCACCGCCAATCACGTTGAATGCGTTTTTTTTGTCGCCAGCCATTCCTAAATGCGATCACATTCCAAGACGCTTAAAAAAAGTGTAATCACGGAAAACAAATCATACGGAGGATGATGCCGCCCGGGGAATCGTCGGCGCTGCCCAGGATGCTTCCCTACTGCCCCTGGGGGGAGGGCTTCGTTGTTGATGTCGTCAGTGCAAGGACCCCACCCCCCCCACCCCCCCCACCCCCCCCCGTCGCGTCGTCACTGGGCTGTGCCGCGGTGTCGCCGCATCTCCATGCAGCGTCTTGAGACGCGATTGCATTTAGACGCGATACAAACTGTTGTTCCTGTTTATATATTTGCGTGTGTGTGCGTGTGTGAGCGTGTGTGCATGTGTGTGTGTGAGCGTGTGTGAGCGTGTGTGTGCTTCTGCCGGACGGGGTGCAACGGCCTTGGCCCACCTGGTAGGCGAGGTTGTTCTTGACTTGGCGGTCGGACAGAGCGAGGGTGCTCTGAATGAAGTTCTCCAGGACCATGGCGTGGATGTCATCCAAGCTGAACACGGACAAAAAACAAAGGCAAAGATCCCCTGTATAGCCTTAACGGACAGTTGGGGCAAGTGCTCTGTTAGCGAGCACCTTTGAACACAAACACACACACGCACGCGCATGTACGTACAATAACAGCAGCAGTAGCTGCCAATCGCCACTAAATGGCAGTGATGTAACGGCGGCGCTTGTGCCAGGCTAGATGCACTTTGAGGCCATGTCAAGTGTTGTAGGATCGTTGGCAGGAGGTCACGTGCTAAACCCAGATTATTTTGGATTAAACGAGTTACTGAATGAAATGACACCACCGGCAACAGTCGCCGTTCGCAATTAAGCTGCGGTGATGTCACCGCAGAGCTTGTGCCGAAGATCCAAACCACCGCCTAGACGGAGCAACGACATCAGCTCGTGCGCAAGGAGCTGGAGGGGATTGTGGCATCCAGCAGTGGATAGGTCACGGCCAATCGCGACCGTGACCAACTATTCAAGCGTCGGCATCCCGCCTGGATTTTCTGCGTCGCGCGTCCCTGGTCCATCATCTCCCCGCTCCTCTGCGCGCTGGAAGCAGCGCTGGCGTGGCCGAGATTGACGATGGAAGCTTTTGAGCGTCGTACCTGTTGGCCTCCGGACGCGCCTTCTTGCCGCTCTCCTTCCACACGGTCATCACGCGGTACCTGCCGGCGAGAGGGGGAAGCTTCGGCGCGGTATCACGGCGGCGGCGGCGGCTCCCGGTCACAGCCGCGACGTTACCGCTCGGTAATTGTGATGGACAGAGTTCAGGTTGAACTCTGTCTACAACCCCGCAGTCGACAGGTTCGCAGTGTAGAACCCATGCAGCGTGATCTTGTTTAAATAGGAGAGCGTGCAAACACTCTGGCGGGAAGCGACAGTCGATGTGAAATAAACTCTAAAAATGAGTACCGATCTGTCATGTCTCCTGCTGTACCCCCCCCCCACCACCCCGTGTGTATGCGGAAAGGCTTGCGATGCCCGTCGCTTAAATGTGCTCATTTTACGTGTCAACATTCTTTGACTTGACCGTGAGAAACTGGTCGTGGGACAGAGGGGTGCGCGGTGGTGGCAGTGGTGGTAGCGCTGGTGGCAGTGGTGGTAGCGCTGGTGGTGGTGACGGTGGTGGCGGTGGTGGTGATGGCGGCACGAGGAGGAGGTGGGGTGGGGGCACCCACTTGCGGAAGAGCTCCTCGAGGGAGTCGGGGATGTCCATCTGCAGCGTCTCTGGGTTGGGACGAAACTTCGCCCTCAGCCGCTGCACAAACTCCGTGAACTCCAGCGCACAGACCTGCTCGCGGCCGACAGCGAGCGCGGGAAGATGAGCGGGGGGGTCGAGCAGGGGGGGTCAAGCGGGGGGGGGGGGTCGAGTGGGGGAAGGACGAGGGCGGGGGTGACGAGCAGGTTGCTATAGTCACCTGCGGGTTCGCGTAGTCGCCAGTCTGGTTCATGATCTCCTCCACCAGCTTGCTGTCCTGCGTCGCCTCCGCCAAGCAGATCCTGCGGAACCACAGAGACGGCTGACGGAGAGGCCCAAGACGGTCCCTTCATGCTAACGGTCAGCGCTGCTCGCCCCAAAGGCGTTAAAACGATTCACCCACCAGTCGACAGCGATCAGCTGAGTTTCACATTTCAGGGTCACGGTTTCATTAAAGAATTCAGAATTTTTTGTTTCCCTTATGTTTGCATTTCTGTCTTCTCAGTCTCGATTGCACAAGTCCTGTTTGATACACGAGTCTGAACGTAACACCGGGCCCATCGTTTTTCCGACGATTTGCCGTAATATAAAAGAATAGACTCTTACGCGCACCATTCTTACTCGCGTATCGCGAGCCCAAGAATCGACTTTCACGCGGGTTCAGCCGCGTCATCGCGACGCGCGTCTGTTCGTCGTCGTCATCGCTCGCGAGTGGCGCGTGCCGTGCCTGTAGTTGAGGTCGGTGCGCGAGTTCTTGAGGATGTAGCGCGATCGCCGCGCCACCGCGTGCGACGTCTTGTCCAGCGAGCTGACGTACTCGGCGTGCAGCACGTCGCGGATCACCTGCCACGGCACAAACGGGCGGCGCACCTGCACGCCGGCGCACAGCACAAAGACAAAGGTACCCCGTATAGCCTCAACAGTGTTGTTGGCGAGCACATATGAAAACCGGCACGGCGCACGAGGGCGTTGGCGGCCGGGGCCACGCCCAGCAGCCGCCTTCGTCTCTCCCCAGTTGCGATGTTTTTACACACCGCACCATGAACTCATTTGAGGCTGAGTCGACCTAGGGGAGGCCCAGGACCGGTTCAGATAATCGTCACCGGTGTTGGCCGTGAGCGGGAATCAAACTCGGGTCGCCAGGTTCGTAGTGCAGTGCGCTAACCACTACACAACCGCTCCCCCACGGCGCACGCACGCAAGCGCACTGCCACAGACACACATCGCGACGTTATTCTAAAGCGATTAGGCCAAGCGTGCCGTTTCCATGGACCACATTTGAATAATTGTCCTGCAGCAAACGAAACTCGAGTGGGATTACACATCGCCCCCGACGGCGGTTCTGCGCCGAGCGCGAGACGGCCTCGCGCCACGGGAACGGTGCGAACACCCAACGTGCCGACGCTTTTTGATCTAGCGGTGAACGCGCGCGTCAGCGGGCCGCACCTTGGCGTTGAGGATGGTGCAGGCGACACGACACAGCAGCAGGAGGCCGTCCTCCTGCTCGGTCCACGCCACGCGCTGCTTGGTCATGCGGCTGAGCGCGCTGCGGTCCGTCTCGTCGTAGTACATCTTGGGGCTGCCCTCCTCCCTGCGTTTCCGTGGCGATTCTGGTCCAGCAGCAAAAAGCGACAACGGTCATCATCAATCCACTGTTGGATTAATGGTCTCCCCTGCCCCCCCCTGCCTCCCACCTTCACCCCCCCCCCCCTCCCTTCTGATGATATTAGCAAGCCACTGCAGCTAAACCATTTTAAATCTAGATTTAAAACTCATTTCTTGAGAAGTGCTTTTTGTGTTTAGTTTGTTGTCCATTCCCCCACACCTCCGATAAGCACGGTTGGCTATGTATGGTGCGAAAGAAGTTCAACATACGTACGTAAATACATCTGTGTGTGTCTGTGTGTGGGTGGTGAAGCGGTGGTTAGTACGCTGCGTTTCGAACCCAGCGAGCCAGGTTCAATTCCTGCTCATGGCCAACATAGGTCGACTCAAGCCTCAAAATGCGTACCTGGTGTGGTGTGTAAACATCGCCACTGGGGAGGCACCCCCCCTCGTGTGCCGTGCCGGCCTTCACGTTCAACATACATACGCACGACCTTAGCTGCGAAGCGTAAAAACGGAATCACTTTACGCCTTTCTCTCTCTCTCTCTCTGAAGATCTAGAATCTGATGGGTTCTACGCGGAGGTCTGCGCACCGTTGGGTTTCTTCGGTTTCTTCCGCTTGGGGCTGGCTTTGCGCGGCTCGGCGTCGCGCTTGTCCCGCTTGCGCTTCTGCCCCTTGCCGCCCGCCACCGCCTTGTTCCGGTTCGCGGCCTCCACCTTCCGCAGGAGCACGTCGTCTGTGCGCGCCACCGGCCACCCGTCGTCCCCGCCGCGTGTCGTCGTCGCTGCAGCAGCAGCAGCGCCCACGCTCGCGCCATCGCCTGCGCGCGCGGCGAGGGAGATGAGAGTAGCGGCGCGGCCCTGCAATTGCTCGCTGCCGCGCAGTGCTGGCAGAAGGCAACGTGGTGGCGTGGTGATGTTGTGGCACGGTGCTGTGGTGGCATAGTAGCATGGTCCGCTGGTGATGTGGTGCAGTGGTAGGGTGGCGTGCTGGCGTAGTCACGAGGTGATGTGGTGGCGTGGTTATCTGGCTGTGTAGTCACGTGGTGATGTGGTGGCGTGGTGGCATAGTTATGTGGCGGCGTAGTCACTTGGCGGCATGGTGGATTAGTCACGTGGTGATGTGGTGGCGTGGTGGCGTGGTGGCGTGGTTATGTGGCGGCGTAGTCACGTGGTGATGTGGTGGCTTGGTGGCGTGGTTATGTGGCGGCGTAGTCACGTGGTGATGTGGTGGCATGGTGGCGTGTTTATCTGGCGGTGTAGTCACGTGGTGATGTGGTGGCGTGGTGGCGTGGTTATGTGGCGGCGTAGTCACGTGGTGATGTGGTGGCGTGGTGGCATGGTTATGTGGCGGCGTAGTCACGTGGTGATGTGGTGGCATGGTGGCGTGTTTATCTGGCGGCGTAGTCACGTGGTGATGTGGTGGCATGGTGGCGCAGTTATGTGGCGGCGTAGTCACGTGGTGGTGTAGTGGTGTAGTCACGTGGTGGCGTGACCGCGCCGTGACGTAGTCACGTGGTGGCGTGCGGTGACGTGCGGTGGCGCAGCACGCTCGTCTCGTACCAAAGCGGCCCATGGGATGCGAGCCATGCAGCGGTTTCTGCAGCAACGTCTGCAGGCGAACCGTGGAGGTGCCACTGCCGCGCCCGAGGTCCTGCCGACAACACCGTGCCGCACAACAACCACACGCCCTGTAGTGACACATCGGCCAACACAAAGCAGCAGCAACAACAACTCCCGCGCGGCTACCGTCAGCCGCCTACTGCGACAACCGCTACCGTCACACAGAGCTCGCTTTGAAAGTGCCGCTTGGAGCCACCTGGCCGGCGTCCTACAGGGGGCGGAAAATTTTCAGACTGGCAACGCCGCGCTCCTAACTTTAGTGCGCTCGGTCACAGCAATGAATGAGGGGTGTGTGTGTGTCTGTTGACATATGGTTGCCTGCCAAAGGTATCTGAAACGTCAATTCGGCCCTCAGTCAGTGAAAGGTTGTCCATGCCCTGCCCCATAGCGAGCGCAACGATAATACCGAGCGTTTTTATAGAGCGCCGTTCATGCAAACTGCATATCACAACACTGCACAATCCGCAAACACGGAGAATCGCATATGTATTTTAAGATGTTATCAGTGAAGTAACCGGAGCGCCCGGAGAAAATCCGTGTTCTTCCCGTGGTCGTGTGGATTTTTTTCTCCAGGTCCTCCGGTTTATCCCTCCACATTTAGAAACATGCATTAAGATTATATTGGTGCTATAAACGTCCAAATGATGGGCCACTTTGTTGAGCTTCTGAAAAATGAGTTAATACCTCAGTGGGCTTTGCCTGATAGGATCAGGATTGTTAAGTTTTATTTGTATGTGTTGAGATGATTTGTTAACCTTTCTTATACTTTGCACAACTATCATGTTTTTTGTACTGTTTGTTGTTGTAACGTTCTTACCCGCCCCCTACTGGACATCAGTTACAAAGAGCTTTATAGCTCATCGGATTCCTCCAGTATAAATAAATGTTCCGATTCTGGAACAGAAGGAGATTGGTCCACACTTGCCGAGAACCAGTTTATTCTGGCGAGCCACGGTACGGCACCCCTCCGAGATGCCCAAGGGAAGGGAATTTCGCAAATTTAATGCGGATTCACCGACTCTCGCTGCCTCCACATTGCCGGACCACAGCCCGTATATGCAGCTGCTGCCACTACCGCCCAGCCTGAGTATGTGCGTACGTTGAACTTTTCGTCACAAAAAGTGGCCAACCGTGCTAATTGGAGGTGCAGCGGGGGGGGGGGGGGGGGGGAGTACGACAAACTACAACACAATAAGCATCTGTCTAGAAATGAGTTTTCAATCGAGATGACTTAAAAGTGCACAGCTCTAGCGGGCTTCCCAATATTGGAAGGAAGAGTGTTTTCTAGACGGCCGCAGCGATGCAGGTGACCGTCAGACGACCGCGGCTTTGCGAGGGGCGCAGGAGACACGAGTGAAGGGATAACGGGGGGGAGGGGGTCAGGGCGCAAACGGCAAGGCTCAGAAGCACGAGAGCAGCTGGCGCCCCCCTCCGCTCCTACCCACCGGCTTGTCCTTTTGCAGGATGTACGACATCCAAATCCAGTTGCGCTTGAGGTGCCCGAAAAAGCACGAGTCAAGGCCGCCGGCGCCCAGGCCGTCCCCAGGAATGGTGCCGTCGTCCTGCACCTCCCTGCTGCCCCTGCACCGCACCAGGGGGCGCGTTACCGCGGCGACGTTCGCCTAAACGCGTACGCACACGCGCTGCTGCGTTATTTTCAACGACGCCACGGTTTTGTTCGCCCTGGGGTCCACCGCCGGGTGCGGTGTGTAAATATCGCCGCCGGAGAGACAAAGGTGATCCCGAGTGCCGTGCTGGCAACGCCACCCCCTCGTGTGCAATGTTGGCCTGAATAGGCGCTCGCTAACAGTACTTGCCTCTACAGTGTGATGAAGGCTATACAGGGGATCTTTGTCTTTATGCGTGCGTGCGTATGTACGTGTGTGTGTGTTGGGGGTGGGGGGGGGTGATGGCGCAGTGGTTAGCAAGCTGTGCTACAGACATGGTGACCCGAGTTGGCCACCCACCCCATCGTGTGCCATGCCCGGCCTTCATAGGTGCTTGCTAACAGCACTTGACCCAATAGTCTATCGAGGCTATTCGGGGGATATTTTTCTTAGTGTGTGTTTGCGCGCGCCCTACGAGGTGTACTCCAGCATGCTGCACTTCTTGTTGAGCAGCTTGTCGTCGTACGATCCCTGCTCCGTCTCCTCCCCGTCGGCACCGCCGCTCTTGCTCCGTTGCTGGTTGCGCACCACGCCTGCAACGCGCCGCGTTGGGGGGTGGGGGTCACAATGCGGGGTCCCGCTGTCAAGGGTCACGTCGACCGCGACGTACGTTCAACATCGCAATCTGGCAGCGTCAGCGCCGGTGGAGCACGGTGGTCTGGAGGGGGGGGGGCACGCGTACCGAGCGGCGTGTTGAGGCACACGCACTGCATGTGTAGCCAGTACTCATCCACGTTCTCCATGGCACGCAGCGAGTACGTGCGGCGCTCAAACGGCTCGGAGCTCTGCGCCAGCTTGTAGTGCGGCTCGCACGTCGTCGTGTCCACCACGGTGGCGCGCCGCTTCAGATACACGAACACCTGCGCCGACGGGAGGCGGCGGCCAGAAACACGCACACGCGCACGCACACACACACACACGCATTCTGCGTCACGGCGGGTGCACACGCCACCGTCGCAATCATCACGCGCTGCTGCGTATACTTATTTAGGTGGGAAGGAAATACAGTAAAACCTTGGATTGCGAGTAACTTGGTCTGCGAGTGTTTTGCAAGACGAGCAATTTTTTAAAATAAATATTAATTTGATAAACGAGCGAGGTCTTGCAATACCAGTAGTACGTATACGCTTTGTCTGCCGAGCGTCAACGTGATCACAACCGTTATACGAGTGCTTTGATATACGAGTGCTTTGGATTACAAACACGTTTCCGAAATGACTTATGCTCGCAATCCAAGGTTTTACTGTAACGGTGTCTAGACAATATGAAACTGGCAGGCTGGTATATGATGGGAGTCTCTGGACAGTAATAGCCTGGGAGACGGGTCTCTGATAGGGTCCGTAACAATAACACACTGGCAGACCGGTCTCGTCCGAGTTGGGGCTGGCTGTGGTCGTCACGGACGGCCGTTGATACCTGATCCTTGTCCTGGAATCTCTCGAGGGGCCCGAAATGGAGCAGGCCCATGAACCAGAGTCGCTGGAAGCATTCAAAGATCAGGAAAATATACCTCCTGGAAATAAGAACAAAAACACAAAACATTCACCACTTTAGCCAGTTTCAAAAATGAATACCATAAATTATGTGTGTGTCGTATCCGTTTCTGAAGGGAAATGGACCCTCGTGTTGGTGTTAAGGTCCCAGGGCTAGGCAACAACACAATTTGGCCAACGGCCACAATTAACTTCACGCTTGGCTTTGTTCAATGCAAGTGTCATTCCTAGCAGCCGCTCGGCTAACGAAGGCACACGGAGGAGCGGCGGAACGCGCCACAAAGCTCAGACGGGACTCGCAGGACTCAGGGGAAGGCCCCGAGGAGAGGCCCCTCCCTGGCAGCAGAGCCACTACTCACCGCTTGAACAGCAGCTGCTGCCTCATGGCGACGGGGAGGAAGCGCACCAGCGTGTGCTTCTTCACGGGGTCGTCCAGCAGCTCCTGCAGCCCGTCCACCTGCAGCGCGGCAACGACAGTGCTATAACGGCGGGCCACACCGTGGCGTCGTAACGTCGGGCCGCACCGTGGCGTCGTAACCTTCGGGCCGCACCGTGGTATCAATGAAGGGCCTCACCATGGCATCGTAATGGTGGGCTTGCTTGTGGTATCATGATGGGCCTCACCGTGGTACTATAATGATGAGATTCACCATGGTATTATAACGTTGGGCATTCACCACGGTATCGTAATGGTGGGCGAGCTTGTGGTATCATGATGGACCTCACCGTGGTACCATGACGATTGGCTTCCCCGTGGTATGATGCAATTCACCATGGAATTATGACGGTGTGTTTCACCGTGCTATCTAGATGACGGGCTTGACAGGTTATATAATGAGGGGCTTGTTACAGTTACAATGGCATTGTAATTCGTTACGAATTACACATTCACGCTTGTGATTGACTCCAGGTCTACCAACCCCACACACCCCCCCCCCCCTCCCACAAAACATCTCCTTTCAGCACCGCTAGCCACAGGTGATATTCAGGTGGGTACGAGAACAGAACCAAAATATTTATTCATCCTAGAGGAATCCGATGAGCTATCAAGCTCTTTTTCACAGTATGTCCCAGTAGGGGCGGGTCAGAACGTTGCAACAAAAACACGATAGGAGTGAAAAGTATAGGGAAGGTAGGCAAGTACGGGAAGGGGTAGGAGGCGGGGGGGTGGGGGGGGGGCGGCATACCCGGTAGCTGATGCGGATGAGCTGCACGAACACGGAGAGCGGCATGCAGAGCAGGATGTCGCTGACGAGCGCCCAGCCCTCGCCGTACTCCCCGTGGATGGGCGCCGGCGGCGTGAACCGGCGCCAGTCCTGCACCTCCATGTACACTGATCGGGGCACAACGAATCCGCGTGAGTCACTCGTAGGAGCGGAGGTCGAGGCGCAGCCTTGCAATCTCATCGCTCGTGCCACTGCTGGCGGAAGGGTCCTCCCCGCTAGGCGGAAGCTCTGGAGAGGCCGCCCACCCCCCACTGATGACGCTCGGATGAGGGAATACCCACGCTTTACACCACCGCGCGTGACCTGCCGATCGACTGTGGTGAGATGTTAACTGCCGCATCTGGTGCACAGGAGGTCGTGGGTTCAATCCCGACTCTGACGCCTGTATATTTGTGCATGTTCTCCCCGTGGTCACGTAGATTTTTCTCCGGGTCCTCCGGTTTTTCCCTCCACATTTAGAATCAACATGTGTTCAGAGTATTTGGCTGCTATAAATTTCCACGTGATAAGCCACTTCGTTGGCCAGGTCGCTTGTGAACAAAAGCTCAGTGGGCCTTACCTGGTTAAAAAAATGCTTTAGTTTATCGTGATTATACTTGCTGGCTGGCTGGATAGAGGCAAGGAGGATGTGATCAAACTTGCCTCTTGCTCTAAAGAGGCCCCTCTAGCGGAGCTCCCAGGCAAGTGTGAAAACAAACCAAGAAGAAGAAGTCAGTATCATTTTCAACTTTGGCAAATATAGCACCGCGACACCGACACGCGTTGGGCTGACTCTTCTTCAAACAACGGCACGGGATTTTTTACGTCCACTGCTAACCAGACGGGCGTGTGTTTACGGCAAATACGCCGGGAGAGTTAACCGGGCTTGCCGTCAAGGGTCGAGCCACGAAATTCTAAGAATCGGTACGAATTCACTACTGCTCCACCACTGCATGTAGTCGGTACGTTGAACTCATTTTGTGTCTTGCCGATCTTGTCAAGGAGCATAAATCATCGACCAGACTCCGGTCATCCTCGCAGCAGCGGCTTTTGGCTGGCCATCGCACGAAGACGATCACCGCATCGCGCGCTTGCGGATGCGCTTCTGCGGCCGTCTGGAACGCTCTTCCTTCCGATATTGGAAAGCCATCGGAGCTATGCACTTTTGAATCATCTAGATTGAAAACTCATTTGTTTACAACTGCTTTCCGTGTGTTAGTTTGTCATCCGTCCCCCGCACCTCCGATTAGCACGCTTGGTTCGTCGTACGGTGCAAAAGAAGTTCAACATACATACGTACAAACGTTCTAATCGGGAGGCACGTTTGCCTTTGAAGGGGGGGGGGCTTCACGCGCGAGCCGGCCGCAGACCCCCTGACCTGTTTCCTCCGCAAACAGCTGCTCCGCTTGGCTGCTCGGCGACGTGCTGCTCTGCCCCGTGCCCACGGAGGGCCGCCCTTCGCTTTGGTCTCCTTCCCACCGGGGGGCCACCTCCGAGGCCACCTCCGAGAGCGTGCCGGGGTCCTTGGAGTTCTCGGCGGCCGGTGGGCCTGCACCTTAAGTACAACCGAGCGGGGGACAGAGTTGACAAGGCCCGTCTCGCCATCGAAGCGGTGTGCCCGCAGCAGGGCGAGCGTGCAAACGAGGGCGGCCCCTTGGTTCTCAAGTTAAAAGCGGAATTATGGGAAAAACGCACATCCTAGTCGTACGAGGATAACGCTGGCAAACGCCTTTTGATAAATCGACAAGTGTTACGATGACGGGGGGGGGGGGGGGTGGTGCCGTGGTTAGCACGCTGCGCTATGAACCTGGCAACCCGAGTTCGATTCCTGGCCATGGCCAATATCAGCGGCGAGTGATATAAGAAGCGGTTCTGCCCACCGTTCATCAATCTGCAATTGCCAGTGTGAGGTAAGGTAAATAGACATGGCTTGGGGAGGGCTTTATCCTGATCTTTGGGATCTACTCAGATGGCTGGAATTTATATAAATTATGATGACGAGGACTTGAAAATTCTTCCAATTCAGCCATCCATCAATCGGTGTACCTTGGTGCTGCTCTCACGGTCAGGTCACACATTTGAGAGAGACGTTTTATCTCTGATGTTCAGTGTGCAGCTCATCGTCGTCATATAGGCAGAATCAGAATATTTAATTATACTGCAGGAATCCGATTAGCTACAAAGCTCTTTATCACCGATGTCCAGTAGGGGTGGGTCAGAACGTCACAACAACTAGCTTCAGGCGCTTAATCTTTGGGCGTAAACCAACAGTCATCTGTGTAAACACCGCGTGGGGCCCAACGTACCGTCCCCGCTGGTCTCCGCGAGCGACGACCCCTCGCCGTCGGGGGCCTCCGCCCCTCCCCGTGGCAGTGCGGCGGGCGGCTCCTGCTTGAGCTTGTGGCCGTGCACGATGTACCAGAGGAAGGTGTGCAGGATTCGCAGGCGCGGCATCTTGGGCATGAAGCCCAGCGAACGGCCCAGCCCTGGGACTGCAGGCACGAGCGCACGCGTTAACCAGCGTGGATACGCGACGGTGGGTACGCGAGGTGGGTACGTTTGTGTGCGAGCACAGGTAAGCGCGTATACGTGCGCCGGTACGCACACAGGTATACAGGTGAACGGTCGGGATGCGCGTAAACAGACGCGCGCGTAAAGCTGCAGATAAGCGCAGTGTCCAGGTACGCACGCGGCTGCACGCTGCACGCACAAAGGCACACGTGCGGCTACACACGTACATGCACGGAGGCCCGCTCACCCGCGATCGAATGGCGCACGACCCAGCGGCGAAACGCGACAAGCGACGGCACCCCTGGCCTACCGATGGGCGGCGAGTAGTCGAGCAGGGGCGTGATGCCCATCCTGATGTCGATGGTGCGCTGCAGCCCCAGCGTCCTGGTCGCCTTCTGTCCCGTCGCGGAGACGCGGCCGCCGCGCGAGTCCCCCGACGACTCGCCCGCCTCGTCGTGCGAGTCCCTCCGCTCGCCGGTCTTCTTGGTGCCGCCCGGCGACGTCTCGTCCGCCGCCGCCGCCGCCGCCGCCGCCGCCGCCGCCCCCTCCGCCTGCGCCTTGTGCGCCTGCGCCGACGCCTTGGCCCTGCCAACCGTGGATTGGCAGCCAAAAATAAAAAAAAACACTTTTGTTGGACCGTTTGCCGAACGCTTCGCCGTCGCTCGGCGGGAGGTGAACGTGGCCAATCGGTCGCTTTGACGCTCGTTGCCGAGGTTCGCAATTTTGAGCCGGGCGGCCGCCCAGGTTAATACCGCGGGTGTGCTTAACCGCAACTTCACAACGGACGCTAAAAATCCTGTAACGTTATTCGAAAGAGTCCGCCAATGTGCAAAATGACTCTGAAATTACTCAATTGGGTAAAACCGCGTAGCAACGTCGCTCCCTCCCGGCAGACTACCCCTCTGTGAAACAGTGCCTTTGCGATAGCCTTGCGCTATTGGGCATCACGTGAATATCACATTCATTAAATTATTGTTGTTAACATTAGGCTCTCTCCACTGCTTGCCGCGGGCACACGTGGGCACCAGGTTCTGAAATTATGGTGGGGGGGGTTTGGGGTGGGGTATGGAGGAGGGGTGGGGGGTGAGGTGGGGTGGGGGGGGGCTTGGGGTGGGTGGAGGGGGCCACTCACCTCTGGGAGGAATAGGAGCCGGAGATCCGGAAGCGCACCTGCTCCAGTGCGCTCTTCACCAGCGGGTCGTGGGGGCTCACGGACGGGTGAACGACCAGCTCCACCTGGTCACGCGCCACCCAACAACCGCCGAGGCTATGTACGGAGGGCGTCTGTCCGCGTGTTTTTGCTATCGGCGATAATAACGAGCGTTTGTGTATGGCATCGTCTCGCAACGCTGCACAATCCGCAAGCACCGAGGTGCCTTTATATTAAGCTCATTAGCGAGTGCATATACGTATGGGAGTAAACCCACGCTTGCGAGGGGGCAGCACTCTATCCCACCCATGCAGATTGATATTAGTTTGCACTTTGCCGTACCACTTTCCCCTCAGAATCGGAATCTTTATTTAGACCGGAGGAATTCTACCGGCAAGCCAAGTCGTGGCTCCTCCTCGACACCCACAGGAAAAGAAGTTTCACGACATTTGTGCGGCGATTCACCAACCCTCGCTGCCTCCACAGTGCCGGATCACGCGCCACATGCATAGCCACCACCAAAGATCCCCCGAATAGCTTTGACAGACTGTTTGGGCAAGTGCGGTTAGCGAGCACTCATGAAGGCCGGCAGGGCACACGACGGGGTGGGTGGCCAGCACCACGCCCGGCTGCCTTTGTCTGCCGAGTGGTGATGTCTACACACCGCACCAAGTACTCATTTGAGGTTGAGTCGACCTAGGGGAGGCCCAGGACCGGTTCAAATAATTGTCACTGTAAGTGTTCGCCGTGAGGCCACGTGCACAGCAGCCACCGCTACCACCACATGCATCATCACCGCCGTCAATGCCGTGATGGTGCGTGTGCGATGGCATTGGCGGTCATTGCACCGCAACTACCAACCCAGTCGCCTCCGTTCGATTTAGCTGATATCTGAACCGCCGGGCCTTCCACTTCCGCTCCCCACCGAAGCCTCGACAAACAAACAAAAATGGCACCCACTTTTTTGGTGATGCCATCCTGCACGACGGTGGTGCGGTAGAGGCGCAACTGCCCGTCATCCGCCAGCTTGTTGACGAGACGAACGATCGACTTGCGGCAGCAGCGGCCGCTCACGCCCTCCACGCGCTCCTCGTCCACGATCATCTTCTGCAGCCTGCGGTGCGGAGAAGCGCGTCGCAAATCAAACTGAACTATTTCAACTCAACAATTTTTTATTTTACCTACCCGAGCTGTGCAGCTCTTCTTCAGAAGCGAACTGGCCACAAATGATAGCTCATAAAAGTGGCTTATCGCGTGGACATTTATAGCAGCCAAATACTCTAAATATACGTCGATTCTAACTGTGGAGGGAAAAGCCAAAGGACCCGGTGGAAAATCCATGCGACCACGGGAAAAATATGCAAACTCCAAATATACAGCAGGCGTCAAGGTCGGGATCGAACGCACGACTTCCTGCATACCGTGGCGCCCTCATCGCGTTGCTCGCCGCCATGCGTGGCACAACGTTGCGGAAACAACCCGAAAACGCGGCCGGAGGAAGCCGTTCAGCTCAGCCAGAAAAACCCGGTTCAGCACGGTTATATGTACGCTGTCACGCTGCCGCGCTACTCCGCTACCCCGATCTTGACAGGCCAGGCGGCTCTGTGGGGGAGAGCGAGCGGCCAGCAATCGGAAAGTTTGCGAGTTCAAATCCAGATCGTGGTGTCGGTTCCTCAACAACTACCACTATGCGTGGCAAGTCAACGGCGGTTGTCCTATGGGGGAGACTCAACGCCATCGTAGGAACGTGGAATTTCCACGACCGGCTCGGGCCTGTGAGCAGGCGGTAGGCACCGCCTCAAGGCTCATTTGAGCGAGGAATTCACTTCAACTTCGAGCTCATCTTGACGCAAAAGCAACTGGGCGACAAATGCGAAAAGATGCACTGGATAAGCTGGCACAATGCGTGACAACGACCGTTTTAATCCACGTTTTTGTGTTTGTTTGCATCGTTCTACGTATGTATACGTATGGTGAACTTCATTCGTACAGTACGTAGTCAACCGTGCGTATCGGAGGCGTGGGGGGTAAGGACAACAAACTAAACACAAAAACAGTTCTCAAGAATTTAGTTTTAAATATAGATTTCAAAGTGCCATAGCTCCAACATCAGAAGAGCATTCCAGACGGCCCCTGGCGCTCCGACGCGGCGCCGGCGAACGTCACACGCACGCAAAGAGGCTCTCGATGAGGCGGTGGCTGCGCACGGCCTCGATGATCATGTTCTGTCGCTTGAGCAGGCGGTACGTCAGACGCGTCGGGCCCCGCGTTGCGCCGGGCTTGTGAGGCGCCGCCTGCTCGCGCGCGGGCACAAAGACACGGGCGGGCGGGCACGCGCACGTCAGCGAGAATTCCAGTCACCTATGGTTCTGTTGCACGCAGATCACACGCTAGCGTCACTCTTAAAGGCGATGGAGTGAACGGTTTCAAACGAGACAGAATAAAAGCAAGAAACAATACGGACGCGATCGTGAAAATGAGCCAAAAAATAAATAAGAACCGATTCATCGAGCTGCCAAGTAAATGAACTTGTCAATTGCCTATAAATTAGCAATTTCATTATTGCCTGCTACAAAAAAAACTTATGTTTGGGCGGTGGTGCAGGTGTTGAATGCACTGTGCTATAAACCTGACCCGGGTTAGATTCCCAGCCACGGCCAACAATATCGCAAACATTTTTGCCCCCGACACCGCTTCGCCCAACCTACGCTGACCGTCACGGTGAAGTATGCTCAAACAAACCCCCCTGACCTCCACGGCGTTGGGAGGCCTTCATCCGGGCAGTGGATTGAGAAAGGACTGTGCACTGACACTCGGAAAAAATTGATCAGCGACAGCGGCGCTGGCGCACCCACCGGCTCCAGCAGGAGTTCACCACCCTCCGGCTTGACCTCGGCCTCCTCGTCTACCTCCACCTTGCAGACCCCGTGCCCTTCCGGCGCCGGCCCCTCCGAGTCGGCCGGCGCTCCGGCCTGCCCCGCGGCCGCGCCCAACGGCGCCTCTCCTTCTCGCCGCGCGGCGGCCTCGCCGGCATCCAGCAATGCCACGCTCTCCCGGCACGCCACAGCTCCTCCCTCCGGCGCTGGCTCCTGCTCGTCTCCTCCTTCTCCGCGGGTCCCCGTCTCGCTCGGCGCCGACGCGGCCTCAACCTCAGTGCCGGGCCCGGCGTGTGGAGCATCGGCGGGATCCGTGGATTCCGTCGCCGGTGCCAGAACCAATTCTGCTGTTGCTGCTGCCACTGCTGTGGCCTCTTGGAGCTGCTCAGCCATGACCTTCACCTCCGACTCATCGGCGGCGGCGTGTCCGGGCTTGTCCTCTGCGGTCGTCTCATCTGCAGACACAGCAGAGTGCATTCGTTGTCATTTACACCCCAACCGATAGCGGCGTCTCCAGCAGAGTGAAAATGAAAAGTGCGCTTTCATGCGACTGCTAAGCTCGACCTCGCAGTGTCAATTCAAACCTCAAGGTAACACCGACCCTAAGCTTGACCTTATCCCTTAAGGCTCTTAACGCCGTCCCCCGTAACTCTCCAATTAGACGTTCTCCGTTATAGCCAAGTTCGTTCACCAACTCCACACCGGCATTCGCCGCTTTGACAAGAAGCACCCAGACGTCGGTAATCACGGCCAAGTCCCAAAGCCGGATTGTGGGATACTGCTGAGCATGGAGCGTGGAGGTGTTAACCCTGAAACACCCACGGAATCTAGCACGAGGATAAAGCGATGGCAGAAGGAATAAAGCGATAGCACCAGTTGCATCGATGTATAAATCTTGTCCTTTGCTCACGACTCAAAGTAGACCATGCGGGGGTCACGGGAAATACCGTGGGGCCGCCAGGCTCAGGGTGAGGTGACAAGGTGAGGTCACAGGGTGAGGTCCCAGGGTGAGGTCACAGGGTGAGGTCACAAGACTAAGGGTGAGGTCACAGGGCGAGGATGGAGCCCCGCGTCGTTCCGCACTCACCCGCCTGCGGTAGGGGGTGTTTTCTCGGGCGGCCTCTCTTCCTGCCGCTGGCCTTGGTGTTCACCTTGGCCTTCTTGTTCTTCTTCAAGGAGCTCTTCTTGTTCTTGGAGCCCTTCGGCCGGCCCCTCTTGCTGGGCAAGAGGGCGGCGGGATCCTGCGCGGTAGCGACGCCAGAAGTGGCGGCGCCGGCGGCGCTCTTCCCCGGCTGCCTCCACCTCCCGGCCGCACCCCAGTTCCAGGGGAACACGGTGTCGGGGCGCCGGGGGGCAGCACCGGCGCCGCAGCGCTTCACCCTGCCGTGCGTGCGCCCCGGCTGGGCGACGGCCCAAGCGGGGGCGGCCGGCGAGGGGCCGGCACCGCCCGGCGTGGTCAGCTCTTGGTTGCGCGCCCGCTCGCGCTCGATCTGCTGGCTGAGGACGCTGGTCTTGACGAACTGCTGCGCGATGTACTTGGTGGTGCGCTGGCGGCCCTCGTCCTCCATGATGTCCTGCGGGCGAGATCGATGGCGGTCACGACAGCAGCCGTAACAACGCGCGGGGGGAATGAACGGGAGCGATGATTGACGAACGAGAGCAGAAGTAACGATGGCGAGGGAACGGAATGAAGAGCGGCGAACTTGAACGAGGAGAAGGGACAAACAGAACGACGACGAACAACCGTCGAGAACGATGGACGCTAACCAACGGTGAGAAAGAAGAAAAGGGGAAATGAATGAGAATGACCAACGAGAGCGAGAACAACGAGAACGGGAAAACGGCACGAGGACAAGGCGTGAGTAAACGAGAGTGACAATTGTCAACGTCGAACTGCTTTTTGCGTTTAGCTTCTTCTCCTTCCCCGCGCCTCCGGTGCGAAAGAAATTCAGCGTACGTACAACGCACGATCAACCAAACGAGGGCATCCAGCGGAAGGGCGCGGGAGAAGTTCAAAGTTCATTTATTAGGTATAGCCCTGTGAGCCATTCGGCTCTTGAATCGGGTGCAACCGCAACAAACAAAAAAACATGAACAAGAAAACATCTTAAAGTGACTATGTGCAAACAGAAAATCCAAGAAAAGACTGCAAAATATTGCAGAAAAATCACCGTACACCAACCCTGTGCAAATATCCCAGTGGGATGCAAGTCAACCTACAACAATAACCACAAGACAACTTAGATTAAGGCCATCAGTCTAACTCTGTACTACAACAAACAAACATGGCCAAACCAAAAAACTGAGAAGCACGCCGAACGAACAAAATGCCGACGCACAGCCCCGCAGCGGCACAACGCACCTTGACGAGCCCCCTGCGGCACAGCGTGCGGCACAGCATGCGTCCCTCCAGCTTGCCCACGTTGAGCTCGAGGCACAGCTCCGAGTGCGAGATGCCGCCCGTCCCGTGCCTCCGCACTGCAAGAGGACGCCGCGGCACACGTGCCAGTCGCTCAGAGCAGCGTTGATCACACGCGCACATACACACACCCACGCGCGTGTCCCGCTCGCCCGCTCATTTTCTCACACCCACACATTTCACTCACCCGCTAGCTCGCTCGCTCGCTCGCACACACCTGCACACGTGTACCACTCATTCGGTCACACACACACACACCTACCTACACGTGTCACTCAACTCACACTCACTCGCACACGCCGGCACGTGCGTTGCACACGGAGTGCACAGCGGCCTCACCGAGGTCCAGGGCCTGCGTCAGCATGTCACGCTGCAGCACGAGGCCCTGCGGCCGGACGGGCCTCTGGATCGGAGTCTCCTCCTTCTCCACCTCCGCCTCCGCCTCCGCCTCTCCGAACGCACGCACCAGCTGCAGGCTCCTCACCATCACGTCGTTACCTGCGCCAGGCAAAGCAGGCAAGCAATCGGACGGGTCAGCGAGGACGGGGCCAATCCCGCTCGCCACGGCGATTCGCGCTGCGTGATCCAGGCGTGCTGCGCGAAAACACGCAATGAGAGCCCTAACAAAACCAGCAGTATTAAGTAGGTTTACATGTTGTCAACACAGGCAAGATCACAGATCCGACTGGATGGTGGGGCACATCTCATAGCTCAGCGCCGCTTACAGCTTTTTAGTCAATCGCACAGCACACCTCTGATTGGTGGGTGCTGCCCACCTCCGATTGGTCGGTAACACCGCACACTGCTGATTGGTCAGTCGCATAGCACGCTTCGGATTGGTCAGTGCCGCTCACCTCTGGTGTTCTTGCAGGGCCGCCCCTGTTGAGTCTGCTTGACCACGGACGTGATGACGATGTGCCCCAACGTCACCATGAACTGGTAGAGCTTCCGGAACGACCGGCCGTCCATGCTCTGCGCGGCAACACGGGGCGTTACAGGGACATGCGAGCAACGATGGCGCTGACCGTCTTGTCCATAGTCGGTCCCGTCATTGTCACGCTCGATGATTTCCGTCCACTCACAGCCATTGTTGAGTGAAATATATATTTAAAAAACGTTTTTGTTCGCGAACAATCACGCATTTGACGATAACCAAACCCAACGCTGGATTGTCGCCGCACCATTTCTGTGCGAAGCCTGGCGATGGAGTCCGTACGAGTGGGCCGCATCATCAGCTTGTCGGACAGCTTCTGCATGAGCACCGAGTACTTGCTGTGCCTGCAGCCAGCCCTGCAGGGAACAACGGCGCTCCGTTCAACCCGCACGCGCTGGTCGATGCAAGCGCCATCAAGCAGGCCCGCATTACGGCCGGCGGAGGGGTACGTGGTGTGGCCAGAATCAAGGACCACTCACTGCCCCCCTTCTACCTCCCCCCCCTCCTCCTCCCCCCGCTGCCTCTATCTGAAACGCAGCACTGATGTTTGTGACAGCACCAAGTGATGTTTATTTTATGCCGTCACGATCAAGGGGAGACCCTAAGAAAAAAACTGGCGCAGAAATCAACTCTGTGCATCGTAAAAGACGGGGCACAATCTGCTGGAATTGTAATGCAATGTGCTCACCAACAGCCATAACAACTCGCACGCACAGGCATGCATCAACACACACACGAAAGCACACATTCATTGAATGGTGGAATGTTACGAATGAGAACGTGAGCAAGTAGACGAGATTGTCGGCAGCGGCACCAGCAGTAGCAGCAGCAACAGTAGCTGCAGCAGTAGCAGCAATAGCAGTAGCGGTGTCTGCATAAGCAGCAGTAATAGCAGCAGTAGTTGCAGCAGCAGTAGCAGCAGTAGCTGCAGCAACAGCAGCGTCTGCAGCAACAGCAGCGTCTGCAGCAACAGCAGTAGCAGCAGCATCAGCAGCGATAGGTGCAGCAGTGGTAGGTGCGAACCTGTCGATGTGGAATCGTTTGAGCAGCAGCAGCATGGAGTGCATCTGGCTCCCGTTGGGCCGGCGCGTCACGTGCGACTGCAGCGTCACCAGCCCGAGGCGGTCGAGGAAGCCGCGGTGGTAGTGCATCTTCCTCGCGTCGATACTGCACGACCCACGGCACGCACGCGCTGGCATCACCGCGCAACGCCAAGCCAAACTCTCGCCCACCGTCATCTGATGACGTTCGCCATTATTAGATGCAATGCAAGGGGCGGTGCAGTATAAACGATTATATGTTCCAACTCCAGTCTACTTCTATAGCTGTATTTGTCAGTGAGTAAAAGAATAGATGATTGCGACACAGGTGCAGCCCACTTGTGTGCCATCACCAATATTTTACACGTGCAAACTAAGCCACAGCACCCTGTACATACTGGGCAGGGAGGCGGGCGGGTGGCCAGGGGGGGCGGGTAGGGCGGTGCAGGGGAGTACGCACTGGAAAACGTTGGTGTGGAGGTCGCTCTGTAGGGCACCCTCCCAGCGCGCTCGGCCCAGCCGCTCCAGCAAGCAGTACGAGAAGTCGGGCACGCGCAGGTCTGGGTCGCACTGCCAGCCGGCCAGCGCACGCCACCGCAGCTCCTGCGATGCCACGGCCACCAGCGTGTCGCCCCACCTGACGGACACACGCGGAGCGCGCCCAACTCGTCCTTCTCGTCACTTGTTTATGCGCCATTATCTGTTTGATCTGTGCTGATGATCGCCACGAGATGGATATCCCAGGTGGAATTTTTCAATAATTTTAATTCAAGAACTGTCATCAACAGCCATGATTAAATTACTCAATTGGGTTAAACTACATTGCAAAATTGGCTCCCTATTGGCAAACATCGCCCGTGGCCGTGCTACAAGCATGGCGCAAGCAGCACATTTGCGTCTTTTTTCCGGCGGTTATTGAGCGCGCGAGGGCCCAACGGCTCGAAACGCCAAAGCGTGGTCACCGACGGAACATCGCTATCTCCACGTACAAAAATAAAAACTTGCCAATTTGTTTACTTCCACTGCACGGCAGAGGGGAGAGTGCGCGCGCGATAAAAAAAAACGCGCGGCTCACCGCTTCTCCACCTCCTCCAGCGTGCACAGCGGCCGCAGGTCGCGGCTGCGCACGAGCTCGGTGACGCACGTGCGCTCGCCGTAGTAGCGGCACGAGCCCTGCATGCCGGCGGGGTCGTCCAGCAGCATGTGCACGGGGTAGATGTCCGGGCTGCTCTCCCACCGCCCCGACGGCGCCTCCGCCTCGTCCTTGCACCTGCGCCCGTCGGGCAGGGTTGTCGATGAATCCGGTGCGAAGGAAACGATCCGGCGCGGGGCGCGCGAAGAGGCGTGTCGTGTGGGAAAGAGACGCGCAAGTTCGGGCTTGGTTTTGCGTATCTATATATAAGTTAGTAGTTTCGCGCGTGTGCGTGTGTCACGGGAAAGCTCCTTCTTTCCCGCCTGTCGATTGGCCAAAACAAAATGTACAATCGGGGATGCTAACACAAAAATAAAATGTAGTATTTAAAACATATTTTTAAGTTTAATTTCAATTTAATGAAATTATTTCTCCGCTAAAACCCACAGAGAGAGAAACCATTATCAACCACAGGGGAGGATCGTACTCCATTATTGAACAATTTTACTCATAAAACTTAACCTTATTCCGTTTATTTCAATTATAATTTGTTAATCATTGTACAATAATAGTTGCAGTGAGTTTATAATGCCGTGTCTTGCTTAGTTTTTTTTATGTTTAAACGTATAAGCACCATGGTACATTCCAAACAACGCTAAAGCTACGGTGAGAAACGTGGTTCAAAGCAGATGCCAGTAACGTGATTTATTATTATTACAGATGTTAATTTGGCATCATTGGACTGAGGTACATCACAATCAGAATATTTATTTTTACTGCAGTCGGGGCACGGGGTAAGATCATCAAATCAACAAACAGCACAAAAACATGATGGTAGTGCAAGTAAAATGTAACAAATCACCAAACAACATCTTCAGTATATCTAAATATATATTCGTGCATGCGTATTACATTCGGGGAATGCCAGAAAGTGCCCGTTTTATACACCGCGATTGATTCGACATGTCTCCATTTTGATCATTTACTGCATCTGTACCGCGTTGTGGCGAAGGGCGCATGAGTAAATGCACTCTTGATGCATCGGCGCTTTTGTTGCACAACATTAATGGTTGACACCTCACACACTGGGATTCTTGCACACAGCGTTGTAGTACGGTGGGTTTTTTTCTGGAACATTTGCTGGTTTATCAAGGATGTTTCTGTTGCGCGTCGTTGCTTTAAGATGTTCTCTGTTCATATTTTGTTTGTTGCGGTTACACCCGACTCAAGAGCCACATGGCTCACAGGGCTACACTTCATGATGTGACTTTTCTTTCACGACAGACGCTTATCTTCTCACAATACCCTCACACTTTGCTGGATACAGCTCAGCAATAGTACATGCTCAGGGTATGTAACAACATTACACATCACGTGTGTACTATGTCTGAGCTGTACACAGTAGATAGTGTGGCGTGTAATGTTATAAACAATCTCATCCCTTGGGTCCGGGTAACGCCCCCCCCCACCCAGCGAGTAAAAATACATGAAGATTCGGACGTTAAAGGACAAGCTCGGATCTTTAATTTGGACTTTAGAAACATTTAAATAGGCAAGATTACAGCGCGTTTCCATGCTCACGCAAGTGACATTCGTATCGATCAGAAAACTAAACATTTTTTTGGATGATCCGAAACTTTATATGTAGCACGACGTTTAGACTTTTTGACGTAAAAAAATTCAGGCATCCCCAACGTAAACCCATCGTCTTGAGCTGCGTATTTATTCGGCGACTGGCGAAAGACGGGACAGATTTCCCAGGAATAGTTACCTCAGCAAGAGGACGATCCTGGGAATATCAGGAGAGTGAGCACACCGCCAGAACGTGGACAGCTCACCAGAGGCAGCCCACGTTCAGTGGCGACTCGACGACTGTACCAGAGTCCTCGTTTAGCGCGTGCTCACACAACGCGCTTTCGCTACAACGCGGTTCTTCTATTGGGGAACACTTTTCGCACGGCGCGATCAACGGCGGCGAACGACTTTCTTGAGCTTCGGCGGCCGAGCGGTACGGAAAGTTTCTGGGAATACGCACGGAATGAAACGATCACGTGGCGGCGTACCCTCGTCTCAGTTATTTGTCCCGCCATGGGATGACCGCAGGCTGACTTTATAGTGCAAACGTGACTCAAAGTTGCATCGTTTTTATTTTAATTTATGCCGCGTAGCGTACGTATGCATGTCGGGTAATTCCTCGCTGAATGCGGAACTATTCAGGAACGCATCTCCTTGCGTTAAATGAGGAATTTGGCGGACAAGCCAAGGGTTGGAAGGGTTCCCGTTTTCCTCCAGTGGCGTGGCTATCGAGGGCCCAGGTGGAACTACCCAGAGGCCCACGGGCCTGAAATGCCAAGTCGCTGGGATCTGAAGCAAGGGGTGGTGGGGACAATTAATTCCTCGCACCAATGAATTGCGCGTCACACTTGAATTGAACATCAGGTTAACGCTGCTGCTGTAATTATAACCGAGGCCAGGTCTCTTGGTTGCCGTTACGAGTGGCACGGGGAGGTTGACTTCGTGGCGTGCGATGGGAACGCGACTCTCGTGGATGCGCGTGGACAACGAGTGGCCGGAGGGGGGGTGGTGGTGGTGGTGGTCGATGCGTGCGCACTTCTCTGTTGAACTTCTTCTCCACCGTACATGTCCAACCGTGCTCGTCGGAGGAGGTGCGGTATTGGGGCCCGTGGCAGGCCACGTGGATGACGATGAGCGAGAGGGGGCTGCCAGCCACGCATCGAAAAGAGGATTGCCCATTTAACGACGACTTGTTAAAAAAAAAAACGCAAACACTTGGGTTGCGTAACGCTTTTGCCAACACGCGTTGTTGTGTCTTGTGAATTTCTTGAATCGGCAATAAAAAAAAGAACCTGGGAAAGCCGACGGGGCAGCTGTCAGGGCAAGAGGCGTTTGCGAATTGTGCCTTGATGGGCCTCTTCCTTGCGCTGGTTCGAGTCTCCCCAAGTGTTTGTGTAATTTTCGAACCAATGCGACCGGCTTCTCAACCGGAGCACATCGCGGACCAGCGTGGTGAAGTATGGTCGAATAATCGTCACGAGCGGCACGACAGCGTGTGGATGGGGGAGGGAGGCCCTCATCCGATCGGTATATTGGCAACACGCTGCGAACGCGTTACACGCACCCCGCGCCAGATCAGACGGAGAGATCAAGCCAGGACGTATTTCTCAGGCAGCCTGGGATCTATGACAACTGTCCAGTTACACTGCAAGCAAGTGTCAACACAATACCAGGGCAAGGGGTTACCCGAGCCACCCTCCAAACCCCGTCTCGGTCCCAGCTCCGGTCTCACCCCAACTCCGGTCTCACCCCAACCAAGGTCTCACCCCAACTCCGGTCTCACCCCAACTCCGGTCTCATCCCAACCCCGGTCTCACCCCAACCCCAATCTCACCCCAACCAAGGTCTCACCCCAACCACGGTCTCACCCCAACCCCAATCTCACCCCAACTCCGGTCTCATCCCAACTCCGGTCTCACCCCAACCACGGTCTCACCCCAACCCCAATCTCACCCCAACTCCGGTCTCATCCCAACTCCGGTCTCACCCCAACCACGGTCTCACCCCAACCTCGGTCTCACCCCAACTCCGGTCTCACCCCAACTCCGGTCTCACCCCAACTCCGGTCTCACCCCAACTTCGGTCTCACCCCAACTCCGGTCTCACCCCAACTCCGGTCTCACCCCAACTTCGGTCTCACCCCAACTTCGGTCTCACCCCAACTCCGGTCTCACCCCAACTCCGGTCTCACCCCAACTCCGGTCTCACCCCAACTTCGGTCTCACCCCAACTTCGGTCTCACCCCAACTCCGGTCTCATCCCAACCCCGGTCTCACCCCAACCCCAATCTCACCCCAACCAAGGTCTCACCCCAACCACGGTCTCACCCCAACCCCAATCTCACCCCAACTCCGGTCTCATCCCAACTCCGGTCTCACCCCAACCACGGTCTCACCCCAACTTCGGTCTCACCCCAACTCCGGTCTCACCCCAACTCCGGTCTCACCCCAACTTCGGTCTCACCCCAACTTCGGTCTCACCCCAACTCCGGTCTCACCCCAACTCCGGTCTCACCCCAACTTCGGTCTCATCCCAACTCCGGTCTCACCCCAACTCCGGTCTCACCCCAACTTCGGTCTCACCCCAACTTCTGTCTCACCCCAACTTCGGTCTCACCCCAACTCCGGTCTCACCCCAACTCCGGTCTCACCCCAACTTCGGTCTCACCCCAACTCCGGTCTCACCCCAACTCCGGTCTCACCCCAACTCCGGTCTCACCCCAACTTCGGTCTCATCCCAACCCCAATCTCACCCCAACTTCGGTCTCACCCCAACTCCGGTCTCATCCCAACCCCAATCTCACCCCAACTCCGGTCTCATCCCAACTCCGGTCTCATCCCAACCCCAATCTCACCCCAACTTCGGTCTCACCCCAACTCCGGTCTCACCCCAACTCCGGTCTCACCCCAACTCCGGTCTCACCCCAACTCCGGTCTCACCCCAACTTCGGTCTCACCCCAACTTCGGTCTCATCCCAACCCCAATCTCACCCCAACCAAGGTCTCACCCCAACCACGGTCTCACCCCAACCCCAATCTCACCCCAACTCCGGTCTCATCCCAACTCCGGTCTCACCCCAACCACGGTCTCACCCCAACTTCGGTCTCATCCCAACTTCGGTCTCACCCCAACTCCGGTCTCATCCCAACCCCAATCTCACCCCAACTTCGGTCTCACCCCAACTCCGGTCTCATCCCAACCCCAATCTCACCCCAACCAAGGTCTCACCCCAACCACGGTCTCACCCCAACCCCAATCTCACCCCAACTCCGGTCTCATCCCAACTCCGGTCTCACCCCAACCACGGTCTCACCCCAACTTCGGTCTCATCCCAACTTCGGTCTCACCCCAACTCCGGTCTCACCCCAACTCCGGTCTCATCCCAACCCCAATCTCACCCCAACTCCGGTCTCACCCCAATTCCGGTCTCATCCCAACCCCAATCTCACCCCAACTCCGGTCTCACCCCAACTCCGGTCTCATCCCAACCCCAATCTCACCCCAACTTCGGTCTCACCCCAACTCCGGTCTCATCCCAACCCCGGTCTCACCCCAACCCCAATCTCATCCAACCTCACCCCAACCACAGTCTAACTCCAACCTCACCCCAACCCCGGTCTCACCCCAATCTCATCCAACCTCACCCCAACCCCAATCTCACCCCAACCCCAAGTCTCACTCCGACCGCGCGACACTCGTGCCACGCCGCCCGCTGCGCTCCGCGTGTTTACCCCTCGTCTCTTGCCGCATCCACCTCCACCGCCGCCGTCTCGCGCAGCAGCAGCGGAGGCCGCGGCACGGGCAGCTCGTAGAAGTCGACGCCCGGGTGCGAGGCCAGGGCGGCCCAGAGGAAGGCGCGGAGGGCCACGTCGCGGCGCGGGGCCCCCCCGCCGGGGAAGGGAGGCGAGCGGGCGGCGAGGCGGACCCACAGCGCGCTCGGGGTCACCCCGTCCAGGCCCTCGAGGGCGACCTCGTCGGCCAAAGCCTCCAGCGCGTCCATGGAGGACAGGGTGAGGTCCATGGAGGAGTGACGGTGATGATGGTGGTGATGATGTTGGTGGAGGGTACAGCGGCAGCGGCGCTCAGCGATGAGGCCGCCAAAGCCGTCGATCCACCGGTTTTGATCTCCTAGTTCGGATAAGCGCAGACCAATGCGACCGCCGCGCGCCGATTGGTCGTCGCGAGGGGGGCGGCGGGGGGCGGGGTGGTCCGCGAGCCAATGGCGAGGCGCGATGCGGGCGATTCGGGCGGGGCGGGCGGGGGGACGTGGAGGGGAACTCCCCCCGCGAGCCAATGGGCGAGCGCGCGCGCGCTTATGTGATGTGGGAAATGCGAAGTGGCGGCGCGGGGGGCCTTGCTGGGTGCCCCCCCCCCCCACCACGGATATTGCCCAAATATCAATAACTCGTTTTACTGCCTCCGGCTTCGCCCGGGACTTGGATTTCACCACGCCCGGCCGCCTTTGTCTCCCCAGTGGCGATTGTTCACACACCACACCAGTTACTCGTTTGAGGCTGAGTCGACCTAGGGGAGGCCCAGGACCGGTTCAAATAATCGTCAGCGGTGGTGGCCGTGAGCGGGGATCGAACTCGGGTCGCCGGGTTCGTAGCGCAGCGCGCGAATCGCTACCCCCCCCACACACAGGATAAAGACAAAGATCCCCCGTGTAGTCTGGAGACTGTTGGGGCAAGTGCTGTTAGCGAGCACCTATGAAGGCCGGCACGGCACACGAGGGGGTGGGTGACAGCACCACGCCTGGCTGCCTTTGTCCCCACCGTGACGATGTTCACACACCAGACCAGTTACTCGTTTGAGGCTGAGTCGACCTAGGGGAGGCCCAGAAGCGGTTAAAATAATTGTCACCGGTGGTGGCCGTAAGCGGGAATCGAACTCGGGTCGCCGAGTTCGTAGCGCAGCGTGGCGCTACCCGCTACACTACACTGCGTTACGCTTCCACGTGCGCGGGTCACGTGACATATTTGACGTCACAGTTCACTTGCCGTGCAAAAAATCAATGCATTATTGAGCTCCCCCCACCCCCCCCCCCAAAAAAAAAACACACACAAAAGTGTCTTTTAATAATTTGTGCATGGTGTACAGTCTGGAAAGTACCCACATGGCAAATTTCCAGTTTGTTGCATTTCGGGAAATACGCTAAACATTTCGATTTACAGCTTTCGTGACTGCAGGGATCCATTTTCTTGGTTCTTTCGGTAAAGTCACGTAGAAGGGAAGTAATAAAATAATAAAAATAAAACATAATAAAATAAAATAATTCGTCTTCAGGTGAAGACGGCTGCTTGCGTTGTAGCCGAAACGTCGTGAGAATTATTTTATTTTATTATGTTTTATTTTTATTATTTTATTACTTCCCTTCTACGTGACTTTACGCTAAACATTTTGAACAGACACATAATCACAACTTTGCCTTTTATATATATGGAGACAACACAATAATGTTGTTGTTATTGTTGTTGTTTATAATTACTAGCTGTAAAGTCGTCGTGACGACGGGGTTAAGCTTCAGATAATTAAGCGCACGTTTTGTGGTTTCAGTGGTTGGTAGTGACGACGCAATGTAAATGTGTGGCGATCTTATACATTATTTTCGCGATTAAATTATTATTAACGATTCGTTGATGATTCGATTGTTATTATCGATTCATTCTTGAATTTATTTTCACGATCAAGTTTATGTTGGGTGAGCTCATCATGGTGGAGTACTAGAAAGGTTTTTTTTTTAACTATAAAACCCCCTTCCTCAACCGCACCGGACAAAGTCTCTCTAATCAAGTTGTCGCGTCGTGGAACGGGCGGTGGGGGGGGGAGGGTAAATGCAAATTTGTTCAAATCGATAACAAAAAACTGGAGCAATGTTGGAAGGCAAGCGACCAAGTTTGTGTATCGTTTGCCTGGTAGTTTTCTTGCTGGGAATGAGTGGCGGGTGACGCGTGGTTTATTCCCCCCTTGAAGATTCCCCATTGACGCGCAGTCGGGGCTTTCGCTACCAAAATTATCCATGAGAGACTTTGTTTGTTTGTTTATGGATAACTTTGTCCCGTGTCGGGCTACAACAACACAAACAATACACCTAGGCTCGCGAGCGCTTTAACCAACCGGCTCGTTCACAAGAGGGCGCTGAGAGCTCTCTCAATCCCAGCGGGTGGCACAAACTCCACTGCTCGAGTCCCCAAGACGGGCTTTGGGTCTTTCGGTGAGTTTGCAAAGCTGTCAACCCCTCACAAGTGCCCTACACTATTACAAACCAATTCGGACCTTATTGGTCACCCCCGTGCCCTTTATAAATCTCAACGTTCATTGTATACACTATACACTACTATAAACTACACTATACACTACACTACTACATACCTGTCAACCCCTAATCAGTGCCCTACCTTATTACAGACCAATTCGGACCTTATTGGTCACCCCGTGCCCTTTATAAATCTCAACGTTCATCCTACAGAGTCCCATCACAAAGGAGAAACACAAATAGACCAAAAAAATGTTGCCCGTATTGAAACGGCTCTTCGCCGCATGGACCGGAACACTCAAATCCCCTCTATCAGAATACGGGGTGAGCCGTGTGGGTTGACAAGTATGAGTTTGGTCCAGAGTAGGACAAACTATGGAAAGGTTTTTTTTTCACCAGGTAAGGCCCCCACTGAGCTAAACTACAAGGCTGTTTTACAGAAGCCACCCGGCTATCACAAATTATAGCTCAACGAAGTGGCTCGTCGACACGTGGAAATTCATAGCTGAAGCCAAATCCTCTTAAGCGCGTGTTTCTAAATGTGGAGGGAAAAACCGAAGGACCCGGAGAAAAATCCACGCCACCACGCGGAGAGAGAGAACACGCAAACTCCAACTATATAAGCGTCAGGGTTCTGCATCGAACCCACGCGCCTCCAATGTGGCACCAAACGTTGTGGGGTGGGGGGGCATGCGACATTTAATTGCGCACTCCACGCGAGTTTTACCGTCGTTTTATTTCCCTGCTTACCTGCTGCCAGCGTTACTTGAATTGGGCGCATTCATTGGATTTTGGGGTTTTTTTCCCGCTGTTTGTTCGCAACGTTACGATTTATTCGCCGCTGTAACTTTTTTTTCTCCCACTGCCAAGGTCCTTCGCGGGTTCATTCTTGTAAATCAGCTTAAGGCCGATTGTGTCAAACCCGCGTAAAATAAGAACACATTCCTGCGGAGGGAGCTGGTAGGAACGTTGGGTTGCTCGGTCAATGGCCAGGGTCAACGGCGGCGTGGTGTATTCCGCAAATATGCCCGACTGTGAGGGCGGGCACAAGCCGGCGTGAGTAGGTTAAACGTTGAGTTTTATAAGGGCACCACGGGGTGACCAGCCCCTGAAGCCACGTAGATAGAAGAAATAATAAAAATTATAATATAGTAATATCATTATAATTTTTTCTATCTACGTGGCTTTACCAAAAGACACAAAGTATATGTATTCACATTACTTTGCAATAACTTAGATACTCCAAATATTAGAGAATATTTTCTGAGATAAATGCATAAGCATACATGGAAAAATATTAGTATTGTCAGATTTGCTGATGGCGTATTAATGACATCTGATGGAAACGAATTGCAACGTTGGACTCGAGATTAAACAAAAGGTCATGTCCAGCACTTTGCTAAATACAAATACCTATTGTTGGAAGGAGACAACCGAAAAATAATTAATGTAGTATTTATACCTGGGGAATTTACATAATAATATAGGGTTAAAATGATTAAATAACGAGGCGAAACGTGGCAAACCCATGTCTGCAGAATAAAATGTTCAGTCGATGCATACTACGATGTGGATCAGAAACGTGGAGCAAAAGACAGATGGACAACAACGCAAACTGCGTCCTTAGAATTGCAGTTAAGAGACAAAGAGGCGCACACTGATCGGGAAAATAAACCTCAAGTTGGAGAAACTAGTACACGACTGAACAAAGTGAACTTCATCAGTATGCATCGCTTGACGAGACGAGGGCCGATGGAAAAGTCGGGTAATCAAATGGCTTTCAGAAGAGAGATCACGCCCAAGAGGTCGACAGTTGCAGAGATGTAGCGATGAGATTAGCTCGGTGCAGGAGTGAGATGGACTGTGGCAGCGTAGGACTGTGAAGAATGACAAGGGAAATTGGTGGCCTTCATCCAGCAGTGGCTGATGATCATCACGGGACGAGTTGCCAGTACAATAAGTATCATCTGAGTCACCAAGAAAACTTGAAGGGGCCACATTTCAATAGCCTGGGTTTTATTTGCGAATCAAACATTTGGTACATTAAAAAAATGCAAACTGTAAAAATATGCTTCGTAACAGATTGAAATCTTCACACATTCTCAAGGTCTGGTTAAAAATAAATCCCCACGTCAATGAACACAATGGAAACACCTGAACTCCATACACAAAACAATTGTGTGGACTTGAAAAGGAAGTACCTCGCTCGAGAAAATAAATTCCTGTGGCCAGCCAAGAATCTTCTTTTTTTTACAGTTAAGGAATAAAATTTGGACTCCCAGCATAAAAAAATTAACAATTGCCCTCAAGATACAATGTGAGGGTGCAAACCACACACTCGTAGTTTAATTGTGGAAAGACAGCAAAGAAACGGTTTTACTTGAATTGCCCTTCTTTTCTAACACCGCGGTGATGCCTTTAAAGCCTCCTTGAACTTCACTCTGCAATCTTATTCTTAACAAACAAAAAAACGCGAACAAGTCTCGCAAGTCTCTTTTTTGAACTGGTAGACAGCTGAATATTTCCTCCCACAATCCCCTTCAAACTGTATGGACTTGGAAGAGATGAAAAACATTTGTGTCATCCGATCCTCCTTTTTTTTTTACTTATTTGGCTACGGCCGTATTCATTGCAACCCCGTACCAAGCGCACGTGTCACTCGATCCCTCCAACAGGAACCTCGTCCTCCTTCCCTGGACCCTTCTCGTCTCCGCGGCTCTCATCCTGCTCGCACGGCGGTGCGGCCTGGTCCCCGTTTTTTCCCTGCTTCGCGTCGCTGTCGCTGGCTGCTGGTTCCGTGCTGCCCTCGCCACGGGGCGCTTCTCCGCTCGATGCTGCCTCGCTCGTTCCTCCTGCCGCCGCACCCTTGTCATCGCCGCCGCCGTCGCCTTTCCCCAAACTCTCGCCTAAAACCGCGTCTTTGCCCTTGCCAGCGTCCTTCTCGCACTTATCCTCACCCTCGGCCGCCTCTTTTTTCCCCGCAGCCGGCAGGTCTCCCTCCGCAGCGTCTGCGGTGGCCTGAGTGGCTTTCTGAGGCCGCTGCTTGACCTCCACGCACGGCCCCAACTTGGCCACCTCCTGCAGGAAAATCGAGGGCGTTTTTTTTTTTGTAATAGCACGAAATATAAAAACGGTGTTTTCGATGTCGCGATTTTTTTTTTTGCTCTATTTCTGTTTCTGCAGGTGCCAGGAGATTACATTTCAGGATTGTCAGAGGAGATTATGGCGGCTTGTAGAAGCGCCTTCATCCAGTGGTGGATTGATCATAGCTGATGATGATTTTTAATCAAGACAATGGACAAAACAGTGTACAGAACAAATGACAACATGAGATGCGAGGGGAGTCCGGGCAATGTAGAGAGGCGTCTCAAGAGGAATACATTGAATCGTGGTGAATTGTCTGCCATGACTTAAGGGTTAAAAACATGGACATTGACGAAGAGGATGGAACAAAAGCTGACAAGTGTGCAAAGAAGCGGGGAGAGATGCATGCTTGAGATTACACTGAGACGGAGAGGAAACACATGGTTTAGAGAACAAACATAAGTTAAATCCGCAACTTTTTCCATTAAGAAAAGAAAGTGACTTAAACGGGACACGCCGCTAGCAGGGATGATGGCAGGTGGGCGGAGACTAACGACGATCGAGAGACAGCCAAAGAGAGAAAGTGCCCAAGAAAACGATCACCACGAGGATGGAGATGAGATGGGTTAGCGCCCCCTCATTTGCAAAGCGGAACCACGAGAGATGGCGATGACCTAGGGGAGGGTTCAACATCCGAGCAGTGCGTAGTTCATGGCTGCCGATGGCGACAACGATGATGATAAACCGCGTTCCTATTTGCTCACAGTCCACACCTGCAGGTTGTACTTGCGCAGGCGGACGTAGTCGCGCACGACACTCAGGCAGCAGACGGCGCGGATCACCTCCACCACCACGGTGAGCTCGGGCTCCGTCAGGTCCACTTGGTTCTCCGCATTCAGCTTCAGCACCACTCCTAAGCGGTCAATCGGCGGCAACAACTTCAGCCGAACCAAATAAAGGCCCCTTGCCAGCACTAAAGATTTACCCAGCAGCCCTTATTAAACCAAATACCTGTTTTCCACTGTGCAACTGAGCCGCGCCAGGATTGCTCAGGAGGTGCTCGTTTGTTTTTTCCCACTGCACGAACACGAGCCCTGCCGCTGACGCCACATGCAATGAGGGCGCCGCAGTGGCGAGCTGTTAACTCCCTCGCCTGGTATGCAGGAGGGCGTGGGTTCGACCCCGACCCAGACGCCTGTCTATTTGGAGTATGCGTGTTCTTCCTGTGGTCGCGTGCATTTTTCTCCGGTCGGGTCGTCCTCCGGTTTTTCCCTCCACACTTAAAAACACGTGTTGAGTATTTGGCTGCTATACATTTCCACGTGACAAGCCCCTTTGTTGAGCTATAATTTGTGGCCAAGTCACTTCTGAAAAAGAGCTATATAGCTCAGTGGGCCTTACCTGATAAAATAAAAAGTTTAGTTTAGTTTTAGAGTATACGTTGTGTCGGCCATTGTACTGCGTGACGTAGCATACGACAGAATCTATTAACCTCACGGCCCTGCTTAGCCCCGAGCCAGATTCAGCCGTCTTGTGAGGCCGGAGTTTCGCGATTTGGATCTGGATCAACTGGGCAAATAGACAGAGGAAAACCACCCATACCTTGATGTCCCCCCCTGTGCTGATGTGGCCTGGATGGGCTGGTAGAAGAGCGGTTTAACAGGCCCTGCTGGCACTATGGATTTCCCAGCGGCGGCTTGGCCATGACTGGTAGCAGATGCCGAAAAATGGACGCCGGAGAGCACGGCTGTGCGTCAAGTCACGGCATGGAGTAAGAGCACGTGGTGACTGCAAGTGTTTAGCTGGCCATCCTCGACACACCCGGCTGCGTCAGATGGACAAGTGTAAGGGCCTCTGCTCCGAAGGATGCATCGACTGCTGTTATGAGTGACAGGCCGGAACGGAGGGTGGAAGATGCGATGACCCTTTCTCGGCTAAACGCAACAGCAGAAATAATAAAGGATCAAATATTTCCAATTGAATGATCGCCCTTTATCCCCGGGCGTCGGCAGCGCTTTACACGCGATAAGCAACTGACATCACGTCTCAGCTACAACATTTCTGAAAGGTAGCAGCTGTCACTTTGCTGCACAAGGTAACTCAGCAACTGGCCTGCAAGTGGAAATGAGTCTGCCAATAGGGGGCGGTGGGGCGGTGGGGGGGGCGATGATTGCCAAGTGTATATCCCGACTGAGCGGTGGCTCCGGTGGCTTCCCACGGCTCTCACCGGCGACGGCCTTGATGGTCTCCTCGCGGTGCATGTTTCCGTTGTTGCGCGCCTTGTAGACCACCTGGAAGGTGGCGCGGTGCGGCGCGGCGAACCACCGCGGGAGGTGGGCCTCGGCGGCTCGCTCCACGTCGGCCGGGTACGCGCGGCACGACGCCGTCACGGGCAGCACGCGCAGCACGTGCCGGCTCTTGCTCTGGCGCCGCTCAGCCAGCTCGCTCAGGATGCCGTGCACCAGCGTGTCGGGCTCTGTGTGAGGGAACGGCGGGGGCACACAGGCGGGTCGGTCAGTCGCTCGGAGAGCACCCAGGGGAGCGGCAGATCCTCCCTCTGCAGGTTGTGGAGGGTTGCCTCGGTATGAAGAGATGAGCTAGTTTGTTATGTTTGACCGGGTGAGAACTCGAGAGGTAAGAGCAGTTTCATTTGTAATAATGACCTTGGGTGTACCTTTTAATCTGGAAAGCGTGTGTTGTGTCAGACCAGATTTGTATAACTATTAACACCGGGCACCAGTTGGGGTGCGTCTTACTTCCCGAAGCCTCTTATAATCTAGAGAATAGGGTGCATTACGATTATTGTATCCTATTTCTTTTTTTCGTAAATATATACTGTATCCTGACGTAATATTTACAAAAATGTATGTTTTAAATAAATAGCTACGATCCAAGTAGTGCCGAGCGAAATATTTTTTCATTTTTCACAGGTCATGGCATAATTTCTTGAGTAACCGACGGGAGTGTGGTTAAACGTCACAGATGACAAAAAAATATGTTGCTACTATGGTAGGCTCAGGCTGCAGCCGAGTGTATTTTAGCTCGTCTCTATTTGTACACGAAGTTTGGCAAAGCACGGACACCACCACGGAGACGTGAAACCGCTACTGACCGACGCCCACGGAGCGGATGAACACCAAGTTGTTGGCGCCGCTCGTCACGGCCCGAAAGCGCCGCTGGGTGGCTGCCCCCCTCTTCTTGATCTGCGCCACCTCCTTCTGCAGCGCCGCTTCCGCGTCGTCGTCGTCGCCGTCGTCGTCATTGCGCTTGTCGGCACCGTCGGCGGCGCCACCGCCGCCCTCCTCCTCGTCGTCGTCAAACTGTGGTCACCCACGGTCATGGGAATTGTCAGCGAATTTCGGCGTCACAGTTGACGTTTTGAAATTGGCCAAAAAACGAATCGCTCAGTTGGGAAGACAAACGGTAACATCACCCCCCGACAGCATAGCTACTGTAGACTATATTCTTAGGTTTTTTCGGTAAAGTCACGTAGGTAAAACATTAAAATTAATAAAAGTAAAATAAAATAAAAATCACGACGTTTCGGAGGCAACACAAGCTTCCGTCGTGATTTTTTATTTTATTTAACTTTTATTAATTTTAATGTTTTACCTACGTGACTTTACCGAAAAAACCTAAGAACATGAATCCTTGCAGTCACGAAAGCTTCAAATCTAGAATTACTGCAGACTATGTCTGCGAAACACAGTCGCCTCGGTGAAAGCCTCGTGCTAGAAGATTATCGCGATTACCAAATGTTTGAATTGTCTGTTTTTATTAGAAATCAACCCTTGTGTCTGCAAGATTATCACCGTAGTTTCCCCGTGTTTAAAGTGCCTTTGAAAGTGCAGAGATTGGAGTCGCTGCATACACAGAGGATCACAGTGTGTAGTCTATGAAGTCCGATTCTTTCTCTCACCCCAAGACCCTAAACCATGACTCTTACAACGAACCCAGAACGCTGGGACCGATAATATAAAACTATTTGAAACATTCCTTCCATTTGTATTTCTTTACATAGCTAAGGGTAATGTAACTGTCCAATCGTTCCATTGGTCGGAACTTCCCAAACTCCGTTACACGTGACACCTCCCTACCCGTCCACCTGCCCATCATCTCCCGTATCTCCCGACCTCCCACCCCAACCCCCGCACCGCACCTCCTCATCCGCCCACCTTCTCGGGGCCGTAGAGGCGGTCTGCTTGCTCGTTGAGCATCTGGTAGCCCTCGGTCGTGCACCTGCGCTCCTGCATGTTGCACGTGAGCAACACGCCCTCCATGCCGGCTTCCAGCTGCCGGGGCCCCGAACCGCCGCCGCCCTCCGTGCGCGCGCGCTTAGCCGCGCCGCCCATGTACTGCGCCTTGCTTCGCTTGGTGCCCGCGGGCGCTGGCACCTCGTTCGACATCGCGCAGGAGCTTCTGTGTCGCCCGGCGGACTTCCCCCCCCTTCACGCCGAGAAGCTGTGGAACGTGGCGTACGGGGATGGAGAAGACACACGTAACGTGCACATGGGGATTACGCCGTACGGTTATTCTCTGGATGATAAGATGCACCACAAACTTGTGCACGGTGTCAATAAAGTTATACAATGCTGGTCTCGCACACCTACCGGATTATAAGACGGTCCCCCCCAACTTGTCCCTTAAATTTTCCTTCACAAGACGGGTAGGGGTGCGGAGTGCGTCTTATGATAAGATGAATATAATTGTAGCAAGGAAGAAAAATCTTGCATACGCATGGACTCTGGAACGCTTCTCAAAGCGCGTTCGTCCTTTTTGCGATAATAATGCTAATTTGTGAGCCGGGCAACTAAATGCGGGTTGTAGCCATTGCTGAGCCATGAGTTTTGACTAAAGGTTTGAACTATCCGTTAGGATTCGTGCACCGATTTGGTTAGTCATGGGGTAGGGCTGCGTTTCGGGGTTTGGGTTGCGTTTGGCTAAAAGTTCGAGCTACGATCGGGCTAGGGCAGCAGGGGTCGGCGACCGAAACAAGAAGAAGAGACATTTATTGTTTCGAATTTCAAGAGTCGCACTGCAGTCCCCTAAAGAGCCACCGCATGCGGCTCCCGAGCCTGCAGGGATCCAGACCCCCTGGGCTGGGGTCAGAGGTTACCGCTGTCGGTGTGAATCGAGCCATGTGATTGGTGCACAATTAGATGTATGACTGGCTCTGGGCTATACAAACTCTTTGTTTAGGGACATGTGCTCGGGTTGGAACGAAGAGTTTTTAATGGGTTATTGTAAAGGCTAAAGGGTTAGCGCTGTGTGTTGGAGTTATGCCGATGAATTAGGGCTAAAGGATACGCGTTTGAGATATGAATGGGTTAGGAACATGTGTTCGGAATACAAATGAGTTAGGGTTATGGCTATGTGCGAGGACTATGAATGGGTTATGTCTATGTGTTTGAACTATGAATGGGTTATGGCTATGTATTAGAGCTATGAACGGATTAGGGTTATGAATTGGTTAGGGTTATGGCTATGTGTTTGAACTATGAATGGGTTATGGATATGTGTTTGAACTATGAATGGGTTATAGCTATGTGTTTGAACTATGAATGGGTTATGGCTATGTGTTAGAGCTATGAACGGATTAGGGTTATGAATTGGTTAGGGTTATGTGCCAGGACTATGAATGGGTTATGTCCGTTCATAGGGCTACGAATCAATTGCGGTGATGAATTAGTTATGGTTATGTTAGGACTATGAATGGGTTATGGCTATGTTGATAGGGCTGTGAATGAATTGCGGTGATGAATTAGTTATGTTTATGTTAGGACTAGAAATGGGTTATGGCTATGTTCATATGGCCATGATTCAATCGCGGTTATGAATTGATTGGGGTTATGGCTATGTGTTTGGACTATGAACGGGTTATGGCTACGAATGGCTTATGGCTACGTTGATAGGGCTGTGAATGAATTGCGGCGATGAATTAGTGAGGGTTTACGTGCGAGGGCTCTACGAATGGATCGGTAACACTGTGCCATGTGGCAGCAGTGGGGCTGAACACGCGCGCTCCATTCTTACCTTCGAGTCCAGGCGGCCGCTTCCTTAAGCTCTCTTGCTTGTACCTCACGGGCTTCGTTACACGTGGTGTTGTTGTTGGTGTTGTTGTTCTGTTTGTTGTTGTTGTTGTTTGGTTCTAATGGAGAAGGCGAGCGCGCGCGCGTTACCACTTCTGGCTCGCGTGGTGATGGTCAGGCCGCGTGACGTCACTAACCTGTGGCCTTTAACCTCGGGGGTGGGTGACGTCATTGCTGCACTAAGGTAAAGTGACGTCACCGGCTGCGTGGGGGTGATATGACGTCAGGCAAAGCCCCCGTGTAGCCTTAACAGACTGTTTGGCGCAAGTGCTGTTAGCGAGCACCTATGAAAGGCCGGCACGGCACACGTAGGGGGTGTCTGGTCAACACCACTCCCGGCCGCCTTTGTCTCCCTAGCGGTGAATGCTTTACACACCGCACCAGGCTACTCATTTGAGGCCGAGTCGACCTAGGGGGGGGGGAGGCCCAGGAGCCGGTTCAGATAACCGTGGCCGCGAGAGGGAAAATCCGAAGCGCAGCTCGCTGCACGACCGCTCCCCACAGAGAGACATTTGGGGGCGGGGGGTCCGTGAACTTGTCAAGACATCATTGCTCCTTCATCCACTCTTGTCTAGCCCAGGGGTCGGCAACCTACGGCTCCGGAGCCGCATGCGGCTCTTTACGGGCTGCTTCTTGACGATGAGTACGGATGTACTCAGATGCATTGCGGCTCTTGAAATACAGAATTTTGTACCGAATTGGAAAGAAATGGCTCTTCTTGTTATTTTGGTTGCCGACCCCTGGTCTAGCCCTTCTCACTTGGCGATTGCATCATCACTCGCTTGATGGCTCCTGGCTCTCTGCCCCCCACCCCACCTCCCCCCCCCCACGGCTGCCGGGGGGTTAATTGCCTCGCCTTGTTTGCCAATCATCCTCGCGCTGACGGCATCGCGCGCCGCGAGTTAATTAAAACGTCGTGCGATAAAGAAGCCTCGCAGGAAACGTCGCCCGGCAACGGCACAAGGAACACGGCGCGGGTTTATGGGGGGCCTACTAACCTCACACCCCCCCACGGAAACGTCTCGCCACAGCCGAACAGACTCGAAAAAAATTAACCCGTAAAAACAAAGTTTTTCACTATAAAGCCTTTATATGCGTGGCATCGGTTTTATTTTATTATTCATTTCTGTTTTTCTTGAGTAAGAGTTTCATTTTTGTCACATTGGTATTTTAAATAAAATATGAAAAAAACATTTTCCTAAAAAGTGGAAAATTTTTGGAAAACAATTTTCACGAAAATAAATTGTCACGCACAACGAGTCTGTGTGCAAAATGTCAGCTCGATTGGATCACGGGAAGTGGGTTAAAAAACGACCGAAAGATTTGCACGGTCGTAAGCGCGCAAGCAAGCAGGAAAGTGAACTTAATATAAAGGATTTTAAAAAAACAGCTGATAGCACCATGATGATGATGGTGGTCATCATCATCAGCAGCATCATCAGCAGTAAAGCAGTTGCGCCGTCGTCAAAGGCATCATTATCGGTCGCATCATCAGCGACAACAACAACAACTATCTTATTAACACGTAGCAGGCTTTCGCGACCAATATTATTCATAGTAAAGGTTTTTGGGTTCGATCGCGTAAGCATAAATGTGTCGAAACACCTCCACCACCCGACACGGCCAATCAGTGAGGGATTTGTCACGTTGACAAAAAAACGCCAAATGGTTACTAGTTCAGCCCATCGGTGTGTTGAAGAGTGAATCCACAACATTTACAATCTGAGTACGACTCTTTCTATCTAAGACCGGAAGCAGGTGGATGGCTTCACTATTCTGGCAAATCTCCCGATGATGCTGGTTGATGTAATTACCAGCGAAACGTCTCGGTGCTCAGATTGTAAATGTTGTCGATTTACTCAACAATGTAACAAATCCATCACAGGCTGTGTCGGGTGGTGGAGGGTTTCGACACATTTATACTTACGCGATCTAACCCAAAAACCTTTATTATGAACAAACATCTTGATTTAAAGCTTTCGTGACTGCAGGGATTCATATTCTTGGTTCTTTCAGTAAAGTCACGTAGAAGGGAAATAATAAAGTAATATTTATTTCTATTTTTTATATTAATATTATTTTATTATTTCCCTTCTACGTGACCGAAATAACCAAGAATATGAACAAGCATCTTAATGATTCGTTGTATCTATGAGCGTCGCTCGTGCAAACTGCATCTCTGACGATCGCCGACGAACCCACTGACCGAAGTTGGAGGGGCTGCTGCCAGGCAGTGGGCCGGCGACAACAATTGATCTGCAGTCCTCTACATATGAAGATGTTTTCAGATCATCGGTGGATGAAAACTGGAGTACCCGGGTAAAACCCACACGTGTGAGGGAGGCCGCACTTTAACCCACACAGAAGGGACAGACGCGAACTGGATTCTGCCCACTGGAAGAGAGGAGTTTGGTGACATTCAGTTATTTGTCTGATCCACCAACAACCTCTCGCCTCCCACAGCGTGGGATCGCCAGAGTGCATCGCCGCCACCACCGCGAATATGCACATCGAGTGGTGTCAGCATCATCATCAGCATCATCATCAGCATCATCATCAGCATCATAAACATCATCAGCAGCAACACTGTCATCAAGGGCATTAGTCATTCGTAGCAGCAAGATCAACAGGATCAGCGGAAACAGCACCTTCTATTAGCGCGGTTGGCTACGTACGGCGCGAAAGAAGTTCAACATACGTAAAAGCAGCAACAATATCAATCAGTGGCGCTTCTGTATCATCATCGGTAGTAGCGTCAAACTCATGACAATCATCGGCAGTTTTGTGGCCGTTACACGGAGCACGCTGACATAGAACCCCCATGTATTTTACATGCCACTCACGCTACCAGCGACAATTGAAGTCTAAACCTAACCCACAACAATGCAGCATGCCGCGCTGTTGCGGCCAACGTCAGCATTGAAGAGACGCAGGGAGAGGAGGTCTGGCGAGATTGATTCTGGCAGCCGCTGGGATTCGTTTAATCCGCAACAGCCCGAAATGCTGTTACGGGGAATTAATTTGGCACGCCACACCAACCTCTCAATGCGTGGTCCAAATTCACACCGATGCTAATGAACCCGTTAATTTCATTACGGGAATATTTACTCTCTGTACGTTTAACTTCTTTCGTACCGCACGTAGCCAACCGTGATAATCGGAGTGGCAGTGCCTTCACGCCGATAATCCGTGACTCACGTTCAGCCTATGGCAGCGTTCCGGAAAATACCGGGCGAGAAAATATGCCCTGCTGATGGATGCCTCGTTGGTTTGCACATGTGCTTCTTGACAGGTGCGTCGAGGTGGCGAGATGTTAACTCCCTCGCCTGGTATACAGGAGGTCGTTGGTTCGATCCCGATCCTGACGCCTGCTGTATATTTTGAGTTTGCGTCTCTCTCATCACCATCATCATCATCACGGTGGCTAGGAGACGTTAACTACCTCGCCTGGTGTACAGGAGGTTGTTGGTTCGATCCCGATCCCGACCCTGACGCCTGCTGTATATTTTGAGTTTGCGTCTCTCTCATCATCATCACGGTGGCTATGAGACGTTAACGACCTCGCCTGGTGTACAGGAGGTTGTTGGTTCGATCCCGATCCTGACGCCTACTGTATATTTTGAGTTTGCGTGTCTCTCCCTCTCTCTGATCATCATCACGGTGGCTAGGGGATGTTAACTACCTCGCCTGGTATACAGGAGGTTGCTGGTTCGATCCCAACCCTGACGCCTGCTGCTGTATATTTGGAGTTTGCGTGTCTCTCTCTCTCTCTCCGTGGTCGCGTGAAGTTTTCTCCAGGTCCTCCGGCTTTTCCCTGCACATTTAGAATCAACATCACGAGTTCAGAGTATTTGGCTGATATAAATGTCCACACGATGAGCCACTTCGTCAAGCTATTGCTCCTGAAAAAAAAACTATGTAGCTCAGTGGGCCTTACCTGGTAAGATAAAAAATAAAAATACGGTACTTTTCTAGGCCTTAACAAATCTCGACACATATTTACTACCATCGCAAGACACCCATCGTAAAGAGCCTGACTGATTATAATCAGTAACACGATTTTTGTCCCTGGGTAGTAAGTGGTATTTTTATTGTTTATGCCTAAAAAGTATAGAAAATGGTTATCATTCCCCAAAAACTTTGCTTTTGTGACCAGGACTTTACTTGAAGGAATGACAAAATGCACACCACGTTTTCTAAGTGAAAATAGGTAAATTTCAAAATATCACTGGCCTGGTCACAAAAGCAAAGTTTGTGGGGAATAATAATAGTCATTTTCTGTCCTTTTGATGCATAAGCAATTAGGAATTAACACTTACTACCCAGGGACAAAAAAGCATTGTTACACAGTTTTATTATTATTGGGCCCCTGCCTCCTGAAATAATCATAATCATCGCAACATGTGCATCGATTCGTCAATAACACTGCCCTGAAAGGAAAACAATCTGTAACCCGTGACGTTTCAGGCAATGACCCTTTTTTTGGGTAAGGCAATGTTTTGGTATGTTTGTGTACCGCTACCATCGGCAGCATCACAACACAATCGTCGGCTCGGCAGGGTGCCTGCTGTGGTGTTTGTTGCCTCAGCCTCAAATGAGTCGTACCTGGTGTGGGTGTGTAAAAATCCCCCACTTGGAAGACAAAGGCGGCCGGGCGTGGTGTCGGCCACCCAGCCCCTCGCGTGCCGTGCCGGCCTTAATAGGTGCTACGCGCTAACAGCACTTGCCTCCAGCAGTCTGTTAAGGCTTATACGGGGGGAGGAAGGGAGGGAGGATCCTTGACTGTGTTTATTGTGTTTGTACTGCCCGTGGTGGTGGATGTGGGGTGGGCCTCACAGGAAGATTGTGGGGTCGTTGTGCTTCGGATCCGGCCAGAGAGCGGGCAGATCAACTCAGGGCCGGCCCCTTGAATGTCTGAACCGTGCGTCTGGGGCCGCGTAGCCTTGTGCCATCTCGCAGGTGTTCGAACCCAGACAGTCGGGGTGTGAGCTGGTTGTGGTGGTTGAGAGGAGGAGGGGGGGGGTGTCTGTCAACCTGTAGATCACCCGGGTTGTTCCCCACGTGTGCAGCCAAGAGAACTTGGGACGGGTGACGGTGGGCAAGGACGTTTTGAAGCACTTCAACGTGCCGACACGTGGAAGATTATTTTTTCTTGCTGCTGCGGGGACGCAGGTGACCGGGAAAGTTGGGCAGGTGTCAACCTAGCCCTGAGGTATAGCCGGGACAATTGAGCACAGGTGACAGCAAGTACCAAGGTCGGCCGCGCGAAAGATCTCACCTGGTAGCTTCTTCCTATTTGACAGGGAAAGGCGGCCACGCAGAATTAAGTTTCGTGTCACCTCGCTGCGGTTCGCGAGGAGAACCTCCCCGCGCTGGGAGTCACTCGCCACCGCGCCAAGCTTCACCTGGGCCGTCAGAAAGGATCTCAGTGGCTGGGTTCGCCGTGTGGTGTGCTGCGGAAGAACGGGTCCTCCTCGCACGCGTTCCGCGCGCACCTGCTGCCACGGTACAGCCATCATGGGCGCGGCGCACGGCCAAACGGCCCCTCTCCGCGTGGCCGTCGTGTTCACGGTCGCGGCCCTCGCTCTGTCGGCCGCGGCCGCCCTCTCTCCCTCCTGGGTGTCATGGCAGGGAGAGACCCTGGGCCTGTGGCAACACTGCCCCGGCGGAGGCGCGCCCTGCACCAGCCCGCCCTGCAGCGGAGACGTCGGCGCGGCGGGAACGTGCGGTAAGAGGGTCGCGCGCGTGCGTGCGTGTGTGCGCGTGCGTGCGCGTGTGTGCGTGCGTGTGCGTGTGTGCGTGTGCGTGTGTGCGTGTGTGCATGCGTGCGTGTGCGCGTGTGTGCGTGTGCGTGCGTGCGTGTGCGTGCGTGTGTGCGTGCGTGTGCGTGTGTGCACGCATGTGCGCGCGTGCGTGGTGCGCGTGTGTGCGTGCATGTGTGCGCGTGCGCGCGTGTGCATGCGCGTGTGTGTCCGTCCACACACACGCGCACGCGGGAGTGTCGTGGTTAGCGCTACGCTGCGCTACGAACTTGGCGACCCGGATTCGATTCCCGCTCACGGCCAAAATCAGTGGCGATTATCTGAACCGGTCCTGGACCTCCCCTAGGTCGACTCAGCCTCAAATGAGTACCTGGTGCGGTGTGTCAACATCGCCACTGGGGAGACAAAAGGCGGCCGGTCGTGGTGCTGGCCACCCACCCCCTCGTGTGCCGTGCCGGCCTTCACAGGTGCTCGCTAACAAAACTTGCCTCTACAGTCTGTTAAGGCTACACGGTGGCTTATTTGTGCTGCGTGTCACGTGTGTTGTTGTTGTTGTTGTTTGTTTTTTGGCGCAGTGGCGCGCGACGCCGCGTGCGCGTGCGCCCTGGTCACGTGCTCCGCCTCGTTCTGCGCCCTCGTGCTGGGGGCGCGCGCCCTGCGAGTCGCGGGGGGCCGCGGCGCCGGGGGGCCCTCCACTTGGACGGCGCGCGCCTTCCCCGCCATGCTGGCGCTCTCTTGTGAGTCCACGCGTCCCACGACCACGACCGCCCCCCCCCGACTCCCCACTCACCCACCTACCCGTCTAAATGCAGTGGTTCTCACACTTTTTGGGGGGGCTACGTGAAGCTTCCCCCCGTTGCTTTGTTGAATTTTGTTTTAACCGAGTGCCCCCCACCACCCCACCCCACCGCCTTGCCTGACCTAACGTGGGTTCTGAGAATGTACGAATAATGAACGTCAAATATTTTAACCGATTTGAGAATAGGTTTTCCAATTTTTTCTGCAGACATGATTTATACAAAACTTGTGGTCAGAATGCATGATTCCTTGTCAAAGGTTTCAGTTTGGTGTTTTAACATCTTAACACCTGTTTTGTTACTCTTTGTCTTTTTCGGTAAAGTCACGTAGGTAAAAAATAAAATAAATGAAAACTAAATTAAATCACGACGTTTCGGGCGCAACACAAGCGCCCTTCTTCAGGTGGGAACAACGTAGCGAAAGCACAACCGCTTTTGTTGCCAGAAAAAAGGGGAAAACCTATTTTCATATTTTGGTACTGGCAAAGGAGGTCCCATGATTTTAACCGATTGTCCATTTGGTGAAGGATCATAACTAGCCGGTACTAACTGCAAGCGAATAACAAGCAAAACATATACATGGACGCTCCTGCACGCGTCACGGATCAATAAGTTTAGCAAGGTATTTTATATCGGTCTGGGTTGCCACGTGGATTAAAATGTTATCGTAGTTATTTTACATTAGCCGCTTCAAGCACGATTTATTCACCAACGACTCTCGTGCATGAAATCATGTTCACACATTCGTAGATAAGCTCGCGTTACCCCCTGGGACATTACCACGTGCCCCCAGGGGTCCGAGTACCCCCCGGTTGAGAACCACTGCTCTCATGCTCCCCTTACCCCGGCACAATATTGCCCCCCACCGCCCCAACTCTCACCACCCTCCACCTCTTGCACCATTCCATCTAATGCCCTCCCCGCAACCTGCTGGGCCTCTGCCCTTTCACTCCCTCGTCCGTCTCCCGTCCACGTGTGCACCCCCCCCCCCCCTCCCTTCGCCGGCCCCGTGACCCCCAGGCGTGCTCGTGGCTGGTGAGATGACCGCTTTCCTCTGCTACCTGCTCGCCACGGTGCGCGTGCTGCACCTGGGCTGGGGCTCCTACTCGGCTTTCTCCGCTCTGCTGTGCTGGGCCCTCGCCGTCGCCACGTCCGTGGCGTCCGCGTGCGGCCGCGGAGGGCCTCGGGTGGGAAACTCGCGGTCGACGAAGAGGGGACGCCACGCGGAGGACCCCTCGGTCAGCACCACCACCGTCAACACGACGACGACCACGGCGAGCTACAACAGCGCCAGCAGCGCCACGATCTTTGCCCCGGAGAACGCGTGGCGACCGGCACCCGACATGCAACTCGTGGTGAAGCTACCCCGCCTGCGTGTGCAGCAGCAGCAGCCGCAACAGCAGCTGCAGCCGCAGCAGCAGGGCAATGCGGTGAAGAGTTATCGTGACGATGGCGGTGGCGAAGATAACGGCGGAGCCGGTGATTACGACATCGACGAAGGCAACGTGTACGAGCACGCGGACTGGCCTCGCCACCACACCTCGACCCCGACCGTGACCTCGACCCGCGCTGACCTCACCCTGACCCGTGCTGACCTGACCCGCGCCGACCTCGCCTCCACCCGTGCTGACCTGACCCGTGCCGACCTCGCCTCCATCCGCGCCTGCCGCTCGCTGCCCGCGCTGCCGCCACCGCCGGGCTGCGTGCGAGGTCCGTGCGCCCGTGGCGTCGATGGGGTCTCGGGGCCCCCTTCCCGGGGTCCCGAGGGCTGGGTGTACGAGAATCTGTACGGGGACCCCGACTACGGGGACCTCGACTACGGGGACCCTGCGTGTCCCCGGCCGCAGGGCCCCCCCGTGAGGCAGCGCACGGAGGCGCAGGGCTGGGGGACGGCGCACGGAGGCGCCGCTGGGGACGATTTGGGGTTAGCCAACGATACATACAACATGTACTACTAGTACTGGCGCGTACCAGTGTACTACTACTACTACTAGCGTGTACCACTAGCGTGCACATCAGACATCGCCCTACCCTGGCGACCCGTGCAGGCTGCTGCTGTCCGCCCGAGTCACGCGTCAATGGGAAAACGGCAGCAGTAGCGGCAGCAGTAGCAGCAGCAGTAGCAGCAGCAATAGTAGCAGTAGCAGCAATAGTAGCAGCAGCAGGAGCAGCAGCAGTAGCAGCAGCAGGAGCAGCAGTAGCGGCAGCAGTGCCAGCAGCAGCGGCAGCAGTAGCAGCAGCAGGAGCGGCAGCAGTAACGGTAGCGGCAGCAGTGGGATGTTTTGTAGTCGGACGGTGTAAATACGAAGCGATTGTTTTACAAATCGCCCTCTTTAGTTTAGCCTCGAATTGTGCTCACGTGTCCCGCGCGCGGGCCACGTGTGGAATTAAACGCCAATTTCAACTTTAATGAGACACTAATTAAAACACACAGAACGCACGGACCACCACCACCCTCCCTCCCCTCTCACTCCCTCCCCGCTGCGCGGGCAGTGACGCGCGGACGAGATTGTTTATGGAAGTCGGTGGGTGAACAGGCAATCGCGACAAGATGCGTAACGTAAACAAAGCGTTGATTGCGGGAGCAAGGGCGGGGTGAGAGTCATGTGCGTTGGGAGAGGGGGGGGGGGGTGATGCCGTCTAATAACGCGAGCGCAAGGGGCGATGGGGCCACGAGGCGAGACGATGAGAGAGGCACGGACAGAGAGACAGAGAGAGACACGCGGAGAATCACGGGGAGGGATACACGGGGGAGAGACGTTCAGGCACGGGGAGATACACGGGGAGAGACACGAGGAGAGACAAGAAGAGAGACACGAGAGGCACGAGAAGAAGAGACATGGGAAGACACGGGGAGAGACAGAAATACTGTGAGACTCACGGGGAAGAGATATGGAACCATGCGGAGACACGAGAGGGAGACACAGAGAGGCACGATCAGATAGGACGAGAGGCGGGGAGGGGACATGGCAGTGAGAGGAGAGGTTTTGTTTGAGGGACTCGCTTAGCTCGGCGCTTCTCGGCAGCTCCTTAATATGATTACTACCGCTTATCTTGCATTCGTCATATGCTTGTCTTTGCGAGGGGGTGGGTTGAACACGGTAAACATTCGTTATCTTCACATATATTTTTGCAACTCTAATTACGTATAATTTGCAATTGCGGGATACAATCTTTCATATGGAAATTTTCGCACAGTGTACAGAAACATCATTCATCCAACTCACCCCGCCCAGGTTTAAGCAAATTTCGCGACGACACAACGCAGCGCGTCGTGCACTCTGCGGTGGCAGGGATCGACCTGTGAACTCGGTCTCGCGTGGCTCAGCGTGGATCTCGTCGCGACTGCTTCCGTTACTCATTCAGCCGCCAATATGAAAATGCCAACTTTTCATTTCTCGATTAAATATCGCATCTCGTCAGGAGGACCTCCGTACCCGGGCCCAGTTATCAACCCGTCGTAGAGAAATGGCGAATTTCCAGCTGGCCGTAGTGTTAAAATACCGCGATGCTGGGAAAGGGAAATCAATCGCTCCAGGCAAGTGGCGCAGTCGTCACCCTAACCCTACCCGTCATGCTTGATTATGCCACGGTCCATTGATAAGCCCCCCCCCTACTGCCCCCCCCCCCCCCACAACCATCAGTAATTGGCTACGGGAGTGTTTTTGGAATCATCTATCTTTCCTCCGGTAACTTCAGCACCACGGACAGCGACTTGTCCTCCTCCTCCTCCACGCTGTCACCCAGAGTGCGCGTCGCAACAATTGAACCTTATAGTGGGTACCCTGGGGTAATAGCTACCCCGGCTCTCGTATAATGTCCGTGATGCAGTCATGTTTTTTGTCGGGTGATGGTCGGCGATGCGGCAATCGACTCATCTCGACGAGCTGTACACGATGCACGATTCAAAGTTGAATTTTTCGATAACGGATTTTTTAAATGATGTTTTGGCGTTTCGACATCGCGGAGTGGCACTGATTTCGGATTGATTAGTACCCCAGTCGCGGAGTTAAGTACACCTCTGGGAAAAAATAGTGTCCCAAGAAATAAAACATTTAATTGCCTCGATCATTTTGTATTATTTGGTACCCCGGGGTACCGCCATAAGGATAATTTGTTGTTATGTTTGTTGATTGCTGTTACGCGCGCGCACGCGTGTGTTTACCCAGGAAAGCCTCACTGAGTTATGTGTAACCCAATTGAGTAATTTGCCGATATTTTATAAAGATGTAGGATCCCCGATGACATCTCCTTCAGAGATCTTCTCCTCCACATTTTTATTATTTTTAAAGACTTATTTGCAACTCCCGTCAACGGCACGGCCTTGTTGGAGTGCTCTACTCACGGCAGAATTGGTTAAACGCAAGCGAGCAAACTCTGGGCCGGTTTCGACATACAGCGTCTCATCGGCAGTACCAGGCCTGCTTGAACCAATCAATATGTTTCGAAACAGGTGGCTCACGACTTGGGGTCTCTTCGTGTTTCACGATCCTGCAGCGCACTCGCCAGTAGACTGGAGCACGTGACACTATAAATATGGGGGGGGGGGAGGGGAAACAACACACTGTTCAATAACACTGTGACCTTGAAGTGAATTATATATAAAATACGCGACGTTTCGGGCAATGGACCTTCTTCACAGTATATAAATAGAGAGTCCAGGGAGAGAGAGAGATGGAGTGGATGCTAACAGTTGGAGACGGCACTCTGCACCACGGGGCCTGATGAGAACTACATTTTCAAAGAGCATTCTGACGAGCAGTTTATAAATTGGCCCACAGATGCTAATTTGTGGACACTGTTTACGAGAGGCGCTGCGGGCGCGGACAAAACTCTGTGACATCGAGCAGAAGAGAGGGGAGGAAAGGTGGTGAGGGGGGGGTCCCAACACACGTCCGGGCGGTTAGGGTTAGGGGCAGCGCTGGTGCTGTGGTCCGATTGGCTAGAGGGTTAAAGTCATGGCCAGGGCCAGAGAATATTGCGAGGAGTTGGTTGGCCTGTTTGTGAGCGCTTAGGGTGGTATAGTGGCCAGCTGGCTAGTTGGTTATCGGTGGTTAGCTGATGTGCCGATTGTTGGTTAGGGGCATGCTCAGTTGCTAGGGCGAGTGAATTTCGTTTGGTTGGCTTCACGTTTCCAGTGATTTTTGTTCGAACCAAAGGAGATGACTCAACTAGATCAGGGGAGTCACATTTGCAAGGGTTACCTAGGTCACCAATTGGCGAGGTTAATAGGGCGACCGTCAATTCATAGACTCGTGCTGGCGCTAGTTTGTTATTGTTAGGGTCAGTGATGTGGCTCGTGCTAGCAACTGCTTGACGAATTTGTTAGGGTTAGGGTCAGTGATACGGCTCGTGATAGCGACTGCTTGGCTAATTTGTTAGAGTTAGGATCAGTGATACGGCTCGTGATAGCGACTGCTTGACGAGTTTGTTCGTTTTTTGGGGGTTAGATCGCGTAAATATATAAATGTGTCGTTAAAACCCGCCGCCTACCCGACACAGCCGACTAGTAAGGGTTGTCACGTAAACAGAACGTGGACAATTCGTCACTAGTACAGCACCACCGGTGTGTTGGAGAGCCAAGCCATATTTATATATCTACGCGATCTAACCCAAAACAAAACCCCCTCTATTATGGATGATGATATTGGTCGCGAAATCCTACTACGTGTTACACTAGTTCTTTAGGGTCAGTGATACGGCTCGTGCAGTTTGCTCAGCGCCAGGACTACTCACCAAGCCCCCTTCTCCCCGTTTCCACGAACACTTGCACCGCGTGCCCGTTTAATGTGTCCCCGTGTACCCCTCGAGGCAGCGCAATGCGCCGCCAGCTCACTCGCTGTGAACGGGACTCGATCCTCGTCGTCACCTCGAGCTCCTTGCTCTCAAGCCCGGCGAAACAAACATAAACCCGATCCTGAAACTCGTCTCGGCGTCCCTGCTCCGGTGACCGTGGGAAGACGTCGCCACCTCGTGGCTGATCGCCGCCGCCGCTGCTGCTGCTGTTGCAATCCACCTGAAGACGGCTGCTTGCGTTGTGGCCGAAACGTCGTGAGAATTATTTAATTATGTTTTATTTTTATTATTTTATTATTTTTCTTCTACATGACTTTACCGAAAGAACCAAGAAGATGAATCCCTGCAGTCACGAAAGCTTTAAATCGAAATCTATGAGAGACTTTGACATTTCTAAGTTTAACAACGTAGCGAACAATATCATCAATAAGAGAGGTTTTTTTGGGTGTTAGATCGTGTAAATAAAGGGGGGGGGGGGAGTTAGGCCATTGTGAGTCGGGGGTAATGGTCGAAGTTGCCACACGTGAGATGTATTCGTCAAGGCATTTATAACAATGATGATAGTGACGACTGATGATGATGATGACGGTGGTGGTCTTCCATGGCAGCATCGTGAGCGATGTTGGCGGCCTCTCGTTACTGACCCCCCCCCCCCCCCCGAGGTGACCCGCCCTCATCGCCGCGACCCAGCGAGAAGTGTAATCCGCGGAAGTTCCCCGCCATCCGCCATTGCTCACGCGCGAGTGGTGAAGGACGGGGGGGAGCTTCCCAGGATTTCTAAATCGTGCGCTGACGTCAACGCGCGTAATCGTCCTCATCGTCCTCGGACAAAAATACCCCCGAGGACCGCGGAGGAGGAGGAGGGGAAGAAGATGAGGAGAGGAGGAGGAGGGGGAAAGGAGGAGGGGGAGGGGAGGTGGAGGAGGAGGGGAAGAAGAGGAGGAGGAGGGGAGGAGGGGGGAAAGAGGAGGGGCGGAGGAGGGGAAGAGGAGGAGGGGAAGAGGAGGAGAGGAAGAGGAGGAGGGGGAGGGGGGAGGAGTGGAAGAGGAGGAGGAGGGGAGGAGGGGAAGAGGAGGGGGGGAAGAGGAGGAGGAGGGGAAGAGGAGGGGGGAAGAGGAGGAGGAGGGGAGGAGGAGGGGAAGAGGAGGTGGAGGAGGAGGGGAAGAAGAGGAGGAGGAGGGGAGGAGGGGGGAAAGAGGAGGGGCGGAGGAGGGGAAGAGGAGGAGGGGAAGAGGAGGAGAGGAAGAGGAGGAGGGGGAGGGGGGAGGAGTGGAAGAGGAGGAGGAGGGGAAGAGGAGGAGGAGGGGAGGAGGAGGGGAAGAGGAGGGGGGGGGAAGAGGAGGAGGGGGGAAGAGGAGGAGGGAGAGGGACGGGGAGAGGAGGTGATAATGGTAAGAAGAGAGAGGGCGCGTGCCGGGGAGCAGAGGAGGGGGGGCGAAGGGAAGGAAGGAGGTGAGAGAAGTGGTGGAGTAAAGAGGAGGGGGGGGGGTGACGAGGAAGCGGAGAGAGGAGGTGAGGATGAGGCGAGATGTAAGATGATGAGCGAAGGGGGGGGGGGGGGTGAAAGGAGAGAGGAGGAGGGAGATGAGGGAGATGAGGGAGGGGGGTACGCTGCAAACTTGCGTCAGTCAACTAAAAATATACGCAGCGAGAACCACTCGCGGGCACACTCACTCGCTCGCGTCACTCACACGCACGTGGGCACACACACACACTCACACACAGGCACACTCACTCACACACTCACTCGCTCGCGTCACTCACACGCGGGCACACTCACACGCGTCACTCACTCGCAGGTGGGCACACACACACACAGGCACACTCACTCACTCACACACTCACTCACTCACACACTCACTCACCCACACGCGTCACTCACTCACACACTCACTCACTCACACACT